TTAGGATTAGGGATTAGGATTAGGGATTAGGATTAGGGATTAGGATTAGGGATTAGGATTAGGATTAGGGATTAGGATTAGGGATTAGGGATTAGGATTAGATTAGATTAGGATTAGATTAGGATTAGATTAGATTAGGATTAGATTAGGATTAGATTAGATTAGATTAGTTAAACAAAAAATAAAACAAATACAAAACACAAAAAAAAAACACATTTTTCAAATCTATTTTGCACATAACTCTGATTTCCCAGACTTCCAAACCACCAACCCAAACCGCCATATAAGTATAACCTAAAATCTTTATAAAAAATTATCAGTTTGGATAGCTCCCAAAGGGTACCCCCCTGAGCCTATGTTCCCCATTAGTAATAACCAGGGTTTGCCCCTGATTAATCAACCACCTTTCTGATCCATGAGATTTTAACAAATCCAATAGAATTCTATTAAGATCTAATTGACATAAGCCATATCCAATTTTTTATGGTTCATAGTTGCTCAGTATTAAGGGGTGGTCAAGAAACTAGCCAGAAGGTACCCCCCCTACCTACCTGGTGGGGGGGGGTTGATTAATCCGATGTTGGCATTATTTATTTATTTATTCATTTATTTATTTATTTATATTTATTTATATTTATTTATATTTATTTATTTATATTTATTTATATTTATTTATATTTATTTATATTTATTTATATTTATTTATATGTATTTATTTATTTATTCATTTATTCATTTATTTATATTTATTTATATTTATTTATATTTATTTATATTTATTTATATTTATTTATATTCATTCATTTATTTATAGCTACCCGTATGTGCCTGTATGTCACGGTTGTCATGTATCTACACGTATCTGCTATGTCAGTCGAATCCCGCTGTTTTCCGCAGTTTCTCCTCAGGAGCCTCGGCGGGATCCTCGGAGATAGCTCATTGCACCAACAAAGGGTTCCGCAATGTCTGCTGTGGCCTAGAGGGAGGCCTCAACTGCAAAGCGAGCTGGGTCCGAGGCAAATGCTCCAAGATGCATCCACTCCAACCGAAAACTCTGCTTCCGGTTTGGGTGCATCAGATGAATTCAGTTCAAGCTTGGAAGGCAAGCTGATGTTGGATGTTGCCATATGACGCAAAGCACCCAAGATCAGTTCCGATCCGAGATGGGCGAAGGCTGACAAAGATGTGGGGAAAAAACCTGCAGCTCATTGCACCAACAAAGGGTTCCGCAATGTCTGCTGCGGCCTAGAGGGAGGCCTCAACTGCAAAGCGAGCTGGGTCCAAGGCAAATGCTCCAAGATGCATCCACTCCAACCGAAAACTCTGCTTCCGGTTTGGGTGCATCAGATGAATTCAGTTCAAGCTTGGAAGGCAAGCTGATGTTGGATGTTGCCATATGACGCAAAGCACCCAAGATCAGTTCCGATCCGAGATGGGCGAAGGCTGACAAAGATGTGGGGAAAAAACCTGCAGCTCATTGCAACAACAAAGGGTTCCGCAATGTCTGCTGCGGCCTAGAGGGAGGCCTCAACTGCAAAGCGAGCTGGGTCCGAGGCAAATGCTCCAAGATGCATCCACTCCAACCGAAAACTCTGCTTCCGGTTTGGGTGCATCAGATGAATTCAGTTCAAGCTTGGAAGGCAAGCTGATGTTGGATGTTGCCATATGACGCAAAGCACCCGAGATCAGTTCCGATCCGAGATGTGGGGAAAAAACCTGCAGCTCATTCACCAACAAAGGGTTCCGCAATGTCTGCTGCGGCCTAGAGGGAGGCCTCAACTGCAAAGCGAGCTGGGTCCGAGGCAAATGCTCCAAGATGCATCCACTCCAACCGAAAACTCTGCTTCCGGTTTGGGTGCATCCGCAATGTCTGCTGCGGCCTAGAGGGAGGCCTCAACTGCAAAGCGAGCTGGGTCCGAGGCAAATGCTCCAAGATGCATCCACTCCAACCGAAAACTCTGCTTCCGGTTTGGGTGCATCAGATGAATTCAGTTCAAGCTTGGAAGGCAAGCTGATGTTGGATGCTGCCATATGACGCAAAGCACCCAAGATCAGTTCCGAGCCCGCTTGAGGATCTGAGATGGGCGAAAGCTGAAACAGGTCTGGGCTGAACCATGAAGTCACATCATCCCACTTTGCTGCAACTTCCACCTCTTGAGTCAAAATCAACATGTTCAAAATATCGTCTGTGTCCGTGAAGTCAATGAGTTCTCCAGACGGAATTTTCAACAAGCTAAATTTCTTCTTCAGGGAACACTTGGTTCCCGGTGGACAGGGCAATGGAAGATTCTTTGCTCCAGCTTTGAGGCTGAGGCTGACGCCGCCTTTGATGCCCGAACTGATGGAAGAAAACTTGGTGAAATAAACTTTCACGCCGAAACTTAACGAACCTGATGCTTTGAAGTCTGTTTTATGTGTCTTGCCCATGTAGAGGGTGAACATGAAGGCAAAGGGGTGAGAAACATCCACAAAGGGATAGGTCCTGTAGATTTCATTCTTGCAGCCGAAGACAACCCCAGCGCCAAGTCCAAATCCCCAGTGCAAGGCTTCTCCTCCACCTACATTCAGAACCTGGAATTTGTACTTGCCAGTAATCTTCACTTTTATACTCCAGTCTTTTGTTCCTGTGATGCACTTAGCTCCCTGGGTAAGCACCAAGGGCAAGGAGTTCTGCTGCTCAATGGTGAGAAAACCTAGTTTACTCAAGAGTTTCTGGCTCACCCAGTCGCTGACTTTCTTCGTAATCTTCTCAAATAGATCTTTGATCTCTTTCACGCCGTTGTAAAGGAGGTTGAGCACCACATCAAGAGCATCCACATTTGACTTGGAGAGGCACATATCAAAGTTACCCATCTTGAAGAAAGGATGAGGCACCGACACCCCCTTCCATTTCCAAGGGCCACTCAAAGAGAGGCACTCCTTTACTTTCTCCAGAAAGCCCCCAAAGATCTCTACTCTCTTGTTCTTTAATAAGTCCGCAACGTCAGTCACCACAGTATCAAGGGGATCCAGAAGTTTGCGGTACTCCTGCAATTGATGGGTTCAACAATTCCTTCCACAAATACTGATCAGTTAGGGACTCTTTGGGGAGATGTCCTTTGATTCCATATTCTATCATCCCAATAGGGCTGGATGTTTCTGGGAAATGATAAGAATGAATGCCATACTCGCTTCAAAACATTGACCCGTCCTCGAACAATCCGCAGTCAGTTGGGAAGACACTAAAGATCTGTTTGTCGCCCAGACCTGGAGGGCAGAGCCTCCCGTCCTCCATGTTTGCCAGCTTTATTGGACCATGGGACGCTTTATCAATGGCATTTTCAACTTTCCGGCGCCATTCCAATAGCTCACCCATGACTGGCATGACTGCGTCTTTGATGCTGAGCTTGTCGACCATGTTTTTGAAGGAGTCGACACCACCTATAATTTTGTCTGCCTTATCATCAAATTCGTTTCCAAATCCGTTCTCCATCCAGTGCCATGCATCTTCCGCCACACTTTTGATGCCATTTGTGACCTTCTCAGCACACTCTGAGAGACTCGAACAGGATGCCTTCACGTATTTCGACCAAAATGGCTGGAGAGGCTCTGGAAGTTCTTGAAGGATCATGTCCGCACAGTCCAAAAAATTCACGGGCAACCAGCAGGTCACAGGTAGCAAGCAGGACTTAGGAACCCAGCACGTGTTGACTTTAAAACAAGATTTTGGAACGGAGCATGTTTTGGGTCTCAAGCATGACTTGGCCACATGGCTAAAATCGCAAGTTATATCTAGGTCGGTCCAAAACCTCCTTCGACGGCGGGTGTGACACATTTCCAGTACTGACTCGCCACACTCTGCGATGCTTGTCACCGTTTCTTCCCCGCATTTAACTGCACTTGTCACCACATCTGAGCCACAGGCTACTGCATCTGTAACCCACTTCTTGCCACATTCCGCTTCATCTTGGATGAACTCCTTCCCACACTTCTCTGCATCTTTGATCATCTGCTTTCCACACTTCACAGGGTCAGGTGTCAAACATAAACAATATTGGCATTTGGAGCCACTGCGACCATTGTGAGCCCGTGAAGTTCCAATGTTCAGCAGCGACGCATCTTCCATGGAGCATGTCTCATTCCCGTCGAGCCGCTCTAGCTGCTCTAGCCGCTGCCAAGTTGCGGAGCTCTGTCTGACTAAAGCCAGAAGCAGAGCACCGGCAAAAAGCGAGGAGCCTATCATGGCCTGTCGTAGCCTCTCCACGTTGAATCTGGATCTGATCCGATCTGCGGAGAAATCCCTGGATTTTTGGCTTTTTGGATCGTGAAAACAAGCGTGCTCTGCTCAGAATCAGAGAACATGAAAGATCATGCAATCGTTAGTCCGTCAGTGTTGGATTTGCATGGATTTGGTCTCAGTGCAGCATCTCATAGATCTTATGTTTTCATGTTCCACATCGCGTGTAAAATATCAAACCTCCATGTTTTTCCACATTCTTTTCACATCGTTTTCACCTTCGTTTTCGTCATCGTTTTTGTCGAGCTTCGGGTGTTCGCCTGAGCCCTTGAACGTTTCAAGGCTTTCGAGGCAGAGCTCAGCTTCTTCTCTTGAGCCTGGGACGTTGACAGGCACAGCTCAGGACGTTTTCGGAGCTCCAAAATGGTGAAAAAAGGTGGAAAACAGGTGAAGAAAACAACAGGTGACAGGTGATAGGTGAAAACCGGCACCATTTGTGATTTCGCGCCTCCATGTGTTTCTCCATTGCCTGCTGCTGCTCCTGTCACTTAGACTCACGATGCCCTAGGCGCCAATGACTTCATATGACTTCATTTGACTTCATATTTGACTTTATCCCATGTCAGCGAGTTTTGCAACTCACAGAGTTCAGTCCTGCAGCTTTGTGAAGACAACATCCCTGGGAAAGTTTCTCTTCTACGTAACAATCAAACAACTCTTAGACGTAGACGAGTCATGGGTCGTTTTTCAGGTTTCGCACTGTGCATCCATTGCACTTGTTCGAGATGAATCGTGACATGAACTCTGCCTCGAAGGCAAGTGTGAATGATCCTCCGCTGCAGCCTAGATCGGTAGAAAAATCTTCATGACAAACAAAAGGACGCTTACTCAACGAAGAGATACGAAGAGAATGGCACTATTTCTCTCTGCCTCTTAAACAAACAGTATGCTAAGCCATGCCAAGCGTCTATTTGCAGATCTATGTTCATATCTTTTCCGAGGATCAAGCAGCGTGTGGTTGAGAGAAGTACGAAAAATCATACATGGCATCCAATTCCAGCCTGGAAGTCAACCGTTCTGAAGTCAAATCTGCATGTTGTGAATCACGGATGGCGGAGCGAATCCACTGATGGACTGAAAGGTGGTTGGAGCTGTGTTTCTTGGAGTGGTTGCAATGGTTGCAGTGGTCACCTGGTTGGTCACCTCACCCACAACTGCTGGATGTAGTGTGGTGTACTGCAGCTGTAGTTGCAGTTGTAGCGTAGCGGAGTTGTAGTTGTGGTGTAGTGTAATTAGTGTAGTGTCGTTGCAGTTGCGGTTGCATTTGTGGTGGTGTAATTAGTGCAGTGTAATGTACTGTAGGGTAGTGTAGTGTAGCGTAAAGTAGCGTAATTGCAGTTGTAGCTGCAGCTGTAGTTAGTGTAGTGCGGTGTAGTGTGGTGTGGTGTGGTGTAGTGTGGTGTAGTGTAACGGTAGCGTAGTGTAGCGTAGTGTAGCGTAGTGTAGCGTAGTGTTATGTAGTTGCAGTTGTAATTGTAAGTGTAGTGTAGTGTAGTGGACTGTAGTGTAGTGGAGTGTAGTTGTAGTTGTAGTTATAGGTGTAATGTAGTGTAGTGTACTGTAGTGTAGTGTAGCGTAGTATAGTGTAGTGTAACTGAATGTAGTGTACTGTAGTGAAGTGAAGTGGAGTGTAGCGCAGTGTAGTGTACTGCAATGTAATGTAGTTGCAGTTGCAGTTGCGGTTGCAGTTGCAGTTGTAGTTGTAGTTGTAGCTGTAGTTAGTGTAGTGTAGTGTAGTTGTAGGTGTAATGAAGTTTAGTGTAGCGTAATGCTTGTAGTTGAGTGTAGTGTAGCCTAGTGTAATGTAATTAGTGTAGTGTAGTGTAGTGCAGTGCAGTGTAGTGTAGTGGTAGTTGTAGTGGTAGTGGTAGTTGTGGTCGTGGTTATGTTTGTAGTGTAATGTGGTGTAATGTGGTGTAATGTAGCGTAAAGTAGTGTAATGTAGTGTAATGTAGTGTAATGTAGTGTAATGTGGTGTAATGTAGTGTAATGTAGTGTAATGTAATGTAGTGTAATGTAGTGTAATGTAGTGTAATGTAGGGTAATGTAGGGTAATGTAGGGTAATGTAGTGTAGTGGAGTGTAGTGTAGTGTAGTGGTGGTTGAAGTTGAAATTGCAACAAAACCTTCACGTTTTGCTCACTTTTGACAACATGCAGAATCCTCTGCGCCTCCCACGCAAAACGACATCAAAAGTGCTCTGAACCCGCCAATTTTTTACACTTTTGACTTCGAAATGTGCTTCGCGCCACAACGGCGTGCACTTTTTCGACATGTCAACTTCCAAAAGCGCTCCGAACCTGTTGTGCTTTGTACATTTTGACTTGGAAATGTGTTTCGCGCCAGAACGGCGTGCACTTTTTCGACATGTCAACTTCCAAAAGTGGTCCAAACATGGTATGCTTTGTACATTTTGACTTCCTAATGTGCTTCGCGTTACAACGGCGTGCACTTTTTCGACATCACAACTTCTGAAAGCGCTCCAAAGCTGAGGTGTTTGTACATGTTGACTTGGAAATGTGCTTCGCACCACAACGGCGTGCACTTTTTCAATATCTCAACTTCCCAAAGTGCTCTGATCGTGAGGTGCTTTTAGCTTTTTCACTTGCAAATGTGCTTCCGGCCAGAACGGCGTGCAATTTGGCCAGATGGCTCCGCACCCGCTTTTTTGCGAGCCTACTTTTCGACCCTCCGCAACCACAAATCATTGGAAAAGCACCGTGAATCGCGACTTTTCTACCTTTTCGCGCACTTGCTCTTTCTCTGATCTTCTCTCTTCTGCTCTTCTCCTCTCTGACTCTTCCTACCTCTGCTTTTCCATCTGTCCATATTGTCGGAAGTTTGACTTCTAAACTTCCTTCGATACATAGGTATCTATAGCACTTGCGCCACTCTTGTCGCCATCTGGAGGGCCCGGCCTCACTAAAGTCTTCCTGCCATGGAGAATCATGGAAAACCCTCTCGAGGGACGAGCTGATCTCATGTCTCAGACTTTCTCAACGCGTCGCAGCCTCATCTGTTGGTCCTTCGCTGTCGCCTGGCACGCAGAACATTTCAGAATTTTTTCGGGTTTCAATGACCCCAGCCCGGCCAGCCCGGTCAGCTGGGCTGTGCCTGCAACTGTGGCCTCCATTCCAAAGCCACATGAGGCCGCCACATGGACAGTCAATGCGGAATCATTTGGTCTACGTGAAAGTCGTGAATGTGAGGACTATGATTTGCAACTATGGTTGTACCATAAAGCTTAGACAGCCTCCAATGAGTGAGTTTTTTTCGATGTTTTGCCAATTGGCAGAATTTTTCATTCATTGACGAAGATATGATTCAAATCTATGACTTGGAAAGACTGGAGGAAATGTTTTGATCGGGTCTGCTGAAGGTGGCCTGAGTCTGGCCATTGTTTTGAATGATTTGTTTGAACAGGCTTGAGTCACAAATGACACAAGTCTGATACGTATGAAACTGTGTGTTGTGGTAGCACCTCATCAGTGGCACACCTGGAACTCATTGAGTCAGTATTTCAAATTTGATGCAGGTCTATCATCCGAAGTTTTTAATGCAGGTCTATCATTCCAATAAACTGAGATGCCAAAACGAGCTTATATCACCAAAAGGAAGTTTAGTTAGAAAACTTCCGGGTTATGGGCGGGTCATGGTTAGCATTCCCATCGTCATGTCAAACGCATCATCATGTCAACCACCCGTCATCAAGTAGTTGGGAAGTGCAACAGTTTAGCTGCGTGCGAATTCACGGGTGCAAACACTCTCGGGCGTGAAACCTGGTAAAGTGGCTTCCGTGGTCGTCGAAGTGTCTCTGTTTCCGCAATTGCGGGGCTCTATCTGCGAAAGTGGTTGACAAAAAGCGCCCAGGACTGTAGCAAGTGCTCGATTTCCACTTCAAAAACTGCACTTTTGGAAGATGAGGCCGGCAAAAGACCACTTTTGGAAGATGACGTCGGCAAAATGCGCACGAGACTGTAGCGAGAGCTCGGTTTCACACAAAAATCGCAAAACACTGAAGGGATCGGCACACTTTTGGAAGATGCGGTCGGCAAAATGTGCACCAGACTGTAGCGAGAGCAACATGTGCATTTCAAAGAATTTGCTGTGCGCTGAAAAATCACAAAAACTGAAGGGATCAGATCGCTGTTGGACGATGAATTTGGCTAAATTGCTTCATTCATTGATTCATTGCTTCCTTGGTTCACTGATTCAGGAGATTCAGTGATTCATTGACTCTCTGAATCGTGCAACCATTGGCTCATTGAGTCTTTGATTCACTGACTCATCGATTCATTGGTTCACTGGTTGCTTGATTCATTGAGTCATTGCTTCGTTGCTTCAGTGATTCTCTGATTCATTGACTGACTGGTTCATTGATTCCTTGGTTTGTCGATTCATTTGTTCATCAGTTCACTCACTCAGTTGTGCACGGATTCTTTCATGTCATTTCATTGGCATCTCAACAACCATTTGCTCATTCGTTGATGCACCTCACACAACTTCAACACTTCATTGCTTCTGCACCGCAAAAACTTTCATATAGGCCACTGATTTCCTGTAGCCCGTGCCCTATTTTCCAAACTTCCGCCCCGGCGCGGGCCGGGCACTACCTGGTATCAACATATCAACAACATGTGTAGCATAGGATTACATGCCAAAGTGTAAGTGATAGATAGAAACTTCCCACTTTTCCTTTGCAACTCTGCCATTGTTGCGGTTCCCTGCTTAACAGGTCAAACTGCAGTGCTACTGCGCCAAGCTCCGCACTTTGGGGGAGACTAAGTGACTAGAGCGCTACCAAACCTGGTATGTACAAATATGTACAAATCCAAACCCGTTCAGGTCTTCTAAGCATCACAAAGCACCGTTTGGCCATCAAACTGGGTCCTCCTGTTCCGCCATCTCTGCCTGCCGCAGGCGGCGCCTCTCCTGCAGCCAATTCCAATGAAATGCGTAAAAGGCAAACCCGGGAAAACCCAAGTCATTGTAATGCAAAAAACGAGCTGCTACGATCTGTGTGATTTTCGACCACTGCATCCTGCATCTCCTCCTTTTTGATTTTGTAAGATGCCCGGGCAGCTTTGACCCAGTCTAAGACCTGACATTGATGGCCAGGGTTGCACAGTTTCCTTTCACCAAGGTACAAGTGAAGAACGCAGAAGGGAGAGCTGCATGGCAAAGGAATCAGAGAGCTCGAAGAGAACCAAGGTGTTGAGTTTGTTTCGAATGTTTCACTCACTTTTGAACCAGACTCAAGGCGCCTGCGTAGAACGGTCACTACACTTGATCATAGCTGAAAGGCCGTGACATGGAGATCGTGATTTTGACTCCGGTCACCTTTCGTTCTGCCTCAGCTGTTTCTATCCTATGCAACTGCAGTCGAAACACCTTCTATACGCGGTGTACGGCAAATCTTTGCCCGCTGCAGGTGGCCACAGCGTGGAAGGTGATATTTCGTTCCACCAGCTGTGACCCTAATTTCCTCTGGATACATGGCGTTCCGAGTGCGTTCTTGCTGCTCTTTGTACACTCGTTCCATTCTTTCGATCACCTCTTTCTTCTCCTGGAGTTGCTGTGTCAGCTTCGTTTTCTCGGCTTCGGCAGTTTCCAGGGCCCCTTTCATGACTCGCATGTCAATGTGATGTAGCCCAAGTCCTCTAGGACGTTCAGGAGCGGCAGCATCCATTCTTGAAGAGTTTGACGCTGACCCCGGTTCTTCACGACGGGCCATCTTGTTGCCCATGTCCTTCATCTGCTGCTCGAGGTCTTCAATCCTCTTGTCTTTCTCTTTTCCCGCAGCAACATGTTGATTCACTCTGCTGGCGTTGTAGTTCTTCTGTTCTAACGCTCTGGTGACTTCCAAATTCCGGGTGTCGATGATCTCCCAGTTTCGCGTCAGTTCTTCTTCCAGCTCGTAGATCTTTTCTTCTGCAGTGGCCAGTTGTCGGCGAGCGTCATGCAGATGATTTTTATAGAGATTGCAGCTGTCGTTCAGAGCCGGTTGATCTTCTCGAAGTCGATCTCGTTCTTTGATGGTCGCAACAAGGTCATCCGTGAGCTCGGATATCTGCTGCAGATGGTAGGCTCGCATCTCCATCTGATCCACCTCCATAGGATCATCTTCCACCTTGACCTTAGCATAGACAAGCTTGTGTACAAAAACCATGAGGTAGTGCCAGAGCTTCGCCAGAAAGGACAACTTGTTGACATACTTCTCCACCATGATGGCCAGGATAACAACGATGAAGGTAATGACATAGTGCAGCGTGAGGCCAATGAAGTTGTTGGATACAGAGCGATCTGTCTCCACCTCGTCAATGGGATAGTGCGCTGCCATAGTCTCCGTACTGTGTGCAGTCGCCAGTGTGGCCATGCCCAGCAGCATTGCTGTTCTCATCACGCTCGAAGGAGCAAAGGCAATGGCACCATAGAGCATTGATGCGGCAGTTGCTCGCACATTGTGAGGCTCGTCCTTGGCCATCTGGATGATCTCATCATCGCCCTTCATGAGCATCTGTTCATCATAGTCTTGTAGAGAAGGAAGAACTCGGCTCAGAACTGGATGTCCATCAGTGCCAAAGATCTCGATGCGCCCAGTTGTCAGCAGTTGTAGAAGTCCAGGGCTGATCATAGGTTTGGTGAGCGCGTCAGCTACCATGCTTTCTGTTGGCACCAGGATCGTCATTCTGATTTTGCCAGTCACTCGAGCTTCTCGAACTCCAAGGATGTAAAGACGTTGTGTCTTGTCCTGTGGTAGCACCTTCTGACCAGTGCTCAGCTCCTATAGATCCTTACAGTCCATGACGAAGTCGCACTGTAAAAGCGGATTTCCAGACTCTTGGATCGCGGTCAGCTCCTTGATGGTTGGACTGTTAGACGTGTGCATCATCTCGGACAGCCTGATGAGAATGAGGACTGTTGACTCCAGTCCATTGACCATTGAAAGAGTCTCAGCATGACTCGTGCTGTAACTGATGCGTTTGGCCTTGCCGCCATGTGCATGAAGAAGATGAGCTGTTCCACCATGCTGTTGAACGGTCGTGGCATCATACTCAACCTCGCTGTTGATGTTGCCAAACCAGGCATCGTCCATGAGGAAGATCAGGATACCTTCCTGCGCATAGTGTCGCCCACTGTTGGCTGCGCTTGCATCGTGAACACAAACCAGTCGATGCTTGTTGGACTCGAACTGCCTGTAGTGGAGCATGGCTTCCTTGTGCTGTTTGGCCTTGACTAACACCTCGTTGGCCAACTTGATCTCGTTCACCGTGGCAGTCGTGACTCGTGATTGCAAGACTGAAACATCTGCGATCACATCCAAGCGGGTTGCTGTGATCCAAAGCAGTGCACCCAAAATCGATCTGAAGTCGGAGATCTCGTGGGGCTCCAATTTTGAGTCATCCGGTCTGGATGGAACTGGTGCTGGCTTCATCTTCTCCACAAACTCGATCTGATCGATGGAAAAGCCAGTGGGTGTATCAGCATAGTTGCATCCACAGTGAGAAAATGGCAGTGTTTGCCGTGTCACCTTCTTGAACTTACCCAGGAAGAGATTGTAGTGATGATCGAGCCAATCCTGTGAGGATGTCAGTGCTAGGTCATCCACGTGAGTTGTCACCATCGCACTCACGTTGTCCAGCGACATTGAAGAGTTTGATGTCTTCCATAGGAAGCAGTTTTCTCAATGATGCTCCTTTGGCTTGGCAATTGTGCCTGCACTCCTACATCATGGAACTTGGAGGAGTACGCAGCCAACTGGATGCAGCAGACCATATTCGTGAAGAGCATGTGGTGGTACCTTGAAAAGGCTTGAATGTTGTTGTAGATGTCGCCATACATTCAATGGAGGAAAAACCACCACTTGACGAGTCGGAGCACTCACTCCAAGTTTTCTGAGGGACTGCTGAATCTTCTGGAAGTCAAAACCCTTAAGGAAAGCTCCAGCAATGTCCCAAGACTCCAGTCGGCTCTTCTTGGTTTTCTTGGTTCTGGCTGCTTGAGACACCAAGATGCGCTGTGATAGCTGCGTGGCAGTTGTTGATCTTGTTGTGAGTTGGCTCTTCTGAGCATCAAAGCATCCTCTTGCGCATAGCCTCGACTTGATGCGAATGCTTCTGTCGGGATAGCGTTTCTTCTTGCAGACCCACTTGCAGTCGATGATGAACATGTCGTCCGTGATCTGAAGACGATGGATAGGCTTCAGTGCCTTCTCGTCCACGAACTGCTTGATCTCGTTGCTGTCCGCTTCATCCACTTGAGGCCACACCTCTGGGGTAATGTCGTGGTCTTCGAAGGTGTTCGTCTCCTCGTCGACCTTGTAGATGTGGGCAGTGCGAATGCACGCCAGAGCCTCATGGTTGGATTTGTACTCAATAGAGAAGAGGATGTTCAGCTTCTTCCTGTCATGGTCGTACTTTTGAAGGAGAAAGTTTCTGGTGAGGTCGGTCATGAGGTTGTATCCATGACGCCATTCAGAAGGAAAATCCAGTTGCACTTGTGCTGATGGTGCATGTGCAAGATACCAGTGGCGTAAAAACTCCAGGTCCTTCTGGACGTAGGTCATCTTCTGTTTCTTCTTCTCTGGAGATAAAACCACTGTCCTGCTTTCTGGACCTTCTCGTTTTCGATTCATGGGATCTTCATCCATTGGTTGTGGAGCTTGATCATTTTGAGTGTTTGATGTAGAGGTGGTTCTTTGTAATGTTGATCTTGAAGTGGAAGTTGCAGTGTCGTCCATGGTACCATGATAATAGAAGAAGTAAAGAATGCATAGATCCTCTCGCTGGAATGTGGAGATCTTCTTCATCTGGAGATGGTTGTCCGACTTGTGCTCTTGGACAGCGTAGTTCCGGCTTCCATTCAGCCAGGTGATGAGGACTCCATCTGTTCCTGCAGGAGGTTTCATGGATCGTAGAGCTCGGCCAAATAGAACCCCATGTAGTTCTCGTCGAGTCAGTCCTTTGGAGACTGTTGTGGCCTTCTCCAAAACATCAGTTGCTTCATTGTTGTTCTTGGGAAGCTTGATCCATGTGTCGTTCTTCTTCTTGATTCAGCCGTAGAGATAAATCTTGTATTCGGTCATGTTCTCCACATACTTCATGAGCTTCCGCAAGGAATCTTCAAGTTGTGGAGATTGAACTTCCATGTGGTAGATGCCCTTGAAGGGTCTGATGTGACGCAAAGCAACCAAGTAGGGTTTTCCTTGGTATTGGATCACTGCCACACCTTCATCAGCAGCTAGTCGTAGAAGAAGTGCAGGGCCACGCCATCCAGGGTCTTTCTTGACCTCGCGGTAGAACTCAACCTCTGATGTTCCAGCCACCAAGGAATCAACTTCAAGTTGATGAGGTTTCGTCCTGGCAGCTCGAGCAACGCGGTCTTCAATGACTGCTTGTTGAGCTTGTGCCAAGGATGTCTGTCTAATCCTCATAGCTCGCTCGAAGACTGTCAGATCGGTGTCCAGAGCGCCGGTGGAGTTCAGCACGTGCTCAGATTCCGGGTTGTAGAACTCCCGAGGAAGTGTGCCGTAAACGGCCATCGCTGGTGTCACACCACCGTAGGAAAGAGTGATGTTGTGAGCCATTGCAGACTCCTGGCCCAGCTCGGACTCAGTTGGATGGAGGCCTTGTCGTTGAAGTTCGGCTTTTAGCTTGTACATGGTCAGCTTGATCAGTTGCACGTGTCTTTCCACAATGCCTGTTCCAGTGTGTTGCTCTGAACCGGCACCAGCTGTGGTTCCACGTGGGCATCATGATGCCGAGTCGCTCAAATTCTGCTCCGGCTTCGTGGGACATGAGAGACACCTGCTGGTCGAGCACCAGTCGTTCAGGAGGTCCAAAGTGGTAAATCCAGAGCTCCAGGAAAGCTTGTAGAAGTTGATCTGCTTCTTGGCCCTCGATGGTTCCGCTCTTCTTGAAGCGTGTGGCTTCATCCACCAGCAGCATGAACCATGTAGACTCCCAGTAGTACAGATCCATCTGGACTGCTTGATTGAAGACGTTGGCACCACGGACTCGCATCTGCGGCTTGTTGGGAAGTCGGATGTATTTGCGACAAATGGCGCAACATCCAATGGCCTCTCGAGCCAGTGCAATGACTTCTCCACTCATGCCGCTGCGGCGAAGAAGGCTCGTGAAGTCAGATGCCGGAGGGTGCCACAATCTCTCGTGTAGGCCAAGTAGAAGTCTCTTTGCTTTCTCGTTATCACCTTTCTCGACCAAAACTGGAAGACGTTGTAGAACTCGTCGAAGGTTGTAGTTTGGTCGGATTGGCGCAAGGTCTTGAGGAGACTTCGCCTCAAATTCCTCCTCCTCTTGTGGTGCTTGTTCTGCTGGTTCATAGATTGAGAGCTTGAGCAGATCTTCTTCTCCTCCAGGTACATCAGGTAGAGCCAGTACCGCAGGTTGCTTAAGAACTCCATCTGGTCTTGCAGGAAGACTGGATTCCGATGGAATGGCTCGCGATCTTCTGGCTGGTGTTGATGGTGCTGGTACTCCTTGAAGTTCAGTGCCAAAAACATTGATCAGCCAGTCGATCTCATCAATGTACTCATTGATCTGGTTGTGGCTGCATTCACGTAGATCTTCAAGTGGTCCAACATTCCAGTCCTTGATGTCGCCAGTCGTAAGTACGACGACTCAAAGGCCAACTGTGGTTGTGCATCATGTTTGTAGAAAGGCCTGAGTTCCACGCGAACACCACGGACTAGCATGTGGCCCTGGAAGATCTCCTTGAAGAGTGCAAAATGCAGTTGGTTGTCAAGCCAGTAGCCCTCACCGACCTTCTTGTCGTTCTGCTCTTTGAAGAAGTCAAGCAAGTTGTGTACCACTTCCATCATGAGCTTCTTCAAGTAGTGCTTTTGGTGCTCGTTCAAGAACGGATCAATATGCTCGGTGAGGTTGACCTTGTCAAGGTTCTCCTTGTTGGTTCGGATTTTCCAAGTAGAGATTGGGTTTTGTGCAGGTAGGCCACTTTTGGTTGTTGCCTTTGGTCCAGATCCTTCAGCCCATCGTCCATGTCGACATTCCTTGGGCACCATCGTGTGCGGGATGTCTGGAGGACATGCACGGCCAAGTTGACAGCGAATGCACTCATAATGGTGTTGTGATGCAAAATGTCGTAGATGCTCAGGCCATCGTCCAAGACGTAGTAGATCTCGTTGATGTAAATGTAGGAAGTTGACGATGTCCTGCCGCATCTTTTGGCACATGCCTCTAGGATAGGCTGCTGCAGTGGATGTTCTGGAAAGTCCGTTGGGTCCAGTGCCACGCAAGTGGGCATGTTGACGACCTTTGTGTCCAGAGCATCGCACAGCAGTCTTGGACCATTTGATGTTGGAGTTGAAACCAGTGGCCTTCTGGATCGGGTACTTGCACTCGTCCTCTGCACCATGCATGCATTGATCGATGCGTTGTCGTTTTCGGTGATCTGAAAGATCAGAAAGATGAAGAGGATTTTCAGGTAGATCTTCTTGAAACATCGCACTGCCGTAGGGTTGCTCGACATTATAGCCACGTCCATGATGGGACTGGTTCTGGCAGACTTCCTGTGTGAACTCCAGACTGGGTCTTGCAGCATTTCGCTCGGCCAGTCGTTCTTCAGGATCCTTTGAGGAGCTTGCAACGCTCCATGGAGCACAGTCAGGTGCAAGGTGCACCACTCCAGGTTTGAACTCTTGTTGTGCTTGTCGAAGCATAGCCTGATGCTCAGCATTTCCAAGATCCCAGCCATAGCGTAGATCCACTGGAAATCCAATGACCAAACCGGCCATCATCAAGATCAGGCTCAAACGGCCTGTGCCAGAGGAAAGCTCCCAAGCATGCCAGCGTAGGCCTTTTCCACGGTTTCTCTGAAACCAGCGCTTGAAGTTGCTTGGGGTGACGGGTCGTAGACCGGTCTTGCTGTAGAACTCCTCTGGCATCGCCTTGTACCTTTTGGATAGCTTCGACACATTGGATCCTTCAGGAAGTTGATCGCCAGTATAGATGGGAAATTCCTCATCGTCAGGCTTCGCAGAGGCCAAAATGGCAGTGCTGTTCTCGGCAGTTGAGTTGCCAGCTTGATCAAGTTCTGTGCAAAAGGTGTCGTAGTGCATCTTGTCGTGTTGCTTCGCCTGAGCCAATTCCGTCGGAGACTTATCAGCCAAAATGGTGCGCTCCGGTGAGACATCTTCGTTCATCACGGACCTATCGGTCGGAGTGATCTTCTGTGCTGTTGAGGGCTCCTTGTACTCATCGGAGTCCTTGTTGTTGATCTTACGGACATCTGGATCCTCAGTGAGGTCGTAGTCCAGGATGTCGGCATTCTTCAAAGCCTTATCCTTGGGCAGAATATTCTGCTCGATGTTGTGAAAGGTCTCGGCAAGGATGTGGGGCTGCTTATCGTTCTTGTCCATGGCAAAAGAGACACGTCGTTCACCCCGGTCACCTTCCGTCTGCTCAGCCGTGTCATTCTTGCTCATGAAGCAGTGCCGAACTCTGGTGTGAACATCGTTCCATCGTTGAAAGCTTTCTTCGGCAACACGTTGACTGAACAGAATGATCTCCTTCCGGGTTTCTCGGGCCACCTTGCCAGAGCTTTCATAGTCGGTAGGCAAGATGTAGTGCCCAGATTCCGTCAGAAGAAGTCGGAAGAGCCGGTACTCCTTGCTGTTCTCCTCGGCGTTTCTTCCACCAACCATCAGAAGACCATCACCGTTGGCGAACCAATTGGAAAAGATGCTTGCATCCATCTTCCGCAAAGTCGGGTTCCCAACCAAGGCGGGGCACATAGAGCCATCGCCACCGATCACCTCTGCAGTGAACGTGATGTTCTGTCCTCCAGCTTGTAGGGGAAGAGTAACTTCTCCAAGAGTATGATTGGATCCACCTTTGATGCCGCTGACAGGCGTTGTCTTGTTGCGGTCCATAACAACTTCGTTGTTCTTGCCCAGCGGTGTGACACAGCGGCTCATCAGCTCACGAAGAGTCTCTGATCCAATCAATCCAGAAGCTGCGCCAGGGTCGATCAGCAAGCCGTGACGCTGTTCTCCACGAACTGTGAAGTAGCTCTCGGTCTCCTTGGCATGTCGATCTGCATGGAAAACTGCGAAGCTGAAAGCAGTGCCATGCTTCTTCTCCGGGATCGTTGTGGCTGTCTCGGCATTGTCGGGGCTTTTGGAAGATCTTGTAGACCTCTTCAACCAAGTGAAATCCTCCTCCTCTGATGAGGTGTGCATGATGAACTTCTCGACCTTCGTGTTGTCGTTGGTCATCACGTGAGAGCTCGAAGATGAGAATGTAAACTTCCTCGTGGAAGCATCAGGGATGCCGGCAGAGAAATCCAAGGTAGGCTTCGGAGTTGCAAACCAGTGACGTTTGCCATAGCCTTTCCGGCCATACGAAGACTTGCCAAAGCCTGTAAATCTGCCTCTTCCTTTTCCTTTGAAGAAAGGTCTGTAGCCCCAGCTTTTGCCTTTTCCTTTGGACTTCGCTTTTCGCATGCCAAATGGTTTACCATATCCTTTTCCTTTTCCACGTTGATCTCCATGTCGTTGAGCTTGAAGTGGACAGTCCTTCACCATGTGCCATGTGCCACTTTGATCCGCAGTTGAAACATCCATCTTCACCTCCTTTGCCCTTGCTCTTGCCCTTGTAGTAGTCGCCTTGTGCATCAGCTTGTTGGGGATCTTCCGATTGTCTGGATGGGTCATCTTCGGCTGCATCTGGTTGTTGAGCTTCTCCATCAAGTTGTTCTTCGACCCAGCCATACTCATCATCCCAGTAGTAGTGCCCATCGTCGTAGTCATCATAGTACTGATCATAGTCGTCCCAGTAGTTCTCGTCATTATCATAGCCCCCATAGCCATACCACCAAGCCAGCTCGTCCTCGTAGTCGTCGTCGTAGTATCCATCTTCGGCCCAGTCCTCATAGAAGATGTCGGCCTCGCTGGTTGGATGGTTCGGGCTCATTCTCAAGGCTAAGACTTCTGGCGTCCTGGAACCTTGTGTAGTCTCCTCCAACTTGTAGCTTGATGTCATCCACGGTCTTCGGCGACAGCCCAGAGTGCTTGAACCATATGTAGAACTTTCCAACATCATTCAGTTGTAGTCCAGCACGGTCATGGGCTTCATCGTATCTCACATCGAACTCCATTGCATACTCAGCCAGCGTCATCTTCTGTGAAGTCCTTGACAGTGAGAAGAACTTGTCCAGGGCGTTCGTGGCGAGGTCCTGATCTTGCTGCCCAAAGGTTTGTCGCAGCTCCGTGATCAGGTATTGGACACCTGATGCAATTGGCTGTTGCACCACTGCTCCAAGTCACCGGGTCCAGCACCTCGTCCACGCTGAGCCTCGAGAGAGCTTCCGGTCCAACGTCATAGGCCCCGTCAGGCCGTGGCACCCGCAGCGTCATAGCGACCTTTGCCGCTCTGCCGTGCAGTCTCCCTGCAACCATCGGACCCACGACTTCGTCTTCTAAAGCCGTTGTCTTATACCACAACTGTAGCTTCTCCATGTAGAGCTTCAGCGGGTACGAAGAGTCGCCTGGGGCCCAACCGGGCGGTATCTCCCTGCGGAACTCTTGCAACGGCAGGTTTCCACCACCAGCTGCTGGATTCGACATCGCTTCAGCTTCAGGTCCAGGTAGAAGAGCACTTAGCGATAAGCCAGTAGTGCAAGATCTCCAAGAACTGCAATGCCAGCGCAGTAGGTCAGGTGGTCGATATAGTTCACCAAGCGCAATGCTCGGGATGTTTTACAGGAAGTCCAGTATGGAGGCCAGGCACCTCTCTGTAGGGCTCCTCAACCACAAAGCCTGGGAGAAGGTCCGGCTGCCGCAGAGGCCACCGTCCTTCTCGGCAAACACCAGGGTCACCTTTGTCAAGTAGCCCGGGTTTACCTCCACAAAGCCAGCCTCAGCAGGCAGCCCGGTCAAGGGCGGTAGCCGAAGGAGTCGCCGCGTGCAAACGGCGCGGGCAGCTGGAGCCAGGCCTTCCTGGCTCCGCTACCAAACTCACTTTTGAACCAGACTCAAGGCGCCTGCGTAGAACGGTCACTACACTTGATCATAGCTGAAAGGCCGTGACATGGAGATCGTGATTTTCACTGTTTCGATCTTTTCGTCGACTGAAATGCATTCGATATGCAAATGCTGCTGACCTTCTGCTGAGTGGTGACATCAGCTCGACAATCCTGGCACAAAGTGAGTCGACCAAACTTGCCAAAATTTGGTCAATCTCGGCGCAACTTCTCCTCCTCTCGTAGGGGCTTTCCCGTAATGGGACACACGCTTCCACAGGTCGTGAGCCATTGCTTCAACCTGATCAAATTCCACAAATCCAACATCTAGTGAACAAGTGTGAACAAGATCCATCAAGTATACTGTATACAAATGTATACAGTAACAAACATGTGCATACAGTGCATACTAGTTTCTGCCCTGTCTCCTTGGACTCCTTAGACTCTTGATGACTTTTGGGAATGTGATGGAATATGTCTAACCGTGACGGGAGCACAAGACTGATTTTGACCCAAGGCCCAGGCGTATCTTCCTCAAAGACATGTCCATAAGGTGACAGCACTGGAGCCTCAGAAACAGGAAAGATACCACCAGCTGAAAGATTTGCCTGTTTGACATGTTGTTTGACAAATTTTGTTTGATTGGAAAAAACAGATCTCATATGAGGGTGGGGAGGATAGCAAGAACATGCATGATGCGGCATGACTCCTTGATACTCCTTGCGATGAAGGGTTCAGAGTTGCCTTCGAGCTCCCAGCCCCAAGCAACTTGCCGTCAATTGCACATCGCAATTCCTGCGGTCAATCTGGATCTATAGAACATTTTGCAGGCAAGTCTCCGACAAGGCATGCATGAATCTGGATACAGACTAGACTATATATATATTTATTTATTTATTATATTTATTATATTTATTTCTTTATTCATTTATTTATTTATAGCTACCCATATGTGCCTGTATGTCACGGTTGTCATGTATCTACACGTATCTGCTATGTCAGTCGAATCCCGCTGTTTTCCGCAGTTTCTCCTCAGGAGCCTCGGCGGGATCCTCGGAGATAGCTGAGGCATGCGACAAAGCGAAGCTCCCAATGCGAAGCTCACGCTTCGGACGTTTGGAGGTTTCGAAGGTTTCATCTGACAGTCTGACAGACTATGACAGATTTTTGCGGCACTTCATGGCACTTTGAACAAGCTTCTAATGTTGTTAGTTCATGTTATTTCTGCGATCTCAGGTCCCAACGACACCGCGAAGGCTTGAGATGTCATTGCGACCCAAGCGCTGGCATCAGGGCGGTGCTTTCAGCCACAAGACATGAGAGTCTCTGAGAGTTCGGCACACATCCTTATGCCATTGAAGCATCAAAAGAACTAGTTCTAATTCATTCTAATTCATTCTATACTTTAATAGTGAAGCCTCAAAAGCATCAAAAGCCCAGATCAAAGCACTCCGCCTTCACTGCTTTCCTCTTCACCGCCTTCTGTCCAGGAATGGTTGGCCTGTAGGCATGACATACTCAGAACGTGTTCCGCAAAGCTCACGCATGCTGAGTTTACGGCTTGCACACGGCTTGCACTGCCAAATGCGTGTGCAAGTTTCATAAGTTTGATTGGGACTGTTCATTAGTTGGGCGCACACATCCATTCGTTTAGTCATGTGAATTGTAAAAAAAAATGATGCAAGACATTCCATTCTTTTAATTTCAACTTATCGTGACTTATCCATTGAACAACTTATCCATATACAGTATTGGTTGTGGCAAAGCCATTGATAAAAGATTGTTTGAATTTGAAGTTTGATCTCCCTTGAGGCTTGGGCAAGTTTAGAGCACTGAGGCTTGGTGGTGCGGGATCCTGCCAATGATGCACAGAATTCATTCAATATGGCTTTGTCTATTGAGGTACCCGGAAATCTGATGGGTTCATGGTTGTTTTCTCTATAAAAATAGCCATATATTGGAGTACCCGATGTTTCACAAAGCCATATTTTCAAACACAGTCCTCCACCGGCTGCGTATGGTGCAAATTCATGGCCTCCTGTCGAGGAAATACGGAAACATTTACAAGCAACATCGGTGCAGAAAGTGTCGAAAGGCTGAGCTATTCCTGATGAAAAAACAATTATCTCTCTGACATACAGTATTACCATATATTACCTACTGATGTCAGCGATTGTGAGCACTGCATCGGGGAGTCCTCAACTGTAGCCATGGCCGACACGGGCTCAGGAAATTCACCGTTGGTGCCATTCACCTCAAAGATCTCGCCTGCAGACGTTTCACGAGAATTCATTGGAAGCCAAGGGACTGCAGAGGAACAAAGGAAACCAAAAAGGGGGTTGGATTGGTGGGATTGGGTTGGATTCACAGAGTCTGCAAGAAAGACACAACTGACCACCATTTTGTGAAAGGTGCTCAAAAGGATCTGAAAAGTAGATGGGAAAGGGCGTATCGCGGCGTATGGATGTATTCAATGTATTCAGTCTAGTTGCGAATGTAATTACAAGTCTCAGATTGATCTTGTTGCCGCCTGGATCTCCCAAGGAACATTCACCTTCTGGAATCACTTCCGCAGAACTCAGTCGCAAATGCAAATGGTGTGTCTCAGAACATCGTCACCAGAGTCTTTTCTCTTTTGAATTTTTCATGAGTTTTCCATTGAGGTTCATTTGAAAACAATGCATCTTGAATCTTTGTCGTGTTAGCTGAAACACGACTGAGACGGCAGCTTTTCGAAGGGTGGCAGAGGCTGTGGGGCTCCACAGTAATCCTCAAGCTCAAGCTGGCAACATCCGGCTGCAACACTTCACTTGGGAGAAGACAAAGCTCTACAACTCAGTTCCATGTTGCTATTCTATGCTATTTTGGCTTCTTCCTGCAGAAATTTCTTTGGAAAACTCTTTGTCTCTGTGTCTCTGCGGAGTTTTGTCTTCCCATGCTGCTAGCATGCCACTGTCTTTCACATGTTTTGCCTGCAGGACGCCCTGGACATCTTCAAACGAGCAGTTCAAGAGGTGGCAACGCCTGGAAACACTGCATTAGACAAAACTTGTGTGAACAAAGAACACAGTGTTCTAACAGGAGCTTTGAACTCGGGTTCCACTGCACATCGCGGCAGAATCGACACTGAGCAGCTTGCGCTCGCGCTTGCTGCCAAAAGCTTGCCTACGATTCATGGCCAATTGAGAAACGAACACCGAGACAGCAAGACGTGAAGATGGTTCTCAGATGTTATCAGCTCGAATTGCCATTTCATGGCGCAACCTTACAAGATCTTGCAAGCCTGGAATCCCCTGGAATCCCCTGGAATCCCTACCGACCTTCTGTGTATCTGTCAACTCCGCGAAGCCTTGGCGGATGGGTTCTGCCTCACATCGCAACCGCAAGGCTTCAAGGGCGCAAGGGTGACAATGTGGCGCTTGTGGCCTCACGAGAAGCCCCTAGCAAAGCCAGGGCCAATCGAGACAACCTCGGAAGTTGCAGATCACTTTGGCGCGCAGCTCCGAAGGTTGGAATATATAGGAATATAATATAATATAATATAATATAAGACAATATAATATAAAAAAAAATATATATATATACAGTAATTTAATATAATATAATATAATATAATATAATATAATAAATACAAATATAATATAATATAATTAAAAATATAATATAATTTAATATAATATAATATAATATAAATATAAATATAATATAATGTCATATAATATAATTTAATATAACATAATACAAAATAATATAATATAATATAATAGAATATAATATAATTTGATATAATATATAATATAACATAATATAAGACAATACAATATAATATAATATAAATACAAATATAGAGTAATTTAATATAATATAATATCATATAATATAATATAATATAAATATAATATCATATCATATCATATCATATAATAGAATAATCAAACATATAATATCATATAATATAATATAATATAATACAATATATATAATCAACGACTATAAACATATTATATAATTATATTTATATATAGTTATATAATGCTATTTATGTATATATGTATATATATAACATTATATAACTATATATATACACTTCTATAAGTAGATTCAAAAATATATAGTCTATAAGTGTATATATATATATATATATTACTTGAAATATTTTGGAAATTCCCTAAAATTCCTATATGTATTTTACACGAAAATTATTTAAAAAAAAAAACAGATGCAGCCCACGAACCCGAATGCAGTCACCTAGAACACTTTTGTGAAGCAAGTTACTTGAACAGTCTACATGTCTCCCCTGTTACCCTAGACTGTGGAATGCGGAAGAGGGTGGAGTGCAAAGTACGGAGTGTGGAGTGTAAAGTGTAGAGTGTAAAGGGTAGAGTGTCAAGTGTAGAGTGTCAAGTGTAGAGTGTGGAGTGTGAAGTGTAAAGTGTAGAGTGTGGAGTGTGAAGTGTAGAGTGTGGAGTGTGGAGTGTAGAGTGTGGAGTGTAAAGTGTGGAGTGTAAAGTGTGGAGTGTAAAGTGTGGAGTGTAAAGTAAGGAGTGTGGAGTGTAGAGTGTGGAGTGTGGAGTGTGGAGAGTAGAGTGTGGAGAGGAAAGTGTAGAGTCTGTAAAGTGTAGAGTCTAGAGTGTGTAAAGTGTCGAGTGTAGGGTAAAGTGCGGAGTGTAAAGTGTGGAGTGTGGAGCATAAAGTGTAAAGTGTGGAGTGTAGAGTGTGGAGTGCGGAGTGTAAAGTGTAGAGTGTAAGTGTAGAGTGTAAAGTGTAGCCCACGAACCTGTGTAGAGCGTAGAGTGTAGAGTGTGGAGTGTAGAGCACGCAATGCGACACGTCTGAAGTGCTGCGCCTGCCACGCAAAATGACGACAGAGATCTCCATGCAACATGCTGCGCCTGCCACGAAAACTGCAACTCATCTTGTGAAAACGACGCAAAAGTACTGTGCCCGCCGCACAAAACGTTTTTCCACACGTCATCAAACCGGTTGGAATGTCACAAAGCGCCGCGCAAAACAACATTACGACCCGCTTGGAAACCTTCGAAAAGGACATGTTTTGCAGCTTCCCCCATAGACAAGGCGAGGCCACAGGAAAACCAGAGACTCGAGACGAGACACGTGGGAGCATCAAAACGAGCATTTCCTGCGAGACGTCCTCCAAGTTTCACACTTTGTTGTAGCTTCAAAATCGATGTTTTCCTACCAGTTTTCTTATAACCTCTAAATTTGCTACCTCAAAATCGATGTTTCGTGCAAGGCTTCCGTCACTTTTCATCACATCTCACAAAATGCCACGCCTGCCTCGGAATCAATGCGAGTCGCAAAAAACACGCAACGCGACACGTCTAAAGTGCGGCGCCTGCCACGCAAAATGACGCTGGACACGTCCAAAGTGCTACGCCTGCCACGAAAACTGCAACTCATCTTGCGAAAACATCGCGAAAGTATTGCGCTTGTCACACAAAACCGACTTTCAACACGTTAAAAAAAACACGTCTGAATGTCACGAAGTACCACGCCTGCCAGGCGAAACGAAGCAACGCGACCTTTGACACCTCCAAAAATGACCCCTTCTGCAGAACTTACCATAGGCACGGCCATATGGCCCTCACGCGGACGGTTGCGAACGGTTGGGGACGGTTGCGGACGGTTGCGGACGGTTGCGGACGGTTGCGAACGGTTGGGCAACGTCGAGCGAACACACCCTCAACCCCCAGACCCCCAGAGTGAAACGGGAACCCTTGCTACGCATTCGGGAAAAATGCTGCGACCAAGAAGCAACGCCGCATCAGCGGTGATCCGGGAATCTTGGAGGAACTGCAGTGCCAGTGCCTAGCAGATGGAGCTTTAAGAACACCGTCAGTGCCGTCAACCGCCAGTGCCAACCCCGTTAGTGTTCTGATTTTTTCTGAAATTCAAAGTTTCAGTCTGGATGTTTCAACTTTCAACCGCTTCTGACGAGAGGATCCAGAGCGAAAGTTTTGAGAGCGCACCTCAACACTTTCTCTGGACCTGGTGACAAATCAAGCAGAAATGATTTCAAATGATGTCTAAATGATTTCATGACCATGGCCTGGCCATTGAATGCTGATGCCATGACATCTGTTGCCATGGAATGTGGTCAGAAAAGCTGAGCACTGAACTCCTCTTGCAGACCAAGCCCTACGGCTGCTATTGTGGCATCCAACCTGCGAACTCCAGAAGCCACACAAATAGGATTGGAAAAGTCAGAGACACGCTTAGTTGGATTCTAAATCCTGTAGTCCTGTAGCATAGATTTCGGAATGCCTTCGAATTCATAACAAAACGTCCGGGGTCACGGCACAGCTTGGGAGGCGGTCAGAAGATCTGCTGAATTTGCTGCCTGGACAAAATGGCTTCTTATGGCCTCTTATGGCCTCTTATGGCTTCTTATGGCTTCTCTTCTTATGGCTTCTTATGGCGTCTTATGGCGTCTTATGGCGTCTTATGGCGTCTTATGGCGTCTTATGGCTTCTTGCAATGGTGTTGAAGTGCCATTTTTCAGGCTCGGCCAAGAGGCAAATGTCAGATGTTCAATTCTGCGAAACTGCATGGACCCCATGTGTTGCGGTGAATCACTCTCATTCTCACCTGAGCCTGTAAGCGAGCTATCACTAGCTCTGCAAAGGTATCTGCAATGGCCAGGAAGGCCTCAGTGCCATCCAGAGGTGGCCAGAAGAACATGACATGAAATGCCTAGAGATCAACCAACTGAACCTTGATGAACACAGTCGATGTCCAGGGGCAAAATTCTGTTGCTAAGCATGCCACTGGAACCAGCATCAGTATATGGCGGCGTACCATGGAATCTCCATTGGTGGCCAGAGTGCAAACCTTAAGCATCAGTATTTTGCTATGGAAAATTCAAACCAAAATACTGACTGCGCACGAAATACTCCTATAGCACCAACCAAGACAGACCAAAATCCAACCGGAACCAAAACCAGCAAAACCAAAAACTGCATCCGCATGACGCTTGGTGACGCTTTGTGACGCTTTGCAATGCTTTGACTCAGCTGCGTCCCTGGCCAACCGAGACAAGAGCACCGGCAGCACCAATGGCACTGGACAAATGCCAGGTCCGATCCCGGCATTGGCCTCGGGTGAAGTTGGCAAAGTTGGCAACTGCTATGAACGCAAAATGCCTGCTATGCTCACAGAAATCATCAGAAATCAATACGCCGCAGCCATGCAATGCTGCGCTGTGATTGAAATGGGCTTCCTGCCCAGCAAAGGTGAAAGTCACAGCAGTCGATGAGCTGGGGAAGTACACCCATCCTCAAGGCCGAAGGCTGAAACGCAGAATCTTTGATCTCCTTCCATCTCCTTCCATCTCGTTCCATCTCCTTCCATCTCGTTCCCTTCAGAATTGCACTTGATGGTGACTCTATGTGACTCTCTACGACGTGGTAACACTTCAGAAAAGGCTCTGAACTGCTGCACCAGCCAAGCGCAAGATGTGCTCTTGTAGACTGGCCTTGCACTCCCAAATTGTCTTCAGAGATCAGATTGGATCTTTGCTGCCAAATGCTGACATCCATAGAACTATCAGAACTGACGCCTGCAATTCCTTGATGCTTCCATCTGTCTCCGAGTTTGGACCCCACAACGCGCCAGGCCTGCAGTTGATGTCAATGGTGACTTTCGCATGCAAGACACTCTAAAACATTGTGCATGTCAACTGTAGAACATTGTAAACCCAGGTCAAAAATGTCAAAAGTCTTCAGTTGAGAATGATGAAATCTGACTATCAGCACAGTGTGGTGAGGCATGCGCTGGTACAACCTGCAATAGGCTTTTGTGAAGCTTTCCTGCCGCGGTCAGCTTGACGGTTTCTTCTCACTTTGAGGCTTGCCGCTAGCCAGGCAATGGTAACTGCGTTGGCTCTGGTGCCTTATCCTGAACTTGCAGGGAACAAAAAGTGAAATAAACACTGAATAAAAGTGGATAAAGAGTGAAATAAAAGTGAAACAAAAAGTGGAATTAAACTCGCCAGGTGTTCTTGCACGGCCAGTAGTCTATTGACCGTTTGACTTTGATCTGACCTGTGTCCAATGCCGCGCAGCTTGGCACAGCTGGCACCGTTAGGCACCGTTGGTACTCCGTTTCTAGGGCCAGCACCCTTCACTGGAAGCGTGCACCGTAAGATGAACCTCCAATTGATCGAAACAGCCACAAGGATTCGTGAGCGTGAAAGTTCGAGACATGTATCAAGCATTGCTTGTCACATCAAGATACACTAGGGATGAGATCTACGATACCGGAGCTGAATGCAAGTGTGCTGAAATGATTGAAATGATCTCGATCTCGCAACAATTACAGATTCAGATGAGCCATGGTGAGATCATCACATGCCATTTTTCTCACCGGTGAGACATGGTGAGACTGCAACGACTTCGGGCTCGGACCGAAAAGACGTGCCGCGCGACCACCGCGCAGAGCGTCACGTCATCCGAACAAAGATCCAGCCTCGACACCGTCAGAGCCACTGTGTTCTCTCTGAAATCTCCAAATTGTGCCGTTGGAGCTGCGCCAGCTCCGCAACTCAACCGCTTTCCAATTGCAGCAATCTTTCGATAGCAATTCAGCTTTGAATTGGCTGGAGATCCCTTTGGACGGTAAAATTTGCATGTCACTTGGACAAAAGAATGAGCAGAAGTAGTTCAACCTTGTCTCAGGTTTGTATCACAAAGCTGTACTGCAAGCTGGGTGAGAACTAAGCGCCCAACAAAGCAGAAGCTTCCAGCATCTCACGATCCTTAGCTGTCACGGCGGAGAAATGCAGGGAGCTAATCATGTGAAAGAGCTTGTGAAAGAAAGAGAAAGAAGATGAAAGAAAATAGAAGAAGGTGATGGTGATGTTTGATTTTTACAAGTTGCACATGTAGTGATTTAGATTGATTTAGTGCATGTGTCATATGTGTCCCCTTTTTTTTTGAACGTTTGATCCAGAACCTGAGGAGACGGCTGCACAGCAAACCAACGCTTCCCACATGGTCGATGCCAGTTGGGCGTGAAGGACTCGGATGTGCACCTCGTCGCTGTCCTCTTCGTGCATCGTCAGCAGCAGGTCATCAAAAATTTCTGCCACGGCTTCCAAGCACGCTCTCCTTGACTTGGAAGATCTTGGAAGCTTGGCTGGTTGAAGTTTCAGTTGAAACAGCTTCAACAGCTTCAACCAACAATTTCAAAAAAAAATGATCAAGTTTAATGTTCTCTGTCTTGGAATTTGGATCAACAATTGTAATGCAACTTCCGTCAGACCTTCCAAGGGATCAAGGAATTTGTCCAGTGCGAAACCAATGTATCTTCAAGGCAACTTACGGCCACATGGCAACCACGCCGCCAACCGAGTTTTCCGAAACACTATAAGATCTATCAGTTTAAGGTCACAAGTCGTTTGCGTGTCATGTTGGAACAAATCGGAATGGGAAACAATGGGAAACAACGAAAAAAACAGTTTAAAAAGGTAAGAATAATAATAACAATATGTATATTATGTATACCTAAGGCAACAAACACCTTCAATTTTTTGGTAAGGAAAAAAACAGGTTAAAAAACCATTTCAAATCATGATTTGAACTCCGAGTTTCCCACATTCCTTGGCACCTTGAAAGGCCAAAGATGCAGACGGCGAAGGGCAGTCCGGCTGCAAATTGTGAGGCCTAAATTTCTTCCACTCGGCTGGAGGATCTCCGTTCTTCAGCGACACCTGGGCGATGAAGATTTCCATGTCTCGTTGTCAACATTTCTGGTTTCCATTTGTGGAAATTCATGGAAATTTCCTCCACTAGAATGATTGAAAATCCCATATTCTACATGATTCTATCTGGTGCAGTAGTACTCATTGTATTGCAATATTGCCACAATGTTCCAAGCCAACCCGCATAGTTTCGCTGTCACACACTTAGCCAAAGATGGATTTTGACCATATTTCCAGCACGCTGCCTATGGTCCACCGCAAATCGCTGCCTTGAAAACACTCTGTGAGTCTCAGCTTCCAGTCAATTGAAGTGATATATGGATGATGATTTATATGGATGATTTATATTGTTTTATGATATCTATGCATTTGTACTTCATGCCTTTCCATGCCCCCAAAAAGTTCAGGAAGTTCGGAAGCTCAGCTGAGTGGCCATAAAGCGGCCAGTCTCTGCATGGAATCTCTGAACCTGCCCTTTGACTCCATTGAGATATGTCCCAGCAGAACTCTGCAGTCCAAAGATGGTAACCACCTGGTCGCCAATGTCCGTGGATCATACAGAATCATACAGAATCCTACGGAATCATACGGATCACACTTTGACATACTTAGACTTGATATGATTTGATATATTTTGATGGTAGAATTAACATGATTTAATATGATTTACAGTAACTAGATTCAACAAGTGACTTGCCAATTCCGAGCCATTTTCCGACTGAAGCAACCTAAAGCCAACGCCCAACATGGCCAACAATATGGCACATGGCCAACGTTATGCCCCACAGCATGCTTGGCTTACATCTTGGCTGCAGCGGCCTGGCCCGGCACCAGAACGTCTCTGGCACCGCGGAAGGCTCGAAGTGCACAGGCCAATGCCAAGAAGCAGCATGCGCTACAAACGATTTTCGATGGCCAAACCAGGTCCTGAAAGATCTGAAAAGCGCAAAGACTTGAAAAGTCAGAGTTCTTTAGCTTTTGTAGAATGATTGTGGAAACAACCAGCAAAAAAAAGGATGCGGTCTCAGTTGAGCCCGGGAAAGACTTTCCAATTGCAGCTGGACTGCTGAGTTGTTCAAAAGCCGCAAGGCTCGGACCAGACACTCGCAGCTCTGTGCCGCCAATTCACCAGGAAGATTCGACTCTCTCGGTTTTGTCGGCACTTTCGGCTCTTTGCTCGGTGAAGTCGGTGAAGTCGGTGAACTGGGTGTCTCAGCTCCACTCCACCGGACGAAGGCAGCCTGCAGTCTTTGCAGAGTCGCCTGCCGCGCAACTTCCAGGTCCCTCCATTCTCGCCAATCTGCAACCCGTGCTTTCCATCAATTCTATAACATATCCTAACATGCCATCAACTACCAAGAAATACTCTACATGAAATTGTTGAAAAAGCATGACAAAGCTATCTATCATATACGAATATATACTTTATATATATATATATGGGCTGTGCTAGCGTGATTGCGTGGATATCATCCTGCAACTCTCGAGGCTCTGCACAGTGTGGTCCGCTACGCCTTGAAGTCGTCCGGTGGAAAGGCGGCACTTCGCAGCAGCAGCAACTGCACCAGGGCCCCCAAATGGGATGCCACTTGTGGCGCATTCTGCATGTCCCATTGCGAGTGAGACCCTAATGTTTCATTGGAATGGAATGTGCAGAATGCCCTTTAGATCGCTTTTTCGGTTTGACCCTGACCCAAATGCCACAAGCACCCAAGAGTGGTGTGGATGATATGAAGCAAACAACGTTGACCAAGTCATGCAAACAGGCGCTATGGGCTTGTTGGCGCTTGTCTGTGTTGATATTTCTTGGCGAAGGATGCCAAACCTTTCTACAAGGTGAGGAAAAGCGTCTTTCAATATCTTTCACTCTGTGGAGTTTCGGTCGAGTATGTTGGGGTCCGTGGGCGACCTTTCACAGTGACTCTAGAGATCTTCATCTGGAGCTCTGGCAAATGCTCAGCCAAGTGTCTACCAGCCATTCAACTGACCAAGAACTGACCGAGACTTGCAAGCCGTCTCGCGAAGTTTGATGCGTCTAAAGCTCCGTTTCTCCCTGACGCAAGCTTTTATTCAATTTTATTCACCCTGTCCGCTTCTACTGGCAGCGCATGTCATTCTGAATGCACTGAGCTACGCTAGAAAAAGTTGTCAGCGCACATGCATCCTTACAGGAGAGGCGCTGACAGAGTGAAACATCCTCTCAATGTTTCGTACTTTTCCCACCTGGCTGCAAGCCAACAGGAAGATGGTCCAAGGGAAAGTAAGAATCTTTTCCGGCAAAGGACTTGATCATCGATTATTGGCAATAGAATGTAGTTACATGTAAATAGACAAAAATCGACAATATAGAATGTTTATGATAATAAACATTGATAGTAATTAGACTAATATTAATCATATAAAATATATGCCATCATATTAATTAAATGGATCTATACGTTATAAATGTAGACAAAACTGGAAAACTCGTTGCTGGTACTTCGCATGTTTTGTTAGAGTGGTACCTGGAGACGCGTCACGGGATAGTCGGCTGCAAGCCGCATAGTACCTTTACAGAGAGACTGCACAGCTCTGAAAGGTGCTCTGAATGGTACGGATTGTGACGGATGACTTGGGCTTCTACAAGGTGCTCTTTCTATCAGGATTGAGTCTTGGCCGCGCCTGACAAAGTATTGAATGCTCGTTTCAGCTTTGAAGCGTTGAAAGATGTTGAAAGATGTTGAAAGATGTTGAAAGATGTTGAAAGATGAAGGGAACGTTGGATGGTGTTGCAAATCGAGAGCGGCACGTGCCTGACGGCCAGGTGACCTTGCAACGAAGTGCTGACAGATTAGTGGGAGGCTCGGAATCGAAACCACATTATCCACATTCAAAATGCACCCGAAGCAAAGAAGTGAGTACAACACAAGTGGAAAGGACGGATCTACCGGATCTAAGTCCGACCGTAGATATATCAAAGATGCCAAACAATGGAGGGTTTTGCCGTCAGTTCCTTGGAGGTGGACCCTACGCGTCCAGAGGCCTCTGATCAAAAGGCACGGGCAAAAGGTGACCAGGGTGACGGCAGGGTGACGGCAGGGTGACGGCAGGTGGTCTGATTCTGAAGTCATTCGGATGTCATTCTGACCTCTGCAGGCGTTCCAACCACTGTCATCACCTCGAGTTGGATTCAAACTTGCACTGGGGATGGGCAGCGCATACCATGATATTCCACTTCTGTGACGTCAGGGGAAAAAAAAGGATTAAATATTGTGCATCCGCATCAAATAGGGCATCAATTCTCTCCAAGTGTTCACTCGGTCCTGAGGCCGAAGCACTTTCACTGCTGCTTTTTTGCAAAAGTTTCCTCAGACAAAACGTCAATCTGAAAGGCCTTTGCAATCCTTTGCTCACAAGTGCCAAACATGTGCAGAGAGACAAAATAAGGCCAGACTAGCGAAAGGAAGGCAAACTGACAAAGTGCTACATCGGAAGAATAGGAAATGGAATGTGACACTTAGAACATCTTATCTTTTTCCCAAACAAAGTGAAACTGTATCTTTTCCAAAACACGACCCCGCGGTCCCGTCCTGGTCTTGGGGTCAGAAGGTCCGCCATCACTGTTCATCAGGAGAAGCATCATGGGTGACGTTCTGAACTCTCGCACAATGGTTCTGGTTGCAGGTGTCCTTGGTGCAGAATCCCTCAAGCATCTCTTAGCATCTCTTAGCATCTCTTAGCATCTCTTAGCATTTGCTTGCATCTCTCTGTGATTCTATCTATCTCTATCTATCTATCTATCTATCTGTCTGTCTGTCTGTCTGTCTGTCTGTCTGTCTTATATATATATATTATACGCCATGTGATGAATCATGTCGAATCTGAACTGTTCGACTCGGAAATATTCCGAACCTCTTGAGGCTGGTGCAAGCCATGCTTCATCTGATTGATGTGCAGCTTCCGCCAGAGTCTGATCGCCTTCGACGAAGACACATTCACCGCAATCAAGAGGTCCTACAGGAGTCCTTTTTGAATCAAAAGATATCGTTTTTTGAAAAGGAAGGTGGAAAACGCGGCTGTTACGCATGATTCCGCTACGAATCGACTCTCGCGGAGATAGGTGGAGTGCCACACCTCTGATGAAGAGTCCAGGGTGCCAAAATTCGCTGCAGCCTGAGCTATCTAAGCTTCAAACCGCAGATCGTTCTCCAAATCGTTTGGTGGAAATCCGAAGGAAACCCATTCTGCCAATGTATAAATATGTGTGCAGATTGAAAGTGTACACCTGGTTTTGTGTTTCTCCAACGGGCGCAGCTAGAAAGTGAGGCTGGCACACAATCGGGATCAAACAACCCCATGATGGTGACCTAAATCTCCCATGAAAAAACATCTCGAGACATCGACATGTCGTCATCTACAAAATGTAAGCGGAAACTTTCAGCGAAATCCCTGAGCGAAAACGTTGATGTGGGCCACCAGTTGCTGTGCAATGCCTGAAAACGTCTGAAAACAATGGCAATCCCAATGGCAATCCAATAGAATCCAACGGAATCCAGCAGCCATAGCCTTCGCCGTGGTCTGTCTCCTCCAGCAATTTGCGGAACTGCGAGCGAAAGGCCTCACCAACGGTGAAAGTTCTGCCTTTTCGTCAGGTCGCAGGTCTTTGCTCCATGCCACACCATGCCACACCCATGCCTGTTCAATCCCCCACTTCAGGAAGAGAAGAAACACCTGGCAGAAAAGGAGAAGTGGGCTAGGAAGTTTCAAAAGTTTCAACGACGGTTGTATCACCTGTGTCCAATCAATAATATCTCTAGCGCAATACGGTCGTGTCAGGGCACCGGGACATAAAAGCCACGAGCTGGACCACCAGCTTTCCCTAGGAACGACAGGATCAAACAGGATCAAACAGGATCAAACAGGATCAAACAGGTATGAGGTTGAGACTGGAATTCCACATCGCAGAAAAAGAATAGGTGGGGACTACAAGAATGCTGCTTGAGGGAACGAGCTAAACAGTTAAACATGATTCAACCTTCGTTAACTTCTTCTTGTTCTGTTTCTGCTTCGCATCCTGCCGATTGCGTGGCTTCAACAAAGAGTCTGCTGGGCTGCCCTCGCTGATGATTGGGGAATCAATGACCTTGGTCCACACGTCCTGAGCACGTTGCAAATATCGTCCATATCGTAAATATCGTAAATATCGTAAATATTCAGAATACTGCTGACATCTGACACCAATATCTCGGTGATCGCGCTCGGATCTCTCCTGGATCGTCAAAACCAGCGACTGCCGGGTGCTGCTGGGAAGCCGATGCTCAGGCCTTGTGGATTGCAGATTTGCATCTGTTCTTATACAAACATTATACAAAGAAAAGGATTTCTCTAGTATTTCTCTTACTTCTATTCATTTCTCGAACACTTTAAATCTCCGAAGCAACAGTGATTTGATAGACCCGTGACCTGTTTCTCAGATGTGGACAGATGTAAGTGACCCAGGGCGTTCCAGTAGACCAAGTGTGACGTGAGGCCAATCCTCGGGTCTTGTTCGCATCGTGGCATAGCATGCCCGGAGGCTCGCAGAAAGAGAGTCAGACACGTTGCGGTTTGGTGCATTGATGTCAGTGCCCTTAGGCCCTAAGCATCCCTGAGCAGCACCTGACAAGTCCTCCAAATCACTTCTCCCTGCGTCCGAGCTGGTGACAGGCGCGGTAGCTCTGAGGACTGCAGAGCTTGTCTGATATCATCGAACATAAGCCTGGCTTGGAAGATCTTGGAAGGGCCTCCAGAAAAACGCCTTGAAAAAAGAAGGAAATCTAAGGATTGCTAAGGACATTTAGGACATTTAAAGTTTCCAATGTTTCCATGCAATTCCTATTGAAAAAGTTGTCCCTGCGACCAGGCCACGGATCTCGACCTGAACTCTGCCCGAGGGCTGACGACCATTTTTCGGTACCATCTTTTGGGGAAACAAAACATGTACCGAATCGTCGCACTTTTTTTCTTAGGCTGCGGGCTTGTCGAGAGCAGCTCCAAGGGGAAAAGGTTCCTTGGAGAAGGGTCAACTGCATTTCAAAGGTCTTCCATTGGGCCAGGAGGGTTCAAGCACATTTCTTGGAGTTGTCCATGGACCTGCTTCCTCCTGGTTTCTGTGTCTCATGTCACATTTTGTCGTTTTGAACTTTTTGCACCTCTGCTTTCCTCGGGAAATCCGAGGGCTATACTCAGCATAGTCTGCAGCCTGAACGGTTGCCCAAGCGAGTAAGTACTGAAAGGGACACGACCATGTGGCACATTGTGGCACCCAATGGAAAGGCCCAGTCTGCCTCCTCTTCAATCTGCTCCAGGGTGACACAAAGAGGTCGCTTCAAGTCTGCCACACATTCGCTTGGGACCTCTGACTTGCAGTTTTCCATGACTCAAAATGAAGATATAATTACTAGAATGTACCACATAAATCAGCATGAATATGCATGAATTGTTGCAAGATCGGGCCTGCACTTGTGGTAGGTTGGCCCTCAGAACCGAGGCAGAAGTCCCATGAAGTTCCAGTCGTACGCAGCTGAGTAGGTGACCGCCAAATGGCAATGCCTCACTGACCATAAGGAGATTGGGGAAAAGATCTCGATCCATGATTATCCCACTGAACCATTGAAGCACTGGGTTGACAACCTGTTGGAGTTTCACATGCAAAAGGTAGGATGAATTTCCTGCGCTAAGCTTGGCAATTCCATTCCCTGCTTTGCGGCAAAGAAACCAACTGTCACTTGTCGCCTGGAAATCCTTACCTGGCTCTAAACTTACCTTGACCGTCTTGACCGTCTTGACTGTCTTGACCATCTTGATTCCCCAGAGATCGCCAGGGCTCCTCTTAAGATTTTCCAACTCTTTGAAACCATCCTTGCCCCATTGCCGCAGAACCTCACCACAACTTGCCATCGACACGTTGCCACGTTGTTTCAAAATGTTTCAAATATATCAAGTTTATTAATCACCATAATCATCATGTAATCACGATATCATCATGGCGAATTCGCGAAACAAACTTGGCCTCGCGTCTGTGAACAGGACCTGGCAAACGGCACCCGTTTCAGGACTGGGACATGAGCCATGACTATCATCTGTCACTGCTGTTCCCTTGGAATATCTTGGAATCGCCAGATGTGTGTTACAGTTTTACGTGTAAAAAACATCTAAAAACATCTGATGTCCATCAAAGATTCGACGAGGTTTGAGCCAACAAAATTCGATTTGTGGCCTTGGCAGCAGCATCCCAGAAGATGTGTGATTTGCCATCATTTAAATTAGTTTGTTTTTAAACAAAGCAATCCTGCAACATCAATGTTTCCCAGAAGTCAAACATGTTTGGTGGATGTCTCATCTGCCAGTCGCCTTCTTCTCCTTTCGCGTGGTTTTGGAAGTCTTCCAGCTCCTATATAATTTGGCACTGATGCTGGGCCCTTCCATAATGGATGCTCCTCCTGATACTCGCAAATTGTCGGAACTGAGATGACTGTTTGGTGCAAAACAATATCAAACATATACCCGGATCTACCCTGCATTTACCAGCTGTGGAAGATTACCGCAGAAAATCCACTTAAGGGCCTAACCAAGACGGAAGGATATGTTGAAACTGGGTGAGGGTGGGTGGGAATACAGACCTTTGCAACAGCAACTTGTACAAGGACACAATGCTGGAATCGAAAGCTGCGAAGTGCTGTCACATTAAACCACTTTTTGCACTCGGACGGCTGTCTGGAGGACTGCTACTGCTCTCGCAAAAGTGTCGTTGGGTGCCTACTAGACTGCATTCGTTCGGTTCCCCCTTGACACCTTGTCAGCTGTGATGCTTGTGGTGGCCACGTGTTTGAAAAACAAAGTCGGGGGACTGATCTTGTTGATGTCAAAGCGAAGCGAACAAAACACAGTGATACAACAGTGGCTCGAAGTTCCAGCTTCTGAGGCCGATTGTTCGGGTGCTACTTCGTGCGGCTATAGGTCTAAGCAAGATGAACCACTTTGCTTTTGCATTGAATTTCTGTACGGACGTGTCAAGGAGCTCAGTATCCACTTAGGCACTGTGTCTTGACCGACTGCTCTCCAGAGACAATGTCTTGCAGCAGAGTAGTATGGGGGCTAATGTTTGTTCTTGTTCAAGAACTGCAAAGGCCTTGCGGATACCAGCAACCACCCTTTCAAGCTACTTTTGAGCTGCACAGTAATGGCCAAAAAGCCTTCAATAGCCAGCTGAGTCTGGTGACCCCTGCTTGCTGCCATGGGCAGCACGGTATCCGTAGCCCATCTTCTTGTACTTTCTCTCCTCCACTTTGAAGTCCAGGAGCTGCATGAGGGTGTAGCGACGGCATGTTTCCACCTGATCAATGATTTCAACGGCTCTGTCTACATGGTACACTTCTCGGCCATGGTCGCCAGCATTGGGTGCTTCCTCGCGGAGCCGCGTATGCACCAACTCCTCCAGGGTTTTAGTTTTCTCTTTGCTTCCGACCCACAGACTGAAACGACCTTTTCTAGAAACAAGCCGCTCATGTTGCCGGCAACTGGGTCTGACCCTCGTTGGGCCCCCTGTAACTCACGAGCTGCAACACATGAATCAGACCACCTTGCTGCTTCAGGAATGCCTCCACTTCGCGATGGAGTTGGCACCGCAAAGTGACTCATGCGAGGCCGCTCACAGCTGAACTCGCAAGCTCTTCGAAGCTTGGCCTTCACGGCGCTCAGGTTCTGGTTCTGGCTGCCATCCCTGTTTTGGATGGTCAGGTCGGGCTTCTGCAGCCACGGAGCTCGGAGCCGCCACCTCCCAGCCGCGGACATGCTGGCAGAGCAATTGTGGGAAATCGTGAAAGAAATTGACGTATTATGGAGGAATCATTACGGAAAGTATTAAGGAAAGTATTAAGATGGAGAATAAATATTTGTTGGGGTACCATCTCTTGGAGATTGCCCCGCTCACCCAGAGGTCGAACATGGGGCTGCTCATTTTCGAAGGGCCACATGGCGTCTGCCATCTGCTCGATCTGCGCCACATCTTCGAGTGTCAAGCGATCGTTGTACTTCCGATGATCCTGGTAGACCTTCATGTGGCCTTTCCAACGCCGCTTGAACTCCCGGAGCTTCTGTCGGCCAGTCTCATTGGCCTTCCACTCTTGCAGGCCCCTGGCCTTCCAGAGATTTACATAAGGTTCGTCAGAGCTTTTCTTCATGTCCACCGAATCCACGCTCCCCAGACGCTAGCTCATATAGACAGCTGATCAGCCGAAAGGCTCCACCACTGAGCTCCACAAAGCGTTCTGCCTCGCTTTCTTTCACACACTTTCACTGGCGGCTCTCTGAAGTGAAACCTTCATGGCCGAGCGGGAGGTCGTTTCACACCACCTCACATTTCCGGGCCGCTGTGCAGCCCTTGCAGGATTCGCGGGGACTGCCCCTACAGCAGCAACAGCATACACCAGCTTAAAAGCCACAAAGCGTCTGCTACACTGCCAGAGGACTTACCTGAAAAAGTAAAAAGGACCCAACTAAGTCAACTTGTTGGGCCGTGCAAAAAACGAACCGCATTTTCTTGGGGTCATAACATTTCTTAAACTTCGCAACAAACACGGTCTCTTCCAACTGTTTCGGCTCACTTTCACTCAGATGCTGCCGCAAGACTTGCTTCTCATCTTCCAAAATCTTGCCTTTCTCAACGACGTAGGTCACAACTGCACCCCACAGGTGCACATGGGGTTTGCCAAGGACTCCAACTCACGATTTTTCCTGCTTTTCGCAAGTCGGCGGCACGTGCATTGCGCCCTTGTGTGACAGAAGTAGCAGCACTAGTGAGGTCACTGTCTCTGTTGGCAATCAATGCTGTCAGCACGGCGCTTTGCATCTCACGACGGTCAAGGGAGTGTTTGAGCACAGTCTTGGCCAGCAGAACCAAAAGTTTCTTCTGAGCTTCGGGTGAGAAACCATTCGCAGAACCTTCCAACCGGGGTCGGCGAGCAGGCGGCGGGTGAGCCAACCCCGTGATCAGCCAAGATGGCGCTGCCATGCCTAAAACTAAAAATAACCAACAGGTCGCACTTCCCACTTTGAGCCGTTTACTGCACATTCGCATTCCCCGCTTGCCGCTCAAAGAACGCAGCGGGATTGTCATGCGTAGCAATATGACCCAACCAGCACAGGAATGCTGACACACAGGACAATCCAATGTGGCTGGTGGCACAATCTCAGGGTTTACATGTCGAGCCTTGCCCCCCACATGCACCTCTACAGAATGCTCTTTTGATGTGCATCTCGAAGCAAATTTGTGTTTGCACCAAGGGCAGGCGTTTGTAACAGCTGCCAAAGCATGCACTGGACGTTCACCATGACCGCCAGCCCGACTATGAACCATATGTGCATGTAATTGAACATAAGACTTGAAAGACTTGTTGCAAATGGAGCCATCATCATTGGTACATGTACATGTAAACATAGCACCAGGCTCAGGGACCAAAATATCTTCTTGGAGATCATCCGGCATCGAGGAATAGCAAGGCCCAAGAATTGCATGCGTAACTCGCTAACATCAATTGGCACAAACTCTCCACTAAAATCGGTGCAGCAATGACTGGCCAGAATCAAGTCCTCCCAGCATTTCCAAATCATCACGAAATTGTCGCAGCAAAGGGTGCCAAACCACAACACGACCATCAGAGTCGAGCAGGTCGTCTCTATCAAATGAAAATTTACCAAATACTGTGGCCAAGATTGCTTTGTGATAGTTTCGAAATTTGGCCACATTCTGCCAATACCGAAGTCGTCGGATACACAGCTCAATACTTGACGGCACAAGCCGAAGCCAACGCCTACTTCTTTGTTAGGAAGGGCATTGTGTACAGTAACTCCTTGCTCAGTAGCCTTCTTGCAAGCAGCACAAGTCTTTCCAGGAAGCCGATCTTTTTTCAAAATCTTTGCGTGTGTAATCGTGGGCATGCTGGCGGACAAAACATGGAACATGCTCTTGTTTTTCAACATTTGTGAGACCCCAATTGTCCCCGGGACCCGCGCGTAGGTAACATTGGCAGCTTCGAGTTGGGCTTGTACATCATCAGGGCTGGTACAAACAGTAGCGCGAGCCAAATCATCAGCATATGTTGAGATGGAAACAGAGACATTGCAACCACTAATCGGATCAAGAGCACTGAGCGCAGAGGAAGGAAACTGCAAGTCCATGGGCTGCACAGAATTATCAAGGGTTGGATGGTATTGCTCCAAAAGTTGTTCACCAGCGTGGGTATCACCTTGCAATGAGCCAGAGCCATTTCGAACAAATACAACATCATCAGAAGCACAAATGCGAAGAACAGCGATATTGTCTCAGAGACTCAATCTTTGAGAAGAGTACAATCCACCTTCCTACATGTATTGTCAATGCAAAGTTGCACACCTGTTGATACACGCTGGGAAAGGCATTGGCAGCATCATAGAAAGAGTCACAGTGACTGACTCCAGCAGCACACAGCCGATGTTTGACAACACGTCGCCGCAAAATAGGTATAATCCGAGACTTGTGTTTTGCATAGCCTGCCGCCCAATCGCGAAAAAAGTTTCTAGACCCGCGGTCCCAGAGCGTTCTTGCATGAACTTTTCCCAGCGGCTCAAAGACATTGATCGTTCGCAATGCACTACAACCAGCTTTCCCATTGTTTTTGTCCAAGTGTACTGTTTGACGGACGCACCATTCAACAGGAGCAATTGCATACAAGAATTGAAAGCAAAAGCGTGAACAAGCATTGCTTGAAATTTGTGTTGGACAACCGAACATCGTAACCAATTCCAGCACGTCTACGACAATAGAATTTATTAGGGGCCACCAACTGTCGCCACACTTCACCAGGAACCGACCATTCAGGGACCATTTTTGCAGTTTAAGAACACGAAGACGACCAATAACAGCAGAGAGATCTTGACAGCAAGGGCATGAGCAGATTCCACACTAGGTTGCGGTACAGGCGAAAGCTCCAAAGACGTTTTGTGAATTTCATCCCATGGAACCACTTGCCCATTCCACCCACCCTCCGGCCCAGGCAAAGCCATAAAGGCACCCCACTCAGCAGCTGTCGGTCTGTGCGCAAGCGGTGAATCATGCCGCCTACGCTTTGGCCCCACCTTGAAACCAGACATAATAATGCAACCAACCTTCCATGCCATACATGGCAAAAGCCCTGTGGTCATATGCATAGTTAAACTCAACAATGCGGTCATGTGCTGTTTGCTTTGCACCTCGTTTAAGGAATGTGTCCACTTTGCGACGCGACCGGACAAAGACAACCACAGCTCTCCACTGCGCCAAGAGTTCCCGCTTAAACTCCAACGATGTGATGCGATCAGCAGTGAAAAGTCCAGTGTGTCTGGGTAGAAGTGCCAGTTGTTGTCGTATTGCTCGGTGATGTTGGATCGCAGCCAACGCGCCATCTGGCCAGACTTTTCGGCTTCGTGGCCTGTGGTCGTGGCTTCATGTGCTGCTGGCAGGGTGGCATTCTTGAATTGTCGCCAGAAAACGTGAGGACTAGGAGGTAAAACAGAAGTGTAGGGAACATCAAAGGCGTGCCGGCCAAGCCAGCACAATTCCGTTCAACAGCTGAGACAAGACGATGACGCCCATCACCCCGCAGAACACCATTTGCCAATGAAGACATATCCCATGTACTGTAGCCGCTTTGAGAGTAGACCCTCGAAAACTGCAATGATGCCGAAAAAACATGCTGACTGGTATGCGATCTCGTTGCCCAGGTCCTCTGATTCGTTGTAGCTGCGCACCCAAAGAAGACAAAACTGCAGAGGAAACCACTGTGTGCAGCATAGCATGCTGCAGGCAAACATGATCAATCCGAGAGCGTGCACCTGCAATATTGCCAAAATATGTATGTCCAGGAGCCAAATGAGAGTGGACAGAACACAAAAATTGTTCTTCCAGACATTCGCGAAAAATGGTGCCGTTGCTATTTTCCAACTCAGCAGTGCCGCCACCAATGACAGGAGCTTCAATGGGGAGACAAACACCGTCAGCATCCCGATGCAAGCCGTTTTTTCCATTGCAATCAGTAAAAAGAACTTGCACACAGCGATGGGGCAACGCAGACACCAAGGAAACCACATACCTCCAAAGCCGAGAAACTCGCAATCGGTCAGCCTCTGTCCTCCCTTGCGAATACACAACCAAAAACCAAAAATCCTCGTCACCCCGCTTGCAGCGCAGAGCTCCCACACGTCCTTGATACTCAGCCGGGATGGAATAAACCTGTCTAATACCTGTCTAACATTGTATTCAATAAAGACCTTGTCACGCAAATCAAGCTGCATGTTGTGATCCACCTGGATGTCCCCACTCGAAAAGACCCAATTCGATCAACACGGCAAAAAGGGTCTGCAGGGTGTTTTTTGCATTTAGTTCCTGGAGGCCAAAAACATGATAGTTAGCAAAACCTCGTGCAAGTTCTTCTTTTCGAGATTGTTCCCATGCACTGTGAAGATTATAGGCAACACACCGCCAAAGCATATCACCAGAGGTAAGCCGGAAAAACGAATCACATGAGGCACGCGCCATGATGCCCCGCAAGCGCCCGAGCAAACTCACAAAGCGCCCTCCCAGCCAATACGGGCTTGCCTCGCTTTCTACCTGAGTTATATCAAAGTGAAGAGAGACAACTGGGAAAATGTAAGTTCTGGGGTTCTGGAATTCTGCACCCCTCTCAGGCGGGAGGCGCCTGAACGTCAGCTGACGGTCAGGCGCCTCGCGTTGTAAGACTTTGGGGGCCTTGCCAGATACAGCCTGGCTGCTGACTGTATCTCACTGTGTCTGCTTCTGCGGGGTTCCCAGGCTGTGCCTCCAGGTTGTACAGGCTTGGATCCTCATCTTGCAAGGCTGCCTGACCTGCAAGGACTGCATCCACGTCTTGCAAGGCTGCAAGGGCTGTGCCCTGTGGTGGTTACCGGACCACCTGCAGAAGGTTCAGGGCCCGCTCCGAGCCGCAGAGAAGTGTGGGCTTAAATATCGATTCTTTCCTCCATCTCCTGCATTGGCTCAATCAAGGGCTCATTGCCCTGAACCAATCCTCCTTGAGAGGAAATCAATGGATTGGCTGATGCCAATCCAAACATGCTTTGAGCCTCAGCGGCTCTTGGAATCATTCGCACCTCAGATCACCTCAGTGTTTCACGCACCACCAACACACACTGCAACTTCACAAACAGCACTGTATTCACAGGTCTGTATTCCCCTTCGTCACAAGGACTGCGCGTGTCCAAAATGGCAAAGGTCAAATTCAGAGCTTTCCAATCAAGCTCACAAATATTCACGTAGAAGTGCGTGGATCATGATTCATGTAGTCGTTGCTCTCACCTTCTCCCAGTACATGCAACTCTGACTATGCTCCTTCGTCAACGTACTGTCGGCGCCAACGGAGTTCTTGTGATCTTGGACGCTCCTCACCAGACAGAAATCAAGTCTAAATTCAGATATAGAGCATATTATCCATCATGTGCAGAAAATCTCACATTGTCAGCCATTGATCTTGGCTAGTTTCCGAGTCTTCAGCATTTTGCTCTGAGTCCAAAGCATTTCCGAAAGAGCTTGTAGATATCTTTCCTGCCAGGCGTATTGCAAAGGATGACCGTTGGATGCCTAAAGGCCGATAAACGCAAATGCTCAAAGCCCTGAAGTCATCAGCATCTAATGATTCTAATGGGACTTTTGACGGCTTCAGTGTTGAAATTCTGGGTGTTCAGTCCTTAATGCCATACTTCTGTGGAGCAGCTGACGTGTCAGCCTGCAAGACGCCACGAGCCAAAGAGAATAAGACAACTTCCGCGGGTGCTACAATTGTTGCGGTGCCTTCTTTGCTCTCTCATAAATACCAGAAGTGTCTGGAGGCAATGCCCGAATCAGTGGATCGCTTTGGATATCCTGTCAAAGTGCAGTGAGTTCTCGACATGTTGTTACAACCTGCTAGAAACAACTTCTTTCTGACAACGACAGCAATGGTCAGGCCTTCAAAAATTGCTCCTGGCAGAAGACAGGAAGTGAATACAGGAAGTGATAGGCAAATGCATTTCATTTTCATCCCCGGCCAGAAATCTGCAAAGATGTGAAGTAATCGCTGAAAATCTCCGAATTCGCAGCACAAAAGGCGGCCTTTCCGGTCTTTCCCGGCTTGGCACCTCACTTTAAGCGCGTTTTTTGGCCACAGAAACGAGTTGCGCAAAATGATACGGCACCTCCGGCCAAGAACTGAGGAGGTACCTGAAATTCGACGGTGATTTCTCTTTTGGCTCAGCATACGCTGCACTGGGCTCTGCACTGGGCTCTGCACTGGGCTCTGACTAAATCTTACGAACTTAGCCTAGCTCTTCTCAACTAGATTCCGATGACAATCATTTGTCGCTGCACAAACATCGTGAAACACGGGTCAGTTCCATGCAGCCAGGACAAACAGTTCCTTCCCCCATCTTCCTCCCTTCCTTAAACACAGCAGGCGCACAATGCGTAGTTGATCCGCAACACCCGAACCATCAGCCCAAGTGGCCTGCGACACAAAGTGTGTTCGGTCAGACCTGTCAGCTGCCTGAGTCCATGTCAGCAATTTTGATCCTTTGTGCTCCAGCTGTCACACTTGCGAAGCTTTGTCAACGCCAAAGGGCCCAAAGGGTCCGAGCTGATTGATCACACCTCAATTGTGCACTTCTGCAGCGGTGCTCTTCGAGAAACGACCTGCAGCGCGAAGCGAGTCGAGACCGAGTGCAGCAAGTGCAGCAAGTGCGCAACATTCAGCCGCCTGGGACCTGGACCCTCCGATGCCGGTCCAAAGGTTCAATCCCCAGTGCCTCAAGGAAAAAACAGAGTGGCCTGACAAAAAGCAGATATCGGGGAAGCGAAAGATATCTTGGGCATGCCTGGAGGTACTGGCTAGTGTATGCGTTATGCACCACCTTGTAATAATCAACCGGTGATGACAACTGCCTCGGAGTCTGGCAGCTGGAAAGGAAGAGTGTGAATCTGGGATTTTTGGCGATCTACATACTCCTAGATTCAATTTGGGTAGGATTCAAATTGGATTCAAATTGGATGGCTCCAAGATGCACATTAAATTTCAATCGTTGTACAAGAACTGGCGGGGCTCCAGACTTTGGCGGCACCTTCCCAAGAAGGATATTAATCTCCATCGAGCAATTTGGCCTCGGAATCATCGGAATCTCCATTGAAATCATTGAACTTCTGACGAGGCTGCGACTCAAGCCCTCAGGTTCCATCGCTCCATGGCCATGGCTTTGATCATGGAAACTAATCTGTATAATCTGTAAAGCGAATGGATTGAAATGGTCGCAAAAAGATCAAAAAGCAAGATAGACATTTCGATCCCAAACGCTTTGGACGCTTTGAGCATGCTAGACATCAAGTCAACTCATTGCGTGCCCGTGTGCCTGGTGTGAGCTCTGCGCTTGTGTTCATCATGGCAAACAAATCAAAGGATGTCACTTGAGTGAAAAGAAAACAGGACACGACGTTTGATCAAACAAGACACAACCTTCAATCAAACAGGACGGCAATCAATTCGGCGGCAATATTAGAAAATTCCAGAGTGGTTCAATCCATGAAAAAGACAGGATGGGCCCGGATGGGCAGGTCAGTTGCAAATACTTTTCCTCAAGGGAATGCCTCTCCCGTGGCAACATCTCAGCTGTGATTTGAAAATTGGAACCGCCCCATAAAGCACAGCTCCGGCAAAGCAGTGCATTCTGCAACAGCTTCGCTCAAATTGCATTAACAACCGTCTGCCCTTTGGGCGAAACAAGACATGAAAAAAAATCACAGCATTCAAATCCCAGCACCAAAAGTAGACATCCATCCTGACACATTTGAAAAGTAGACATCCTGTGCACAAAATTCTTCAGCATTCGGCCACAGGGCCCCTGCCTTCGATTATCTCATCTCGCTCCCACGTCGACCACGTTGCTGTTCTTTTTCATCAAGGAAAAACGCAAAGGATTGAACCTGGCACAGCAGCGTTTCCGACGTTTCCTGCCACTCTGAAAAACTACTGTCTTTTCACATCTTTCAGTCTTTATCAGTCTTTGCCTGCTCAACCCAAATCCGCTCTCATCTTCCTCGAACTTCCTATGTGGCAGAAGCATGCAGAAGCCAGCTTCACTGCAAACAAAGCGTTCCAACCATTCGGTGTGAAGAATCCTAGAATACCGCTATCTGTGTGCCGAGTTAAAACACCTGTGAGCATCAATGCACAACATGCACAACCTAATAATTTCAGGTTCGTTTTTGTCTTCGTGATTTGCGTTTTGTGTTATACTGCTCTGCTCTCCGTGCAAGTATCTGACCTGACATGCAGGTGATCCCCTCTAGTTTGAAAGCCGACGATTAAACGATACTAAACATATCTCCAAGATTGGTCTACTCCCTGGATTTTTTCCAGTCACTTCTACTTGTTTGAAACTTTCATTTCACGGCCTGTGTGCTCTTTTGTATGCTTCTGGTAGTATAGATTGATGATTCTTCATCAGAATCATGGTAGACGTCAACATGTGATCTACTGTGTCTACCATGGAAAAGTCAGACATGGTGACATTGTCATAGACGTCCTCTCTGAATGCTTCCGCTTCAGCTCCTACACAGAAGAGGTGGAGTAAGGCGTGAATTGACTGAAATCTTTTCTCAAGCCAGGAAAAAAAAACACGGGTCTCTGAGTCTCCTCAGTCTTTGCTGGATCGGCATGCTTTCCAAAACGCATCTTGACAAGAACCTTGCCAAGTTTGAAGCTTCCTAGCACTGCCGTTTGCACATGCCTTTTACTATAACCTTCTCGGTGTTGCCAAAGACTGCAAGCGGGCCAGCCGCAATCAAGGGCCCCCGGCAGGCCAGAAGAACTGGCGTGTCACCTGGGAAATGTTCAAACATTGCAAACTGTGGCGAAAGAGCGAAAGAAGCGCGTCGCATTTGGATTTTTGTTCATCTTGCTGGATCTTCTTGTTGGGATCTTCTCCAGTTGGGATTTTCTGTCTCTGTGGTTCAACTTGGCTCAACTTGGTTCAACTTGGGAGCCAAACGCAAGTCAGTGGCGACACAGGAAGTTCCTTCTGAAACGCTTCACCTGCAGGGCTCCAAGGAGTCCAAGGAGTCCAAGTTTTCGAATGGCGACGACGCACCTTGCGGTAGTCCAATTGCTGTGGCTCGATGGACGGCTTGAGACCGGATCTCAGTTCAGAAAAGTTTGAAATTAGGAATCAGATGGAATCAGAAGTTCAGAAATCAGAGACTGAAATCATTCTGTCCTGAATTCGAGAAAAACTGAAGAGAATTCAACCACACCGAACCCCAAGACGAAGCACAACTAGATCAACCAGCAAGTCTTAGAGAAAGCTAAGCAGCTGGGAGCATGGGCTGCAGTTTTTGTGACCACCCTATAATAAGCCCTGTCGGAAGTTTCAGGACAGTGCCAGAGGTTACCTGTAAAACATAATCCGCCACTGCTAGTTGTTTTACATTGTTTTGATCTTCCCTACCCAACTTGGATCTGAGCCTTCATCGTTTGCTCGTGCACGATGTATTCGGTATCCAAGCCTTGACGTTGCAACCAGAACAGGCCACGATTTGACCACGACTTGACGACTATGACGACTTGACGACTTAGGCCTGGAAAGGACATCGAAGGTTTCACTTCGTTGTATGTGCCGGAGGCCAAAGTCACCTCAAGGTGCTGAGTTGTCGCAGATTTTTCACATGTCAGATGAATTCCTCAAGGACCATCTCTGCTCCAAAAGATTTCCTGTTCTAAGATCTTACCCTGTAAAGCTACTGAATACTTATCTGGCTTCTCATTTTCTGCTTTCCCTTTATGGATCAAAAGTGAAAGTCAATCTGTTCCATCCTCTTCCATTCTCTTCCATTCTCTTCCATTCTCTTCCATCCTCTTCCATCCTCTTCCCTCGTGCTAGTGTTTTCTCATTTTTCTCATTCCAACAGCCTCTTCCCAGTCTGAGTCACCAAAAGCTTCTCTTCAATCAATTCCGCAGGGACTCCCAGTTCCACCAGTAGAGCCTGGCATCAGCGGTGATTCGTTGAGATACGTTGAGCCCGTCCCGGAAATTCCACAGCCTGTGTCAAATCCCACTGGCAAAATGAGACCCACTGCCTCAAACGCCTCCTCCACGGTCTGTGAAAGTAGAATGCGCCGACATGGCAACTTTGCCAGTTTTTGCTCTGACCTGAGAAACAGATTCCAGAATTTTCCAGGTACACAGAATGCAAAAAACATCTCAACATGTTCGCCTTTTTTTTATGTTTCAACTGAAATTCTTCATACTGAAATGATGTGTAGTTGTCATATTAATGTTATTACCCTCTGGTAAACTAACATAACTATGGAAAATCACCATGCTATTAATGGGTAAATCCACTATAAATGGCCATTTTCAATAGCAAACTGTAAATTACCAGAGGGTAATGTTATTAATGTGTTGCGTCACCATCCACCGCGATTCCACCGTGATTCCACTTGGCCTCATCCAAGGATCGGTCTGCAATTCCACCAATGCTCGGGCCTCAGGGCTGCATCGGGTTCTTTCGAATGAAAAAAAACAGTGGAATCCGTTGAAATATGAAAAATGGATTGCTTAACATATGGTTGGCAAAACATATTAGACATATGGATTGCATTGCATGTATATTGCATTTTCTACATGGTTTCTACATGGAAAATCTTGGAAAATCTTGGAAATCTCGATAGACTTTGGCAGCGTTTGGCCGGCACCGGAGGTGGGCACCGGTCTCAGCTCGTCTCGGAGTCCCACGTGATCGTCCACCACCGCAAGGAGTCGAAGTCGCACGAGCTCGACCTCAGGACGCCCAGGTGCTGTCGTAACCTGGTGATACCTGGTGCCTTGTAGCGTCAGCGTCCTCAGCTGTCACGAATCTCTTCGCGTCCAATGAGTCATGAATGAGTCATGAATGAGTCTACAATAGTCTACATGTTCATATGATTCATATGATTCATATGATTCATATCTAGTACCAAAGTCCAGTGTCCACCTTCTAAGCAGCACTTTGGTTATCTTTGGTTCGACTTAGCTGAGTTTCCCGGACTCTTCGAACCAAATGCTTCCCTGCGCTGACCATCAACCTATCAGGTCCACAGAGTCCAGTTTCAACATGTTTCAACCATTGAAATTCATTGGAATCCATTGGATGCTAGCAATGTGTGTCACAGAAACATTTCTCCCAAACCATCCCAAACATTGCTGAAAACTCTTTTGAACTTTCGTAGATTCTGCGCACTTCCGGTTCAACATGGTTCAAGACGCCGAGTCTCTCCGAGTCTAAGCTGGCTGCCGACTGCGACAGGTGTTCAACTCTTCCACCAGCATATCTACACTCTTTCGTCCTGAAGGCGAGATGCCAAATACGCATAGCCATATGCCATAGATTCTGCCATAAGGCATATATAATTATATAATTTTGATACAATGCCACTATAGTGATATATAATTATATAATGATATAATTTTGATATAATGATCACATAATTTAATCATATGGATGAGTGAATCATGGCATTCCACCGTGGCCTTCACGATCCCATTCCGCACAGCTGTACCCTCGGATCTCCGAGCATCTCCGAAACAGTGCGTAGACTCCGGAGGAAAACAACGGCTTGCTGGCTTGCAATAATGGAATGATACAGAATGAATATATATATATATATGTTGTATATATATATATATTACAGTTATATATATATATATATTTATATATATGTATACATATGTATTGAATATATTATGAAAAAATCTTGGCACTGGGATGCGAGCCATTCACTTGCAAGATTTCTCGAACTTCCATGGAGCTCCTTATTTGAGTCTCCTGGAGCACATGATGCAGTGACCGCAGTGACCGCGGTGACTCGCGTCCAGTCGCAGAGAAACCTCGGAATTTCTCCTGCTCGATCTCGTCGAATGCAGAGGAATTCAACGATGCCGAGGCCTGGTGCGGAATCGAGTGGAACTTGTGATATGTGAAGTTCCTTTACAGCCAACACAGCCAACTGAGCGAACCTTAACTCTTCGCTGGTTCTTTGTCCTCATCGCGTACGCCTTGGGCACACACATTGATTGGCAACATTCTGCTTCCTACTGCCTACAATCTTTGCAACGTTCTCTCTTATACTTCGGAGGTTTCCTCTTTGCTCATGAGAATTTGTTCAAAACATGTCCCGCTTTGCTTTCCCATTGTGCCATTGTCCTATATGAAATATCTATTAACTCTATATATATACGTATATATCTATCTATATCTATATATTATCCTTATTTATCCTTCTCGTCCTTCAGTCTTAGTCCTTCATGCTGCGCACCTCCATGGGGAGAACTTCTTCGTCGGTGGCCATGCCGGCATGCTTGATAATGCTCCAAAACACCTCCTTGCATAAGATACTGATGATACTGAGTCAATTTGATTGGAACACAGAAGGAAACTGATTTGATTCAACAGGATTCAACAGGATTCAACATGATTATCATGGTTCAACTTCAACTTCTTGGAGTGCTGTCAATGCAGCAATGCACAAAGGCTGCCTTGTGATTCAACTTGGCTGCAATTTGTGAGGGAGTCTTCCCCTGCGACAAGAGAGTCGCTCGGCAGCATGTGCATTTCGCCAACTGGCAGCATTCCACACGCCATGGCCCGCCTGCGTATCCAAGACCGCCACGTCCGCAGAGAGCTCGTCGAGGAGATGATCCCTGTCCCGTTGTGGAGGACTCTGAGATGACTCAATCTACAGCCAATGCAATGCCAATGCAATGCCAACGCAATGCCAACGCAATGCCAATGCAATGCCAATGAAACCTTAGCAACCCTAAGTATGTATATTATATAGAGAGAGAGAGATACAGTATATTATATGTAGTCAGAATGTGTCTGGATGTGCGAAACAACGAAATCCGCATCCAATTTCACGGGCAACGGGTAAGGTTTTCTCAGGTTGAGTGACGATTCATGAGTCCAAGCAGACTCGTTGCAGGAAAGCTGGACGACTGCAGATGCCACCCTGAGAATAACTTCTGGGGTCCAAGCGCACAATGGTAGGCCTTGGCAGTCAGCATAAGTACCAGGTCCTGCAGTTGTTTATATATAATTATATATATAATATGAAAGCCACTATGAAAGCCACTCAATCGTGATCTTCGCAGTTTGCGTTCTCCGCCACCCACAACTGCTCAGCACGTCACATTTTTCTTGGCGCAGTGATGAAGGGCACCCTGAAACATGCGCTATCGATTCATTGGTCTGCTGAATCATAAGAAAATCATCACGCCATCAACGATTCGTTGCCTCCCCAAAAAGCAATGCATCTTCTGGGCAAAGAAATTGCTCCTCGCAGGGCTTTGTTCGGGAAGTATCAGGTGTTCGGCTCGATCGCAGCAACTAGATGCAAAATGATGCGAACGGTAATAGAAAACCTAGAAAGTAGCATAAAGTATAGCATAAAGTATAGCATAAAGTATAGCATAAAGTATAGCATAAAGTATAGCATAAAGTATAGCATAAAGTATAGCATAAAGTATAGCATAGAGTAGCCCACTGTTTGAACCCTTCTTGAAGCTCTTTGCGTATCTTTGCGTCCTCCAAGATTCTCAGCAAGACTTGTGGACCTCAAGCCATGGCCCCCATCAGTTCAGCTTCCTCGAGTCGCTCGAGTCGAGTCGCATTTTGCCCTAGGATTTGGGCAGTCATTGTCGATGGAGGAGTAGATCACCAACATATCGAAAATCTCTGGCCTTGGTGATTTTCGATGCTGTATGATGCTGTATGATGCTGTATGATGCTGTATGATGCTGTATGATGCTGTATGATGCTGTGCTATCACAGTGAGATGGATCCATGACTTCCATTTGCGCATAATTCTTGCATACTGCTGCATACTGTTTCAATGTTTCAATGTCCGAAGATTTCACGACTTTCCACCACTTTCCACCACTTTCCACCACTTTCCACCACTTTCCACGACTTTCCACCACTTTCCACGACTTTCCACGACTTTCCACGACTTCCATCATGACTTCCGTCGCGACTTGTCCATGACTATCATGACTATCATGACTTGATTCAATTTGATGCTTCAAGGCCCCGGAGGCCCCGGAGGCGCCGGAGGCCCCTCGAGGCCCCGACGCTTGCGCAATCATCAAGTTGCGAAACTTCTCCACGTCGACGGCGATCAGCTCACAGAATCTGTGGCGACGAAGCAACGACGAAGCAACGACGAAGCAACGTGCAAAACGACAGCCCGCAGTGCCGTGCCGGCTGAGATCGTCACGATGTGCAAGTTGCTGTCTTCGAACTCCTGGCGCCAAAGTCACCAAAGCATCACAGAAAGTCATGCGCTCAGAGAAGTTCGGAGAAGTTCTTGGAGCTGTTCTGCTTAAAGGTCCGAAACAATTTTCAAAGCACAAATCCAGTAGAGAAGCCAATGTGTGAAAGGAGAATATGGAGAATAATTCAAACCTAAACGGTATACGCTTTGAAACGCCATGGCTTTGATGCTGTGATGCTGTGATGCTGTGCCTGCTGATTCCGAGGAAGAGTCGGAAGTCGCCTCAGGGCCATGGCGGTTTTGCCTTTGATTGTGGCGAAAGGATACAAAAAGGAAACGAAAGTGAGAGGCGATTTCTTGCCTCAACAAATCTCAACAATCATTAGAAGCTTCCCCAGCTTCACAAGCTTTTTACGAGCCTTTTACACGTTTTTTACAAGCTTCACAGGCTGCAAAAGTGATCCAAAACTGATCCAAACTGATCCAAAACCAGCCTATGAATGATCCTTCTCGATATTGCTGCCCTGGCCTGCAGCACAAGAGACAAGAATTAGTTACCCTCAGGGTTTCCAAACTGTTTGTACTCCAGAAACAAGTCTCTTCAATTCCTTTTTATAGACAGCTCATCTCTTTCACACAGATCAGAAACGTGAATAACGTGAATATGATTTATAAATATATAAATATTTATTATTATAATATGATGAGATATCTCAACATTCGCAATGCCTCTTCCGATCTGTTGCTTCAATCTCTCTTTGGATTTCGTCAATGTCCTCAGCATCAAAGGTGTACAAAGGCTAACAAAGAGAATCAAACAGGTTTGCCAGTTTTACATAGCATTACATGATATTACATGTATGTATATACTGTATGTATTGTTCAAAAAAGCTAAACTATAAGAAAAAAATATACCAATATCTCATCAGAGCTAAGGAAGCCACATCCGGAGGAGGAGCTGTGCCTGACAAGACGAAGGCGGTTTCAACCGTCTCTCTCGAGTCACCAAGATCTGCCAAGATCTGCCAAGATTTGCCAAGTCACCATCTGTGTGGAAAAGAGTTGTGAACTCCGCTGTTCCTTCCTTGGCGTATTGATGCGTATTGATGCGTGTCTTGGTGTCTTGAAAAAAAAGGCGTTTCGCTTCGCGGCTTTCAACTGGCTGCACTGGTAGTGTGAAAATGACACCCTCAAAGGTTGCGCACCCTCGCAGGGTCTTTGGCCAAGACGTTTCCGGTCCTAGCACGAGGCGAGACTCCATGGTTTTGCTTTGTGACATGGTTTTCCCTTTTTGGAGTTCATAGTGATTCATAGTTCAAAGTCATAAACTGATGAATCAGCATGCATGTCATGAATCTCATGAATAAATGCATAAATCATCAAAAGAAACTTGTATCGCTCACTTTGCCTGTTGGTTTCTTCGTTCTCCGGAACACCTGAGACGTGGTTGCAAAAAATGGAACAACCGGAGGAGATTGCACCAACTCACAACATGTTTCAACTGGTCAAACCATGTCAAACCCTAGGACTCCGAACACGTTTGTACCTCGCCCCGGCGAATGTAGAAGCCTGACGCTTTGCGCTGAGAGAAATTCTGGAAGAGAAAAGTTCAGGGCCTCAAAGAGTACAAAGAAAAACGTCTTAGGGAAGCTGGGAAGCTAGACATAGCTAGACATAGCTAGACATAGCTAGACATAGCTAGACCAGCTAGACGCCATGACAGCTTTAGCTCGGACAAGATCACCGTTGTCACCTTTGAAATCTTCGCTCTGAGCTATGGACAGGACTTCACCTTTGCCATGTTTGCCATGTGACATGCCACCGCAACGACATGGACATGGCCGAAATGGCTGACATGCACCACGCCATGGACATCCATGGACCACACCTCTGAGCCTGCTTGCGCAAGTTCCTCTCCTCACGGGACATGGAAAATCATGGAAAATCAACAACTTCCCGGGAGCTGCTGGATCCTTTTGTTTATAAAGTGCTGAGAAAACCCCCGATGGAGCTGAGAAATCCCAGAGGGAAATAACGATACCAGAAATTTTCAGAAAATGATCAAATGCAACAAATAGAAACTGAGGGAAAACCAACGGTGAGGCCGTGAGGCCTGATAAATTTGATCAGATTCAAGCAAATCAAATCTACCCTCCTGGAGGATGAAACTCCATGTCGCAAATGTCACAGACCTCCATTCCGCAACGCCATGCCCGCCATGCTGCCGAGTGCTGCCGTGTCATTGCTCAAGGCGCTGGAGCCAACTTTGGAAACTAAGATTGGAACATTCACCAGCACGTCTCGAGGAACCTGCAGTTTTTTGATCAGTGCCAACATGATCCAAGATAATCCAAGCATAATCCAAGCATAATCCAACATACTTTGTCATATTTAGGGCAGTTTAGGTCACATGAAATGCCACATCAGATCCTCCAGGCGTTGTTAGTACGCGACCAGCACTAAGGCTGACACCAGTCGTATCAAGTGGTGTCGTGCCAGGCACGTCCCGGTCAAAGCCAGGTTCATGTTCACTCTCAGGGTCTCTGACCTGAATTCAATAAATTGAAGACAGGAACAGAGGCATTACAAAGCAATACCACGAACAGAAGGCTATGAACTATGATGGACTATGATGGACTATGGGTACTGCCTGACTATTTCAGTTCCTTCATGGCCTTCGTGTTCCTTCGAATCCTACGCATCCTCTCAATGTCTGAGTTTCAAGCTTCTTGAGCCAAACCATCAGTGACGACTTGGTATCCTCTCGTTCCTAAAAAAAATGCTGACGAATGCTGATGAATGCTGAGTATCCTCGTTGCAAATGGTCTCAACATGTCTCAACAAGCAAAGGCTCCTTCAGCCTGATTCTCATTTGTGCATGGCACTGAATTATACTGAATCTCTGCTGTGTACATCAAACTTGCTGCCATTAATTTACAGCCTTCGGTCTCTCGAGCCTGGTTTTCGAAGAACTGCAAAAGGTAGCTATGGACCTTGGAAAAAGAAAGCATCGCAACATCCTGTATGCTGCAAGCATCAAACCTTTTCACTGGGAGGGGCACCCTTCTCTGCAAGTCCCCAGGAACGTTGTAAGCTTTCAAAAAGCGAGACACCTGTTCGAAAATGTTCGAAAATGTCCGAAAGTACCAGAGGTCTGCATAGTCGAAGACTCGAAGATTGGGATCCCACTATTTCGAAAAAACCGTCCAGTGCTGTGCCTTTGCCAGCTGCTCATTGGTCACGGCTGTCCTGTATCGACTCTCCAAAACAGTGAACACAACAAACATCAACAAACATCAACAAACCATGCGGTGGATCGCTAGATGATTCTGGATGCTTTGTGGATGATTCGGGATGTCTGGATGATCCTGTTGACTGTTCAGTGCTGTTCAGTTCTGTGCTTCGGAGCAGGCCTCTCATTCAGCTTCGCGACTATCCTTAGCCCAGGATGGCGCTTTCCGTCGCTGGCAGCTTAAATTTTCGACCATAAGACGCCGTAAGTCCATGAGTCTCCAACGCCGCCACCCCATTTACAGCCACGCCAACCACCAGGCTGGTGGTTGCCCTCAAAGATATGCAATGCTCACTCTGCTTCCACAGTGCTACACGGGTCTCATAGGTTCTCTACTCCCAAAGCTTGGCTCAGCTGCTGACATGATGAGGCACAACAGACCTCTTTCGTTCACGAGGTCCATGTTGATGTCTCCCAAACCAACTGTCGACATTACCTCAGTTCAGTCCCATCACACGTGAAAGTGCCGGATCTTGATTTCAGGGCAGTCATTGTAGTTTCTCAGGTGTCTCAAGTATGATAAGTATGGATGGACATTCCTAAGGCACCAATAAGGCACCAACAGTCACAGCAAAGTACAATGCTGTCATGTACCTCTCGCCGATGGGAACAGCCTCAGCTTGACAGATGAAACATGCTTGATACCTACAATGAATGCGTAAAAATGCACAAAGTTGATGGAGTGAATGTCAGTGAATGTCAGTGAATGTCAGTGAATGTCAGTGAATGTCAGTGAATGTCTTAGTCGCAATGTCATGCAATGTCAGCTATTTTCACATCACCGCGCCTGCAGGGCTCCTGGGTCATTTGTAAGATCGATTCCCATCTGGCAGCAAGATGTTGGGCAGCAAGATGTTGCTAGACGTTGCTTAGCTGCTAGACTCTGTGCTGAAGTAATTCACTTCAGACATGGCGAAGGGAAGTGCAGCCTTCCCTCTCACATTTTGAGCATGCTTGAGTATTGATTCAGCAAGAGTATATAATTGCCAATGCAGCTTTTCAGGCTTTGCACACTTGTGGTTTGAAGATGTTTGAAGCCAGGGCCATGAGGTGGGGGAAGTTTGACTCTGAAAATTCTGCCAGGGCCATGATGTGTTTCCATGTTTTTCCCAGAGCACCTTGATCCAACTGGAAACCGACGGATCAGCTTCCAAGTTGCTACGACCCAAGGCCCAAAGGGCACAAGCCTCGAGCTGCGCAGCTTCGCATTGCATGGACAATGTCATTCTACTCAAAAAAAACATGTGAAAAAACATGTCATTCTACTGCGTTCCCAATGTGTTCCCCGGGGAAGCGACGGAAAGGTGCGAAAACATCACGGGTAGCATGAACAGCCTTGGAAAGTGCCAGAGTGGTAGATACTTTAAATCGCTTTAAATCGCTTTGAATCGCTTTGATGTATCCTTGTCAGGTCCTGTTCAGGTCCTGTTCAGGTCCTGTTCAAGTCCTGTTCAGGTCCTGTTCAGGTCCTGATCACTTGATGAAGCTTTCCGTCTCTGATTTCGATTGATTCACCCTGGATCGTCTTCAAAAACTGACTGGAACAAATGAATTGTGCAGCAAATTGATGCCAAGTGTGAATATCATTGAAATTAATTGAATATGTCCTTCCCGTAACATCAGTTGCTCCCCATGTTCCTTGGTCTTGCCTTTGTCTTACGTTTTCTGTCTCCTGCCCCAGCATTTCGCATCCGGGTATTCTTCGCTCTCAGTGCCATCTGCTGACTGCTATGTTTGATCTGTTTCAACTTGAACTATGTCACATGAATGGACTTTCAACTGAAGTTTAGAAGAAATTGACCTGTTGCGGCTGTGTTTAGTAGGGCTTAGCCATGCTTAGCCACTGACTCCAGAAGTGCAGCCACTGAGGAAAGCCATGATGATTTCAAATGCGCCTGCAGCAGCTCTGTCGAAGAAAGTCGAAGAAATCGGAGCGGACTCCAATCATCTAATCAGTTCTAATCAGAGTTTGATCAGTTCTAATCAGTTCTAATCAGTTCAAATCTCTACTCGAGTTTGGCCAATCTGCCTCTCTACTCCAGCTCCAAGTCTCTCCAACAAAACGACTCGGATTGACATGACTTTGTGCGATCTCACAACAAATGAAGAGAGATTTCTTGGGGCTAAGCAGCACCAAGCAGTTGGATGAAGGGAGGATAACTACTCAAATGGAGCCACACCTTTAAAGAGGCCTTGTGACCAAGGTGACCAAGGCTCATTTTGTTTCAGGAGCTTTCAGATTACCAATTGAATCTGTGACTTCGGGCTTGGTTCGCTTCAGTACACAAGTAGGACAAGTAGGACAAGTAGGACAAAGAGGACAAAGAGGACAAAGAGGACAAAGTTAACGTGTGGGTTTGGCATGTTTGGCTCAAACATGATCGCCACATATCGCCACGGGTTGGAAAGGAGGCGGAAAATTCGATAGCGGCGCACCTCCATCCTTCTGAGCATTGAAAGCTGTGCGTAAAGCCTTCGGGACCCGACAAGCGGCGAAGCTGGGGCAAAGCTGGGCAGCATGCTGTGCTGCTGTGCTGCTGTGGTGTCCTGCTGTGTCTGTGTGCGCCTTGGTGACCTGATCAGAGGTGACAAGGTGAGCCAAAAGAGTTGCCTCACAGCGAGATCTCTCCGAAATCGGCTGTACTTTTTTTGAACAGCATGTCTCTCGTGTTTCAACTTGTTTCAACTTGTTTCACTTGATGTGTGTCATGCAATGTGTCATGCAATGTATCATGCAATGTGGCATGCAATGTGGCATGTGTGTCATCGCAGAACGAGATATTCTGAAAGGCCTCGCAATATTCGACCTCGGTGATTCAAGGCACGGTCCACGACTTTGATGCGAAGCTCGCGAAGCCTCTTTCCGAGTGCAAAGCCCATAGATGAGAAGGAGTATGTGCATCCTGCGAAAGCGATGGTTTCTTCATTCTCTTGCATAGTCAGATGATGTCAGATGTCTGTGCGGACATTACATGCAAAGTTATCAGCGGTACCACAAGAGTTAGTTGCAAAACAAAGGCTGACTGCATGTGACTGGACAATTTGCCAAAGTTGCCGAAGTTGCCGAAGTTGCCAACTGGCCCAACCAAAGACACATGATGACATGCATCATGAATTCATGACATGTTGCATCTGCAGAGCAGTCAGGAGTGATGGGAATGTCGCCAAGAGATCCACCAAGAACCAGGACCTCAGAATCCACAAGGGCGCCGGAATGTCACGAAATTCGCTGCAATGCAATGTCCAGATATGTCCAGTATGCCCAGTGATGGATACTCAATGATACTCAGATTCAGGCTTCAAGTAGTGAGATACTTTGGACATAGTGTCAGTGTGTAAGACCTGCTTTGGGAGCTGAGAACAGAAAACCACAGGATGATGTGTAAAACCTCCAAGCATGTCCCATGCCCAACATCCTGTGGTTTTAGGATGGAGGGACTCACAACTGGCCTTGCATATGGCCTAAATATGGCCGCACTGGTCACCGCAGACAGTCACCGCATATTTGTGATGTCTGTGAACAAAGGATGCGTTGCGCCTGCACCGAATCTCTGTATCCAGTTGTAAAGTTCACCACCTCAATACAACATGTCGCGACAACATGTCGCAGTCATGTCCCAATCATGTCGCAGTCATCGATGTCATTGTTATGTCTCGATGTCTTGAGGTATCTTGAGATATCTTCAATCAGTTAAAATGTATGTTTTAGTCAAGTTGAGGTCTTGCATCTTTAATTTTCATTGGTTTCTCAGTTTGCGCCGCACACTCGTCTGTGTCTAAGGGGCAATTTTGCAAGACACAAGTGGCAACTTCCAGAGTGCTCACCTCTGTAGGTCTTGTATTGGACTGTAAACAGTCTAACAGATTCAACATGCTAGAATCTACTAGAAGACCGAGATGTTTTGGTTCATGTGTCTTGCACGTAGTTGTTTTGGAAATCATAGATCATAGAAGTACCAAATAGATCCAAATAGATCCAAATAGTACATGCAAATCATACAGGCATCAACGTTACAGATATCTACAGATATCTACAGATATCATCCGAGAACGCCAAAGACCACTGTCTCCGAGATGCCAAGTCGACAGCCCAGAAGATATCAATGGTGATGAGGCAGCTTGAAAAAGTGTGTACCACCGCATCCTCAGATGATTCAGATCTTCGCTCTGTTCGCCCATCTCCCCGATCTTCTCAGTGGCAGCACGCTGTCGCCTCTGAGTTTCGAGCCTCCAGGTCTTCTGGTGTAATGAAAGCGCTCTGGAAAGGCCTTAGCTGAAGTGCTCAGCTGCTTAGTTCAACTGAGTTCTTCTCGACTTTTTCGAATTTCTCAAGATCGTGAGCCAAAGCTGAACATACTGAACAAGCTAAATTGATAACTTGAACTTTGAACTAAATTTCTAAATTCAACCTCGAGAAGTCTTCGGCTGAGTAGTGGACAAGTACAGCAGCTGAAGCGCCAGCAAGATGCAAGCAAGCAAATCCCAACCTCAACTGCAAGGTGCGAAAGGAAAGGTCGCAAAGGCGTGCAGAACCATACAGAAGCTGTGGCTTTAAATTGTTGGCTCTAACACAATGACTACACAATGACTGCAGTGACTGCAGTTCTGTGCTACAGGGAGCTCTGAGAGAAGCACATTGTCTGGGTCGACCGTTTGGATCTCGGAATGGCCATTTCCAACTTCTCCAGAAGCTCCGCGCAGTCTGCAAAAGCTGGTGGTTTTTTCCGCTGCGTGTCTACCTTTAGGATCCTTTAGGTGGACCACCTGGTTCTGTGTGTTTGGTTCAAACAGAGAAACCGCGCCACTGTGATAAAAGAACTGGAGAAATCTATCGTAGCTCCGAGATAGATAATATCAGATAGATGGCATGGAAGTGGCTAGAAGAACTGAGCCAACTACGAAAACCCATTATTTTTTTATCTGGCATTGTGGGCCGCTTTTGATTCTCGCCACTGGGTCCGTTCCGTCTTGAAGGCACTGATACCAGAACGCTTCACAGTTCTAACGACTAACATGCCTTCATATTCCATCCGAGTTAACTCTCTATACTTTCAGTTCACCATGATGGACGGTCTTCAGCTGGGAACAGTCATCTCAGGGTCTTGGTCGTGGATAAAAAATGTTACCCCCTGGTAAATTAATTAACATAGACCCTGAAAATGACCAATTTATAGTGGAAACTAGTCTTCCAACCCCTATCTGGCAGGGTCTATGTTAATTTACTGGAGGGTACTTAGTGTGGAAACACTCCTGCTGAACAACCGACACTTCTTTGCCTTCCGTCTGAGATCTTCTATTACAGCAGGCTCTAGCACCACAGCGGTCCTGGGTGCCACGGACTTTGAGTCACAGCATACCAACAGCGCTAAGCTCTTTTTACATCTTTTTACCAACCTATGCACCAACTGCGCACCAACCAAGATCTGCCAACTCTCCGTTTTGACAAGCTCGATGCCAGAAAGGTCACAACGTAAAATGATGCTAAGATATGCTAAGTGATGGTAAGTGCTTTTTTGTCATAGCAGCTCCTTCTGCGCGTCTTCACCTAAACAGAAACTCATCATCGTCGATTGGTCGATTGGATGTCATCGAATTCTCCAATCGACAGCGTTTCGACGCAAGTTTCATGTCGGCCTCGAAGAAAGAAGTGGTCCGGTGACGACGACCGCTCCTCCGCGGCCTGGAGCCAAACATCCCGATTTTTCAATTCGCTACTTCTATAAATTCTATAAGCAGATTTAAACATATATCACTAGATATCTATTAAAAGTCTAGATCATTTATCGTTTATCATAATATCATCAATATATATATATATCATATTATCTACAACACATTTATCCTATCGAAATATCATAGCAGATATCTCGACCACATCGGAACGTCAGACAACGTCAGACCACGTCACAGCGTATGGCTCTTTTTTTGGCTTCCGTGGCCTTACAGATCTCGCATTGTCGAGCTGCTGCGGCTTAGAGGGCATGCGGCCCTGAAAGCTCTCCTTCGTGGCAAACCTCCCAAGCCTGGGCTGCGAAGAGGCGAAGAGTCTGCGTTGGTCAAAATGGTCGAAGTTCCAGGCATTGCGCTCTATCTCAACATGTCTCAACAGACACTTTGGGCTTAAGTTAAACATAGTTAAACATAGTTAAACATAGTTAAACATAGTTAAACATAGTTTACCTGATTTGATCTAATTTGCATTGTTCACAGCCCTCAAGCAGTTCATGGCCTGCTTTGCGCTCTTCTGGGCATCCACCTCAAGCTTGCTGAAGCCAGGCACACCGGTCATGTTGCCAGCGCAGATAAGGGCAAGTCACTCGAGTCACGAGAACCTACACAGAAATGCAGAAATGCCAAGCCTTGCGAAGAAGGCTGCGATGCGGTGGGAAAGCCTGTTAAGGGCGCTGTCCATGCTAAACTCTGCAAGACGTTGTCGTTGGCAAAGATTCAGAGTCGTTCAAAGGTGTTATGTTTTTTTCTGTTCATCAATGGACTGTCGGGTGCACTTGGAACATGTATTACAGGGACTTGTTTACAAATCAAAAGAATCAGGAATGGCAAAGGAAGCAGAAATCGAAGAACTGCCCAACAAGTCCAAGCTGCGGTGGCGACACAGGCTTGCTCTCAGAGGCAGTAAACTCAGCAATTCGGGAACTGTGCTCTCCGAGTAAGTCGCGGAACTGTCGGATTGAACAAGGAACTGTCGGATTGAAACACTGAACCTGAAAATCGATGGCAATCTCACATCACGAACCTCAATGACTCCAAAGTAAACACCAGGTGCCCTGGCCGACGGAACAATCTCCAAGCTGTTCCTTGCCGATTTGATCCGGAGGTTGGTAACTCTGCACAAGAATCGCCGAAGCATCAATGTGAATGAGATTAAGTATCTGGCATCTCCCGCAAAGGCCCCCTGGCAGCTGGGTTTTGAGTTTTGATGTTTTGCAAGAGGAAAAGGAGAATGCACTGATGAAAATCACTCTGCTGTACGAGACAGAGCAAACGTCAAAAGATGCGTCCACCTCTGCTGCGATCTACGCTCCTCCCTGTCCCTTGTGGATTCTGCAGATTCCTGGCATAGCAAGAGAAATAGTCTGGCGAGACGTCTTTTTCCGGCAACCATCCGAACTCACCTCGAAGCAATTCAGTACAACATGGATAATATATGATAATATGGTATTGTTCGATGTTTTTTGTAGACTCCTGGTGATATCACGAATAAACTGGTCCTGGGCCCTGGTTATATCGCTGCCTCCTCCAGTGAAGAGGAGGTCTGACGCTGTATATCCTCGAGGTCCGAGGTTTTCCCGGCAGATTCGGGAGTGGTGAACACCAACATAGCTGGTAAATGAACGCTCATCCAGCGCAAATTTGATATAGATTGATATAGTATCTTGACAATGATGATTAGTGGATTATCTCCCATGCCGGAATAACTATAATAGTAGAATACAATGATAATTGTCATTATTATCATCATTTATCATCATTAATCATTCATGATACTCATGATTCATGATCATATAACAACAATAATGATGATAACAATGAGTATCATTAGTCATGGGTGATTGGGATTCATACCCATGGAGAAACCCATCTGCAAGGCGTCTCAGTGCCATGCTGCGAAGTCCACCGGTGATGCTGCCCCGTGTTGAGGAGCCCCGGGGAGACGAGGTTCTTCGCCCTCACGGTGTATCACCCAGTGGTAATCCAGCAACCCCGGTGCAATGTAACACATTCATAACATATTTATAACATATTCTGTATAATATGTATCTATTATATTTTATTATATGATACCGTATGATATTACATGATATTACATGATATTACATGATATTACATGATATTACATGATATTACATGATATTGTATGATATTGTATGATATCATATGATATCATATGTATATGTGTGTTTTGTGCAGCTTGTGCAAATGAATGAATCATCAGGAATAATCAGGAGTCAATAAAGAAACCCAGCTGGATGTAGCCGGCTGTAGCTGGTTTGGTCACAACCTCTGACATGTCCTGTGTGTCCCTTGGAGCGTGGCCTCCGGTGCATGCGGCCTGACACATCGGACGTTTTCCGATTGCAAGACAATGGAAGCTCATTTTGGAGGCTCATTTCTGTATGTTTCTGTTCCTATACCAAAAATATCCAAAAATATGATCTCGACTTCTACACTGCAGTCGACGGACATTTTCCATCTCCTCTTAAGATGCTGTCTACATGCAATTTGATTCATCACTATCAGCTGATTCGCTTGACTGCGAAGGCTCTTCAAACGATGTTTCTGCATGCCCTTGATGCAGCGAGCAAATATCTCCAGCTGGATAGAAGCGAAGGTGTCTGGCCAACTGGAGAGTCATAAGACTGCAAGGCACCATTAGGCAGATGATTAAGAGGCTCATTCCGACTAAACTGCCAAATTTTTGCTGTGAAAAGGAGGCACTAGGCCCAATTAATCCAGACAGCAATGCTGCCAGGACCGAAAGAATTGCATTCACACGGCCGAATGTCCGGTTCCCAAAGGTATGAGCTAGAAACGTAAAGTGGGCAGAATATAACATCGCCCGGTAGTTCGTAAACGCCAGAAATGCAACGAGCTGTGCTTGCAAGGATGGGACTAATGTCACAATGCTCCAGATGAAACCCAGCAACAGCATCAAGCTGAATGCAAAGGCAAATCCCTTCTTCGACAAAGACATGCCGAAGAGTGGCGCGAAAAGAATTGATGAAGGCAGAAGAGCAGTAAATACCTGAGCGTAGATGTTGTTGTGGTCGCCTAACATGCTCAAGAGGTTCTTGTTGAAGCCCAAGTAGCTCGTTGCCGAGAAGCCCTCAGTGTCACAAGGAGTTCCAAGTTGAACACAAGTTGAACACGAGGAGCGCAAGGAGCAGAAGGAACTTCTGAAAAGTTGTTAAGGTATGTTAAGGTGGGTCAGCAGTGACTTTCACTTGTAACTTTGTGAACTTTGTGAACTTTGAAAGTTTGCAAAGTTTGTTCCCCATGTTACAGCTTTGAAAAGACTCAGCTTTATGCTCAATTCATGCTCTACCCCTATCAATCCACGGCCGCTACAAACTCTGGACAGCTACTGATTGTCGATCTCCGACTAAGGCGCCTGTGTGAGGTAAATCACGAATGCGAATCCAAACTCAAAACTGTGGAGCTGCTCGGGGAGAGAGAGTCCATGCAACCGAGGAGTTGATGAAGCAGTTGCAGCTTCAGATTCAGAAGCATCCCGACTGTCCCGACTGTCCCGACTTGAAGACTCTTTGGCATTCTTTAACCGAAGCTTCTCAAGATTTGGACCAAACCAACTCACCAGCAGAGCAGCATTTACAGCGAAACAAAGGCCAGCGTACATGGTGAAAATCATTTGACGGGACATGCCCAGGCGATACAGTTGATAAAGAACAGCAGGCATGACCTAAGACAGTTCAAACAGAGTTCTCAGACATTCTCAGCCATTCTCAGACATTCTCAGACATTCTCAGATAGCTCAATTCTAACTGTTAGGTCATTTCAAACATTCCAAATTCATCCAAATTCAAACTTCTCACTCAGCAACTCACCGAGTGAATTTCTGTAAGCTCCTGACTGCAGATCCATCTACGATGCAATTCGTCAGCGTCATGACCCAAGCAAACTTCGCAGTTGGGACGAGAAAAGCGAGCTTCAGAGCATGCACCATGATGGCAGATGAGCCAATGCCAACTATGCTCACGGCAAAGTCCAAGACATCGAAAGGAAGCTGCGAAAACATGTCGTTTTCGTTATTTTCGTTGGTGTTTGTGATATCTACGTAGGCAAGCAAGATCAATCCAAAGGTTTCAAATAGGCCTCCCACAATGGAGAGAAAGACAGGTCCAGTTCGATCCATGAGGAGACTGAGAATTGCATAAGCAAAGATCGAGAACATCTGTCCATTTGAGTACAAATACAGCATCCGTTCTTTACGTTCATCGCAGCCCGATGCATCACATAGATCTTGGTATAGCCCGTCATCTTCCAGAAATGATTGCAGGGATGCCCAACCCCACAAAACGCCGGAAAAGAGCAAGGAATTTGCAAGGCCAAGTACAACTGTCGACCATGCACGGACTTCGCAGTATGACGTCTCATCTCCAACTTCAATTTTCTTTGAATCCATGGCACAAAGCAGTTTTGAAACTGCCCCAACCAGGCTCAATCCTAGGCAATTTCTCTGTTCACGGAATCCCAACAGAGAGGCAGCGGGCCAATCACGGCTATGACACGCGACAGAAAAAGCTACAGTGGTGTCAAGTCTGTCAAGTGGTTGATTCTTCTCAGTGAAAATGATCCATGCAATCCTGGTGGAACGATCCCATCAAAGAACTGTCAGTTTTGAAGCCAAAATCTACAAATCTACGCCTCGCCTTTCCTCTTCTGTCAAGAAACCACTTGACTGCTGAAGATCCTTGATGGCCTGGAACAGGGGTCGACAGCGTGACTGTGGTAATCTGTGGTATGTCCAGATATGTCCTGATATTCAGTTGTATGCAATCAGTATCTCTGTTCAGCGTCAAAGTGTCAAGTCCATCGGGATCATTGATGTTCATTGATGTTCATTGATGTTCATTGTGTCTCTTTGTTTTTGCTTCCCCACTCTTCGGTCCTGCCGTGAAGATTCAGCCAGTTCAAGCGTCTCGATCCTCTCTGAATCCTTGGAATGTCACAAATGATGCTTAAATCTAAATGCTGATGTTCTGAGCGTACAAAATGCTCTGTTTGCACTGTCTGTTTGGGACCTGTCTCCCCCGTTTCGTCTATTTCGCATGCAGTGCTCGAGACTCTGACAATACCGACGTCCGCTCCCCTGCAGCTCAAATTTTGTGAAGCCAAGAGCAAAAGTAGAGCAAAGTTGCCAAGTGACCAAGACGACCAAAGAAGTGGCCAAGAAGTGGCCAAGAAGTGAAGGAATCTGACATGAAATTCATATTGAGAAGTTCAGTTCGGAAGGTCCCGCCGGTGGTCCCGCCGGTGGTTCCGGTGGTGCCTCAAGAAATTCGGGATCTTCCCCGGAAGTGACGAATCCTCCCGGAGCAGCTGCCCCAGCGGCCTGGTCGATCCACACTTTTCTATTGCTCAATCCTGCTGATTTCACACCCATTACAAACCTGTACATTAAAATTACATGAAATTGCCCTTGTTATCCCTTGTTCACCTTCAACATTTCCAAGCATAAATCGTTTTTGGATTCAAAATGTCCAACTAAATTGACGTAGATGTTGGTCCCTGGATCTCATTGGCTGGGCACCTACAACATTTTTTCGGGACTTTCTGCTGGGTCCTCTTCACACCTTGGAAAAACCTGATGCTGGCCTTCTTACACAATCTGTGTATGCAAACAATGCAAGATAATGCTATTGCATGATAAAAGTGAACTATCAAAGTGCTACAAAAGCAACAAAGTGTGAACAAAAGCTGTTTTTTTTGCCATGTTTGATTTGTGGTTTCCCTATCGACTCCAAGAGTCGACTCTCGGAGATCGGCCTCGAGGCCCCAGAGGAGAGAGCGGGAACCAGCCGTCGCACCGGCACAGACCTTGAAAAAACAACGGCGGAGTTCGAAGGGACAGGAACGACAAGATCGACAAGAGGAAAGTTGTTGGCAAAATGAATCAAACAAAATCGGCCAAATGATATCGAATACATTGAGTATATCAAATCTTATAAATCGTTATCAAAAAGATCTGAAATTGAAGTCTTGTTGGCCTTGCCCCGTCTGCCAAGCTCCAGACACATCTTCGGCCTGCCGCTCAGCACCAAAGTCCTCACAGTGTCGGGAGTTGCATTTCGTCTCGTGGCTGAAACAACATATAAATGATTGAAACGATTCAAATGATTGAAATGATTCAAATGATTCTATAAATGTATAATATAATCTATATAATCAGTATACACTAGAATCCTTGAGAGATTCTTTATCTTTGTTCATCTGCATCTAGATTATAAAGGTTTAAATGTACAAAAACAACATGTGTTACCTGTGTGATCTACATCACCGTAGTGGGAAATGTGGTCTCCCACCTTACCTATATGTACCTACATTCTTCGGGTCACTTTTCATTACATCACATGCTATCACGCGACATTGCAGTGCGCTACATCACAATTGTATTGAATAAGACTACAGTACTGGTATTATGTTCCTTGCATCAGACTGTAGCATTTCGACTTGCGTGATATAGGATTTGCATGGATTTGCATGACCAAGCTGTTCTCAAATTAGTCTGTTGTATCGATTTGTGCAAAGATAAAGTTGATGTTTTATTAGGGGCAAAGCCTTGTGATGTTTTATTTGTCATTGCATGTCATTGAAAATGTCATTGCATGTCATTGCAACATGAAATAGTGCCCCCGGCTTCAGGGATCTTCAGGGTGCCCTTCACAAGCTCGGAAAACTGAGCAGCTGTCAGCTCCTCGCTACCTTCTGGGCTCACGTGACTACTTCGTTTCAGCCTGCGAAGAACGCAGGCTGAAAAGATTTGAAAAGCACATAAAAGCACCTTGGATTAGAAGACAATGAAGATCAATGAAGACATTCGAACACTCTGAACATCTCTGAACAGCATCAGACAATCCCCTTGCATTTCCTAGTTGTCTCCTTTGGGATTCATTAAATCGTTTGACAAAAGGAGATAAAAGGAGAGTACAGCCATGTACTGCGAACAGCGAGGTCCCAAAAGACAAGTTCCGACCACAAGAGTTCAGCGGCTCGCACCGTTGAGCAGCTCGGTGTACACTTGAGGCAACTCGAGCCTGAGAACTCGTGTTCCAAATGCGTCACTCTGTCAACATCTGTCAACATCTGTCAACATCTGAATCTATCAACACTTGAATGTTGAAAATCAGCATGGGCTGTTCCAAACATTTCAAAAGCACCGAGCAAGACTCTTGGGACTCAGACAATTTGCATAGGAGCACTGAGTCTCCGAAATATCTGGCGGTGACCCAACTCAAAAAGTGCAGCTCTCCACATCGCTCTTTCCTATCTTTCCTATCTTTCCTATCTTTCCTATCTTTCCTATCTTTCCTATCCTTCCTTGTTTTGCTACGTTTTGCTACGCTTTGCTACGCTTCGTACCTTGGAATCCACTTTGACGCCGAGGTCCTTCGAGTTCTCCATGCTTCTGTTGCTTCCGCTTCTCAGCGGAAACAGCGATTCCTGCATGATGCGATGATCTGCGACGTGTAGCGATGAGTGAACTTTCGGAAAAAAAGGTTCACGTCACAGAAAGTCACATCGGAGAAACCCATTTTGGCACTCTGTAGTTCAATGTTGTCTTTTGAAACCCGGTTTTCAAAATTTCTCGACTTGGGCTCTGCTTGGGCTCTGCTTGGGCTCTGGCTGTTGGACCTGAGATCAAAGGCATTCGAAAGTCCAACACAGTCCTCTTGGCCAAAATGACCAAAGACATTCGTTTCCAACACCGTCGTTTCGGAGCGTTTCGGAGCGTTTCTCCGCCGAGGAACTCGTCTCATCAAAATTGTGGCTGGACCTGGAACAGGTTTTTCGGCAGCATTTCGCATGGAAAACCGAGCATTGCGAGTTCGTCGGCCTGCCATTCCTTGATTTTGAGGGCGTTCTCTCCAGACGGGCCTCAACAGCGCAAAACCAGAATGCACCAAAGCAATTCTTGAAAATGTCATTAAAAAAACAGTAGGCATATATATATATGTGTAACACTATGTGTATATATATAGTACTATAGAGATCTATAGAGAATTACCATTAGAATTTAGATACGGGTATACATACGGTAACTATCTGTAACTTGTGTATAATTGCTGTTCTTGTCAGTCCTTCTCATCGCAAACTGCCAATTTTGGAGCCTCTGCTCCTTGAGTCATGGCCTTCAAAGATTTCCATTCAGAACAAACCACAAAAACCTGACTGAGGCATCTCACCATCAGTGGGGATAGAGCCTGTACAGAAAGTGAGATTGATCGCAATTGATCCAAGTGCCGGTGTGGATTCATATGGCAAATGTCCGCACATGTCTATTCACTTCTCAACTTGGGCTGCCTGGCCATTTTTGATCTCTTGAGAGTCTCATGTGTGCAAGAATTACGCGGCTCATGCAGATATATAGCAAAAAGATACGTCTGCCCTGCTGGCACAAAATACGCTTACTGCACGATGCCTTTAGAGGCACCATTGGCAGTCAGACTCAACTTCGGAAATCTGCTTCCAAAAGGAAAAGATATCAAGATAGATACTAAGATATAATATATCAAAAGGATTCAAAAGGAACCACGCTTGGGTGCTTCCTCCAAGCTGTTCCCAAAAATTGCTATGCTATTATCCGACATCTGTCTGACACATCCGAAGAGCGCCCTGAGGAGAAGCTCATTTTGACTGCGACGTCATCCTTCGGTCCTTCGGTTCTCCCTTCCACCCTTCGATGTTGCGCTTCAGACATCGATGTTTGTTGTTGCCTTCCATGCCTAATGGCAATTGGGCAAAGATGTTTAGACATCTTGAGACATCTTGAGACATCTTGAGACATGTTGAGACACATGTTTCAACAGCGAGATGGAACTCGGCTGCATTGCGAGCAAGGAACTGTTGGGTCAATGCGCTTCATCATGGCTTTGATCTGCTTCATCGGACCACACTCGTAGAACCTCAGAAACAACCACCCGAATCAGCTCGAATCAGCCTGAACCTGACACCAAAGGCCGGTCCTTGCAGGACGCCATCCTGTCAGATCTGTGATCTGTCAGAATCAGATCTCTCCGCTCCCAGGTCTACGTCCCTTAGGTCCCTTAGGTCCCTATAGGTCTCGGACTCCTTGACGCCTTCTCTGAGGATTGCCTTCACGGAGTCTTCCCACAGCACGGGGTTGGTCAATTGCCTAGCGAAAGCTCGATGAGTCAACTGAGTCAAGCTGACTGTAATAGAAAAATATAGAAAATACACCTTTTCAGATACATGTAGATTGTGTAGAGAAAATAGAAATTCTGCAGAAATTTCTTTCCAATGCTTCAAAAATCTTGAAATTCGGTCTGTAGAATTGAAGTTTGCGCCTCTTCAACATCACCACAATTTCTTTTGGATCAGTACCAGGTCGAATGGGCTGCGCAGATGCATTCATCCAAACCTGAGATTCAAAGAGATTCAAAGAGGTTCTGCCAGGATTCTGTCTCTGCCTGTCTCAGCCTCTCTACGTCACTACAGTCACTACAGGACTTGCAGATGCGACAAGTCACGGTGTGCAATGGCGGCTTCATGCTGGGAAGAGTCTCTTCAAGGGCTGCTGACAATCTGTCCTCGACATCTGCAGGCTCTGTGGCTCTGGGGAAGTCTAGGGGAAGGCTCGGCGCAACATTTGATGTTCGGTGCTGAATCTGCTCAAATGTTTGGTCTCACAACTTAGCAACAGCACCCAGGCGAAATCAGTTGAAGTCTCACAATTTACAACGTTTTATAACTGTTTTCTAACATTTTATAACACGAACAATGCACAAACGTCCTGCGCAGGCTGCATGAGAGATGTGTGAAAGGCACCAGCAGTCTTCAGGACCTTGGCCTCGCACATCGACAGCGTATGACTCATATGTATGATGTTTAAACTGTTTATAAACTGTTTAATGTGTCTTAATGGTTTGGGAAAAAGTGCCGAAAATAAATGAGGCGTGCAATCAGCTTCAGTTGTGGATGAAGATACCTGGTGCCCTGGAAATGCCCTGGATACCTCTTTGGGATTTTTTTTGACTCCATCCCAAAGACTGAAGGAATTACAAGGCCGTTTGCACAGGAGCTGAAAGACTGACACCAGCGAAGTAAAAAATGAAATCGAGACTCGGTGACGTCGGTGACTTGAAAGCTGGATGAATTCATGTATTGAGTTCCTCTTCTGGAATTACTCAATTACTCAAATCGTTTCACCAAAAGCATTTGATATCCTTGATGTCTTTGGGAGGTAAACCCGTCGGCATCGATTTTGTAAGCTGCGGCCTGAAGGCATCCGTTCTTCTCTGCCAAATCCTTCAGGGTATTGATGGCCTGACAGTCAATGGTCAGGTTGGAAGGATTTCAAGGGCATGGCTCGCATGGCCAAAGGATTTTCCACGTATCATTGGCATCGATGTCATTTGCTGCACTGTTGGGCAAAGACTTCGGCCTGTTCAGTGCCTCCAACGGAGAACCCAGAAGGGAAGAGGCAGTTTGCTACGGAGCAAACTCCATCGGCGCCCTGATCAAAGGCACTAACATCTTCGCATCTTCCAGGAACATCTCCAAACTCCGAACGTCTCTGAATGTTAGAAGGAACGTTTAAAGTTTCAAGTGTTAAAAGTGAAAAGGAAAGGAGGGAGCTCCTATACAGTCCTTCTCATGTGGCCAGACTTCAAACCATCTCTGACACTTTGTCCTCCGTCACTTTTCTGCACAGAATGATCAGTTTTTCTTGCCACTAAACTCCAGAACATCCAGAACATCCAGAACATCCAGAAGCCAGTTTCATCCAGTTTCCCTGTCAAGCCTCCTTTGCTGCTGCTTCTTTGCAAAGTGCATCCAGCTTTGACTTTTCAAGTCCAGCCACTGAGAGCATCAGCTGCTTCTTGCTACCAGACCTAGACCACGGTGACCAACGAGAGCAAGGAGAGAATCCGAGAGAATCCGACAAAATGCTGAGAGAATCCACGGATTCCAAGATATTCTGAGATCCCAGAGAATCCGCTCCGCACCGCACACCGCACCACACTCACACGGCGGACCCCGCAGACCCCGCGGACCCCGCGGACCGTGCAGCTGAGCGACGTTGCGGCCTCTTGCATCGCTTCACCTCGTAGCTTCACCAATTTCAAGCCATCCTCGAAGCTCATCACCCCGGCAGCACACAGCGCCGTGTACTCACCTGGCTTAGCATTTGGCGAAGCATGGCTGTTCGACCTTCTTCAGACAGATGGCAAATGGCAAAACACGGTACTACCTCATGAAACATGTAGAAAAACATTCGGGAACATGTTGAAACATCGATAAACGCACTGGGGGCCCGGATTGTGGATCCTGGAGGAGCATGCAACATACGTTCCTCATGCGTCCCTGTATCCCCCGCGCCTAGTGACAAGCCGGCCATCACGGACGCTCGATCGACGGCGTCGGCTTTCTCTACTCGCAGTTTCTCCAGGCCGGCCAAGCCACCAATGAACAAAGCAGGCTGGCAATAGCGTGTCTCTTCGAGCTTCTCTTCAGGTCCATTGAGACAAATATCCAAAAGATCATAGCCGAGGATTGGCTTGGATTTCTCCAGCATGTCTTGGACAGGTGGAAGATCCTTTGCCGTTTCCATCATCTTCACCTGAGCAAAGAAGCTGCAAACTCCACCTCTGAGATCTTCCAGTGACAAAGACAGGAGACAAAAAACATCTGCAAAATATGTCATATGACTGTCATATGTCAAGCTGAGCCATATGTCAAGCTGCATATTGTGATCCTTGACCAGGGAAGAACAACGCAATCGGCAGCGGTGCCTCCACAAGCTGAATCCAGTGAACACATTTCTCTTGTCCAACGACTTGGCACGTGAAACGGTCTCCCAGCAAAAAGGAACCACCAGGTCTCAATATGTCTCAATATAAGTTTACAATTTTCACAATGGAGAAAAGATGAATCAACGTCATTCAGAGTCATTCAGAGTCAGATTTTTCGGTGAAGCTGCAGCATGCAGTATGCAGCTCTGGTTCTAGCTGCGCCTCACCCTTGGGACCCACTGCAGTGGGCGGAGGTGGTGGAGTCTTATCGGTCTTCAGCGCCAAATCCTTGTCCTTCAGCTTGATGCTGACCTCGGAGTTGGCCATGGAAACACGATTCAGAAGCTACTGCTACTGAGCTGCTACTGGAGTCAAGAGAGAGAAGGAAAAATTGCACCAAGGGGGATCCTCTCTTCGAGGTCTGAAACCAAGAAGTGGAGGAAAAGAAGTAGAAAGATCCTGTGACACCTTTAAGATTTTTTGATTCAAAGCATATTCCAGCAATACACGAACCAAATCCGTGTTTGAAATGATACTAATTATAGTTATAGTATTAACATACATATATATATATATTAATACGTAATGTAAATAGCTGATGTCTGAGCTGAAGACCCAGCCAGTTGTAGGACCTGTTCCCACGGCAAGTCGATAGTTCAGCCGATCTCCTTTCAACTCGATTTCCTCCACTAGAGCTCCAGTGGATAATCTGTCGTCCAGCTGAGTCGATTTGGTGTTCTCTCCATCCCTGCAACAACGCACGATCTTCGTCAATTTAGATAATATTTGTCATATAATATCTATCTATGTATACTATATATATATATATCTATATATACATATGATATGTATCTATACATATACATGAATACAGAGTTTATATTTTTTATAGACAATAGATACTTATATAACACTGTAAAAGTGTATGTATACATATTGCATAATACAATGGTATAATATATCAGGTAGTTATAGAATGTTCTAAATATGGTTTCCTTGTATCTACATGCATATATAAGAAACAACACGAAGCAATCATCTCGTTGGCTGCACATCGCAAGAAACAACAGGAATTTGCAACAACATGAAATGTTGATGCCTCACGATGATCCCACCCTTGTCTGCTCCGCCAACGATCTCCCACATCTGAACCATAGCTACGATTCGGGTGCGTTCCAGATCGAGTCAAAATTGGAGGCAATACTGACAATGCTGCAAGAGAGATTTTGAGCCAAAGTTGGGGATCAGCGCTTCATGAAAAGTGGACACAGTGGACACATCTCTCACTGCAAATTGCATCAAAGCGCTGTAACATGATGTGACATGCTGGAGGAAAATGCAAAACGTTCTGATCTTTGCTGCTGCAGCCTGTGGCATCTCTTCGTGGATCACTTCCCGAAGAACCTGTACCCAGAAACCCTGGTAAGACAGCAGCTGACCTTAAAACAGGAAAGCTATGGAAAGCCTGGTTTCTTTTATTGAAAACCCTTCCAGATCTTCCAGATTCTTCCAGCATAAGCAAGATTTCAGAGATTTCCATCCAGATCTCACAGCCACAATGTGTCGCCTGCCCGATGACATCCTTCACACCACTCAAAATGGGTTCCAGGGCCTGAGCTCGACAGCATTGCTGGCATTGGCATTGCTCAGTCATCAGTCATGGCATCGTGGCATCGTGGCGTCCCATGTCTCGCCATGTCTCGCCTCTTTGATTGCTTGCTTCAAGACGGCGTGGTCATCCTCTAGAATCGTGGGCACGGTATACGACATTTGCCACAACCTCCAGGGAAGCATCCAATGTCGATATCAAAATGTCGATCTCATGTGATGTCAGCGAAGACTTCCCCACCTTTTGGTAGACGGCAATCACTAGGACCGATGGCTATGAAGAAACATTGCAGCCAACTTTTCAAGTGTCGCTGTGAGTTTAGGTGTCAGGCTGTTTGTATGATTTCGCCAGTCAAACCAACAAATGTCAACCTGTTATGTTAAGTGAAGGGAGGCTTGAATTGGGACTTTCTTGTTTGCTTGAGATCACATTGCAATGTAAATTCAACAAAAGGCGACCAAAAGGCTAAATTTGAGATCGACGAACCTGCGCTGCGTCTACAGAGTCTACAGCCATGCCTGGTCTTTGCTACTACGAGCACCAATGGCCGGAATTGGTCGGAACTCATGATGCACATGGCACAGACATGGCACAGTCATGGCACAGTGACGCCATGTGTGACGCATGTGTGACGCATTGGCTTGGCGCCACTTTCCAATTGTCCCAAGCCCAGAAATTTGGAATGGAATAATGAACCATATGGAACCAATAAAGAGTCATAAAGTATGCAGATATGCAGTAAGTGTGCGTCTCAAATGTGTTTTTTCAGAAGAGTCCTGGATCAAGTCACTGCCAAAAAGTGAAAAAACACATGAATCAATGAAAATTTCATTCAGTTCACATCGTGTCATGCACCGACTACTCAGGAACTACAGTGACTTTCTCAATTTGTTTCTTTTCCCTTATCTTCACTATCCTTAAGCAGCTACTGCTGCCTTTTTCGTGCTGAGCGAAGCTCTTTGTCACTTGCTCAGATCAGATCGTTATCTCATTATCTCGTCCTCTCCGTCCGAGTCACGGTCGCTTCTCAAGATCTGGAGGACTCATGAGGACACTGCATGAAACTGCCGCAGATGCCACAAATGCCACAGTTTTAGTGGCTGTGAAACGGGATGAGACGGGAAATGAGACTGGAAAAGACTCACCAAGCTGCTTGAAAAGTCGCATTCCACGGTAGTCCAGGCCTCAAAAGACAGCAGGGTCAGCATGGCGTCCGCATGGTGTCAGCTGTGTTTTTATAGCATGGTCCACGTGATCACAACCGCAACGGTCACAAATCCCCTCCCAAGTTGTTGGCGACATGGATATTGATGCACCACCTGGCAGTCTCAAGGTAAGACACGGTCGAATTTGCTATCAACTTTTCATGAGTTTTTCTCCGTGTGACAAAAAAAGCAACGATCTTAGATGTTTTGCGATTTGCTGGCTTTAAAGGTCCGTCGGCCTTGTAGTCTTTTTTCTTGAAAGGGTCGCTTTGTGCGATGCTGATGCTACAAGATCATGGGCATTGGGATACCCGTAACTCAAAAATGTTCCCCATGGCATTGGGTACTTGGCTTCAGTGCTCGTGGTCATGCTCTAAATCTCCACATCGCCATTTCGTCATTTGCAAGACGTATGATCTGGTCAAGAGAAAGACGACCCTGGTCAAGAGCAAGACGACGGTTCCGTATCGTTTGCGATGGGCGAGGAGCCGGTCCGATGATGGGCGAATGCTCGTCCCACTCGTCAGCGTTGCGGGCTGTCCTGCTGGCACGATTGTGGGCTGTCCTGCTGGCACGGCGGGCCTCTGATTCAGCATGCCTTGCTGCCAGTTCCGCATATTCTGCCATGTGCATGGCCTCCGCTGCAGCATGGGTCAGCTTCTGATCAACCTGGTCAACAAACTCTCGAAGCCTTCGAAGCTCTTCTCGATCTTCTTTCCGATTTTGCTTCAACAACTGCATCACATATATGGTGCCCGCTTGGGCAGGCAGCTCTGGTGAGTAAATGATGTCGAGAGACGAACCACTCAAGACATGCAGAGGTAAACATCTCAGAACTTTGATGGCAAAAGCTGTTCCATCTCGATCCAGCCCAGCCAACTTGCACCACCTGACAACCAGGCCCACAGCTCTGCAGCAATCTTCTTCCTGCAAGCTACCCCAAACAGGGCACCAAACTTCTGGGAATTTGTCCTTGAAAGTTGTATCCTCGCATTGTTCCATTCGCAGCAGAAGAGTGCTTGAAAGGAAGGGCTCGCTTCCTCTTACATCCGTGAGTTCCTTGAGCCATTCCACAGGTATGGTCTCGATGATGTTGGTTGGTAGGTTGGCCCCCGCAAAGCAAAGAGAAAATAGGGTCTTTCCTACCTGAGCACCACCAGCTCAATAAAGCTTACTCTCTACAAAATGAGCAAGTGTCTCTCTGACTTTTTTGGAGGTACAAATGGCAGCATCTTCCTGACGAATGGCCCAACGCAAAAGGGATTGAATTTTCTTGTGATCCTTTCGAATGAATGCTACAATCCTTTCTGGTCCTCCCCAAAAGTCCAAGAGCTCTTGGAAAATGGCAGCGCGATGTTCTGACGCCATGTCCGCGAGGAACAAGACAGAGATATCTTTCTCCAAGATGAAAGGTACAAATGACGTGTAGTCTGCCTGGCTTGCCCAAGTCAGAAATTTTGTGAGCCGTTTGAACTCATATGACCTGGACAAGCATGCTGTAAGAAGTGCCCTTGCCTCGCTGGTAGGTAACCGGGCTCTTCTTGTTTGGTAGGACAAGCAAAGCTCAAACTCTTTTGGCGTCAGTCTGTCCTCATGCGTCAGCAACACACCCAAAGCGAAATTCTCAGCACTGAGGAGGCTGTCGGGCAGAGGAGGCAGCAATCGGGCGAACGCAGCAGGAGCAGGACGTGGGTTCTCGTGCTCGTGCAGCAGAGCTCGAGCTAAGTCCAAATCCGCGACTGCCCTGGTACAAAAACCACGTGACAAGGCTGGCTGCGACAAACCCTTCAGCAATGTCAGAAGATGCTCCCTCCATGACGTCAAAGCGTTGCAAAAAAAAGCAAAAACTACGAAGGTTACGATGTCCATTTGGTTTGCTTTGGTAATCATTCGCTCAAAGCGGGTAATGACCCTTTTAGCCATGTCTTGGTCATCTTGCTTCATGGCATAGCACAAGCAAACTTGACAATCTGCCACTGTCTCCAACCATTGCAGGGAATCTGGAGGCGTCACATTCTTTTTGTAGCCACGCATCTGGCAAGCTTGCAGCAAGAAACCTGCATCATCCAATAGCTCAGCATCAGCATACGACAGAGCTGTTTTGGAGTTCCGCAGGATTTCCAAGATGACCTCGCTAGACTTCCACACTTTTTTGGGGATCTGTTCAAACTTCCTCTTGACAACTGTCCAGTCTGAAGTAATCCGTTCCATCCACAATGCTACGTCTGGGTCACGCAGTGCCAAGAAAATTTCCAGCACAACATCAGCGCTCTGAAGAGTCTCAATCAAACATGAGTCATGGAGAAGCCTCTGCTTGAAAGACCAGCATTGCTCACGAACAGGAATGTTGATAGCTTTTGCTAGCTTTGTTTTTGCCTCCCGGACTGTCCACTTTTCACCAACACCAATCTCTACAACATCACCTGACATTTTGCAGACCCTCAGGGTCGCAACAGGCCTCTGGCAAACACAGGTGGTATTTTCTGCTCGTTCCTTCCACTGGCTCATCAGCAGCCATCTAAAACCAGAGGCTCGCCACAACATCGTTCCCGGACAGTTGTACCCTTCATTATGTGGACAAGACAGTTTTTCCTGCCACTCTGGAATCTCTTGAAAAAAGCGACATGAGCTGCACTCTACAAAGCACGTCCAACCGACTGCCGACATGGCCCGCAATGGCATTTCTTCTGTCTGCAATATGGGGCAAATGATCCTAATGAGCCTTTACTAAAGACTCTTTGAGCCTAACGATCTGAGAACGCAGGAAAACAAAAGAAAACTCGGAAAATTTCTTGGAAACTCCAGACCATCTCCGATATCTCTGTATCATTTGTGTCTCTTTCATCACAGCATCTCACTGACAAAGGGCGATGCGTGGCGCGCAGCGACGGAAGACATTCCGCCTCTGTCCGTGTCGTGGCCAATCACCAAGAATCCCACATTCGCGTCCTGGCGAACCGGCGAGGCCTTGTATCAGTGTGTAGCAAAAATCTCTTCCATTGTAGGTACTCCATTAAAAGAAATGTCACAGAAGTGTTCAAGCTCTCCTGGCAAAACCCAACTGGCTGAAAACCTGAATCATTCAGATGGTCGAAATGCAAAGCATAGATGGCACAGACATGAGGAAAATTGGCCGACGACGAAAACTGAGGAAGGCACTCTCTGGCCACTGGGGCCTTGGTGGATCTTGGTGGATCTTGGTGGAAAAAGCCCTGTGTTTTGACCATCAAATTTGAATTTGTCGAGCCTCCATCGGCCCAAACTTCGGGAAGCGAAGAGATCCCACGCCTGAGCGCTTTGTGATGCATTCTCTCTGGAGTCTAATGTGACGTTTTCATTTCACTGTCAGAACTTGAAAGTCGTATTCGTCCTTGGAATTCTTGAAACTGCAGCTCACCAACAGCTTACAGCACTGGTCTCTAGATCGAATTCAAGACGGAGGTCTGATAAAGGGCTAGTTACTCAGCTGGTTTCAGCAGTGCAGCACCGTGCCGTCGGCACATCTAGTGAATCTAGTGCCAGCCTCAATGTAGCCGGTGGACAAAAGAGCTATAAGCTGGCCATGCCTCAGAAAATAGTCAGACGAAGCAATAAGAATCTGCTCATCCTGGCTGCAAACGGTCTCATTCTTTCCCAGAAATGCGAAATGCGTGAGACTTCAAAGAAGTGAATAGTTGGTGTTCATTGAGCAGGCTACGAGTTCAAATGAAGCGCCACAGTTCCCTGCGATATGCGACACTCTGATGATCTCTGCCCATGGGAAGGCTCTGCATTTTGCCAAACTGTTTTCCTCTCAGCAAATTCCCTCCAAGTTACCAGTCTTTGCAGCAAATTCATCAAACTCGAAAAACCCGAAAACCCCATGAAAACCCGATCCCATGGATGTCGACGGCCTTGGTTTCCTCCTTCAGGGGAGCATCAAGGCCTCAGGCGACATCTGACATCGCAACGTCACGTGGCGTGTGCGGCGTTGCAGTTGGGTCGGGTCGCAGTGGGGTCGCCACCCGACGCTGAGCATCGCTAAGCATCGCTGAGCGATTCACCGGGCCGAACCGAATGCGTGGGCGGCTTGGACACGCCTTGACTCAACTTGACACTTGTTGACACTTGGGAACCCAGAAACTGCGCCATAGGTCTACAGAGTCTACAGTTGATCTGCTAAGGTCATTGCCGTGGAGCAAAGGCACCGCTGCAATAGGAATACTCTGACCATCCCAGCCTCAATGCTGCGGGATCAACGTGTGGGGGTTACAACTTGCAGATTGGGCAACCTCCTGATGATGCGGAGTCCAACAAAACATGTACAGGTATTTGTTGTCTACTTGGAAGCTACTCTGCTGTCAACGGTGTCAAGTAATGATCATCCTCAAAGAGCACATGAATGGAAGGCTGGGAGAGGAACGGAAAAAAAAACACCCAAAACGAAAACTTCAGGTACTTTCTCAGACCCTCACCTGCCAGCAGCAAGCACCATTCTGCCAAACCGACCTGGTCTTTGCAATACCAGCAAATGTAGACTTGCAAAAATGTTGTTGCCATTTGGTATATACGATGATTCACGGCAGTGTGACACACTGTGTGTTCCTAGGGTGTAAAGCAAAGTCGATCAGCACCTCATCTGGAGGAAGCAACTGTATAACCTTGCAGAAACAAGCAGCAGCACTGTAATTCAGTGAATTCAACGCACTGCCCCGGCCTTTGCACATGGCACTGTGCTGCCGGTCGCCAACTGCCACCTTGAGCTCTGGTTGTGACAGAAAGCACAATTTTGAATAGAGTCTAAAGCATTGCCCCAAGCTTTGTCATGCTTTGTCCAAAGGGAACAGGGAAGGAATTAAATCTCTAGAGTATAGACAGTATAGAGTCTTCATAGAGTCTTCATGGAGTCTTCATGCATTCACATCATTTCACATCATTTCACATAATTTCACATCCAGTATCGTGTATTGATGTGTATTGTAGATGTGCAGCGATGTGCATGCATGTCATCTATCACATCCAGAGGAGAAAGATTGGTTGCATCCACCGCATATCAAGTACCGCACGGTCGATCGGCTAATCTCAGAGAAGCACCATCACCTGGAAGCGCTGGCAGACAGCCAAGCCAAGTTCTGTCAATGAAAAAAGAGAATCTCTCAGGCCTAAACTGCATGACGAGGATAGAAAGAAACGAAGATTGAAAGACTTGAGTGGTAAGTATGGTAAGTGAAGAAGAGAACATAAGAGAACTCTGAAAATTCATATAAATTCATCAAGAAGAAATCATTTCAAATTTTGACTTGAGACCAAATCTGTGGCTCTGACAGCTACGAGATGCTACGAGATGCTACGAGATGCTACCTTTCGTGACAAGCTGAGTTGCATACCTGACCGGGAACCTTTGGCTCCTTTGGCTGGCCAAATCTCCAAACCATCCTGAAAAAAGTGCACAGGCTTTTTTGCTGAATCTGAAGGGAAATCCAAGCGCAGTCTTTCTGAAATCACCGAAAGGATTCTGAAAGGATAGTCATGATTCTCTGCGTTTCACTATTCTTGATACATTGGAAGCACTTCTTCCACATGAATCTTGGTTTTGGCTGCATTCCCCAGTATCCAACATGTTTTAATTGCAAAGACGCAGTGAAAGACAGGCATCTAGAAAAAAAATAGCGCGGTTATGTATAGCAGCACTGGCTAAAAAGTGTTCATGTTGAATGTCATACCGCGTTCAGCAGGATTGCTATCGGGGAAGGCGGACTCTATTTTTTTCAATTTTTTTCAAGCAGAACTCAGTTGTTTACTCCTCTGATCGCTTGGACATGCTTGGATATGTTTATGCTATCTACAATATAAAATGTAAATATCTTCAAGATTTCACAATACAATATTTACTTTCTAGAAATACTGTAGAATCCCCTTAGAATCTGTGCATTTCTTCAGATTTCAGCTGTTCGTCCTGGGTGGTGGCCAGAAAGAGACACGAAAGCAGCGCGTCTTGCGACTTCTCGGAGCCGTTGCCGGCAGGTGAACAGGCGGCGCTCACGGCGCGCGGCAGCCGACCTCGCTGCACCTCCTCCAGCTGCACCGCGTCAGCGTCACGTCTTCCACGATACAAGGCCTCGGAGCAGTCGGAGCAGTGCACATCGTGGGCACATCTAGAAACGAGAAATTGGATGTAGGATTGGATCGATCACTTCACGTTGCGGGTCTGGATCCAACAGTCCAACAGTTCTCCAACAGTTCTTCACAGCCTCAAGTCCAAGCCCGCCACGAAAGGACTAGCCACATAGAAGTCTCCGGCGCAAAAGATTCCCTGGCAATGGACTTTGAAGCACATGTTTCATAGAAATGCATGCCATGTCACAGCAACATGCATGAAGATATGCAATGTATCACGATGTGTCTTCTTAGTGGACATGACAACACATGATAGCAGATGAATCTTGCCAAAGTCACACGTGAATTTTTGCTACCCAGCCTGCGGCCTGAAGAAACTGCCATGGGGCCAGTCCTGCTGGAATCCAACACCCAAGGTATCCCAAGGGGCATATGCCGTACATATGCTGTACATATGCCGTAAGAGTCTGTCACTTGTGTCACTTGTGTCACTTGAGACTCGGACCACATTCTCCACTTTGTTGAAGCTCCAAACTGTGCACCAGGAACCAGCAAATGCCAAAGTTTCAAAGCTCTTGTCACCCAAAGCTTCCACTTTCAGAAAAGACAATCGGGAACGAAGGACTTCACCAGCAGAATGTCTGGGTTTGCATCCATGTTTTGATTTGCAGCTAGCATTCAAGGATAGGACCCGATAGGACTTGCGAAAAAGGGATCATGGATCTTGACAAAGTTGCTGAGTGCATACTATACCAGTCCAAGTCGACAGGTGGAATCGCAAACTGAACCACGTCTATGAAGCTAAGGACCACACCTTGAGCTTCACATAACCTGCAGCTCAAGGATATCTGCAGTCATCCACAGTCCAATCAGAACAAGACAGAACTTCAGACATTCAGATGTTCTGTCCCAAAGGGCAACAAGTCCATGCAAGTCCCGTATAAAAACTGAACGCAACTACAACCAGAACAACCAGAACAACCAGAACAAAAGCAACATTTCGTCTGGCACCTTCGCTCCCCAGCAGGGTGTTGCTGGAAATCGACTTGGTATATGTGAACCTTGCAGCTGACTCAAGTCGCCGAACGGACAAGCTCAAACGAACGGTCACTTCATCGTTTTAAAACAAGGACGGTATGGAGCAAGATAGCATCTCAATAGCAGTTCAGCTGCCTCCTTGAGAAAAGCCATCAAGCCTGACCTCAAATGGTCAAGTGAGACTCGTTTGCAGTTGCAAAACAATGCAACATCAGTGCGAAGATCAGAACGCGAAAGAACTCTGCCCATCTCCCCAATTTTCTCAGGTTCATGGCCAGAACCAACAAACTTGTAGCACTCGGGTGATATTTCTCAAGACCTGGCACATTTTGATCATTTTCCGTCACAATCTACTGGTGACAACTGGCACTTTCCGGCAAATCATTGAATCACGGTGAACCGACGTCCAACCGACGTCCAACGTGGCGTCCAACGTGCCGTCTGTGGCCGAACCTGCCATGGAAGCTTCTCGGGGACAAAATGTCTCGCATTTGCACCCGCCTCAGCAGAGTTTGCGCTTCAAAGCTTGGATACGACGGCCAACAGGTCTACTTCGCTTAGGATCTACTTGGTGATCGCGACTCCTAAATATAAGGGCAACAAAGGAAATCAAGTATATAAATATTATATGTTCTACGTTGGGGGGGTGTAAAAAAGTGTAAAAATGCAAATGTTGTGGTTTCGTGGTTTCTGAAAGGACCTGTGACAAATCTGAAAAAAAGTATGACACAGTATGTCTATTTAAAGGCTTTCACCTGCTTTCACGAACAGAGGTGGGCTGAGATCTGAACCATGGCTACCAGGGTTGGGTCACTGTGATCCTGGTTGGGTCGCTGCATAACGGTCTCCATGTCAATTGATTCCATGGCTGGCACTGTAAGGCACTGTAAGGCGCACCGGATCATGTCTTTCAGAACCCGCACTGCCTGAAGGATGAAATTGGCAAACAGCCAAATCTTAAGTGGAGTGATGTTGAAATGTAGAAGTTGCTTAAGTTGCATGTTCCCTTTGCATGTCCAAAATCATGCAGTTCATGCAGTTCTCGTTCAAGCTGTCCTTGCCTCCAGCCATGGAGATATGACTCGACCTGGCATTACAAACATTGACACATGTGCGGGCGGATTTGGAAAACCAGTAGATTTATGTAGGCAATATGTTGCAATGCTTGATACTGTGATGCTAAAGAGATTCAAAACGGTTTGCCGCAGTTCTAAGTATGCTACGGAATTACAAGGTCACAATTCAAGAAAGCATGTTTTTTTTGCATCTGGCTGCAACCAAGATGCTCAGATGCTGTCTCATTCACCTGGCACTACGCAGAAACTGGAGTGAGCTGTGAGTGAGCAGTGAGATAGGCCACACCTCAACGTCCACAGATCTGGGTGAGTCCACGCGCAACAGCTCGACATTGGCCTCACAGCGCCAGGACATTTCACTCATGGACATAACATGATATAACATGTCTTAAATGTATTATAACTCCGATAAAGACCGATATCCTACATAAAAGAAATGCCTTACACATATCTTGTCTCCGAACATAAAGTTGGTAGTATTTGTTCAAGTGCTCTCTGTGTGTCTGTGCATCTGTTCGTGATCTTTCTTGGGCCTCATGGTCCAGTCGTCGTTGGTGCAATCGAGTCTTGAAAAGTGCGACCTCACCCATCGTGTCCAAATGCACCATTTCTATCCATTTCAGCACCATTTCAGCACCATTTCAATCCATTTCTGATGTCTTCCTCTCATGGGCTCTGTGCATCGTGCATCTCTGTGCCCTTTCGCTCAGACTCCAGGCCAAGTTTGGAAAGTGTCCATGAAGCGGCGCTCGTGAAGTGTCAGCCTCAGTGAAACAAGCCCTGCACAGTGAGGCAAGTTCTGGCTGGCTGAAACACCATGGCCCGAGGTTAGCACTGCAGGTGGGCCTTGGAGAAAAGTCTGAGAAAAGTAAAATGAAGCAAAATGAAGCAAATCAACACAATGACATCCGACATCATCCCACATACTCTGCTTGCATTGCCAGGATGTTCAAAGCTTCCATGCTTCGCCATGCTTCGCCATGCGTCTGGCGAACATTGGAATACCAGGCTTCAAACGTGCCACCGCTTTCGGAGCTGGTCGCTTAGGTTTTTTGGAAGATTTCAGCTCACCTCACGATGCGTGGCATGGCAAAAGCAAAGCTCGTTTGCTCGTTTGACGGGTGAAAAAAAGGAAAAAAAGTCCTGAGGTTTTATACATTGACAGTCATTGACATTCTTATACCACATCTTTGATCAGTTTTGGCAGCATTTATTTATCGTTTTTCCTTGAGATCTCCCTGAAACTTTGGGTTCACATCTTGATTTCGACCTGGTCTCAAAATGCAGCCGAGTGGCTCTGGAGACGACGTCGCTGCATGGTGATCCGTAGGTCAGACATGATGCCTGGAGACAGGCCACATGGCTCTCCATGTGCCAAGAAAGCACAAATTGTGACTCCTTGCAATTTCTGAGGAAATTTTCCAAAGGGACTCAATTGCAATTTCGAAAAAATCTGCAGCATTTCTTTTTGGAGCAACGAAAGTCATTTTAGCTGCCATCATGGTGCATCATGTCTGATGATCACCTGCAATGGAGGGACTTTAGAGTTTTGGCATGCTGATGACAGGCAAGATTCAGACCGGAAAGCCATTTGAAATCACAGTTGAAATCAAGAATCGGTTTTTGCTTGGAGATGTGTTGACAAACAAAATTGAACAGATTGTTCACCTTCATCTTGACTTTGCAAATTGAGCATTTAGAGAATCTCGTAGAACAATCGTTGAACAATCGTGGCTCGAAGAATCTTTGTGGTTTCTCAACGTATTCCGTGCCGGCCAGGGATCACACGAAGTTCCAGCAAGGTGCGAGCAGATTCTTCCAAATCCTGCCGTGTGAGCTCACACGGTGTCAAGTCCTACTGCCAAACGAAAAGATTAGAAGTTATTCTGCTGAAAATGTCGAACAAAAAAAGATCATCCACTAGGTGTGCAAAGTGAAGCCTTGCAAAACTCAAGAGATGAGGCACAGCTGCAACTTTCACAGGAGCCTTCAGCAATGCAGACACCGCCTGTAAAGAGAGGACCAGCGCGCCAGGACCTTAGAAGCATATGGTAATCAGATGGTAATACATTGATGATGCATCCTTTATGACTATGGTAATTGATGATCCAGCATATGGTAATTCATTGATGTATATTGATCAGAACCCCTCAAACCGTCAGATTAGTTCAAATGGATTCCCAACCACAGAGAATCACTGCTGCAGGACAGAGCACGAAGGCTTTTTGGCCAGCTTGGCGAAAATCGAGAAATCGGGTCTGCAAGTGCTATGAGACTTGATCAGTCTCTTGATCAGTCTCCCTAAGATAGTCTTTGCAATCTACACACCTGAAGCCTCCCAGCCCTTTGCTCTCAAACCGGATGCAATGTAGTTGATGCCTTAGCTCATCGGAGACATTCGGACAGTGAACAGAGATAAAAGATGATAAAAGAATATGCATTTCCTGCCACGTTTGTCAGAAGCCTCATACACTTCCGATCACTTCGGGTCACGAAGGGCGCAAGAGTGATTGCACCATTATATACACCCCTAGGCTTCACTACAACTCATATCAACTCACATCAACTCACTATAATTCACTGCAACTGCCTCCACTTTCTCCACTTTCTCCACTTTCTCCCACTTTCTCCCACTTTCTCCACGTTTCGTCGAGCGACGCTTGGCGTTGACTCCAAAGTCACTGTCCCCAACTCTTGAGGAACTCCTCACCGAGACCTTGTCGTCCTCAACGCTCACCTCGAAGTCCTCAGTGTGGCTTCCAGATGCCATGGAAAAATGGAAAAATGGAAAAATGGAAAAATGACAAGCGTTGATGAGAACCCAATCTTAACAGATCTTATGTTCACCGATGTTCACCCAGATGGCATCAAAACAGGGATTGGGTGATTGGGTGCCAGAACTCAAGTCTTTCATTTTTGACACCAAAGCAATGTTCCTCAATGGATCAAGTCATGTTCCTTAAAATTACACCCTGCACCGTTTGAAGACGTAAACCAAGCATTATCTGATCCGTTTGTAAGTCAGAATCAACAACACATTCTGTTGAGCCGTGAGTTGAGGAGTGTCCTGTTTTGTCTTAGGAATCCTCTAACAGGCCCAACATTCTGCACTCTTTGCTAATCTGTAAACCTGCCTTGCTATCAAAAGGAACAATGTATTTTGGAAGCCCATTGTTTGCATGTGTGTGTGTGTGAAATCCGCTATCACTCATGCGGACCTGAGTTTCTGTTAACAAGTTGATTCAAACAATCCATCAGATGCAGGGGCGTGCAGCACCTTTGGCATACTGCACGCAACGAAGCTATTGCCATTGGTGGGAAGGGGAGACTGATCACCTCCCTGTACCTGCAGAAGTTGGTTTTGAACTGTTGAACAAGCTGTCCATTTTCATGCGTATATGTTGCTAATTTGAGATTATCTCAGAAATCAGAGTTTCCCACTGCTTTCCCTACTCGACTGACCAGGATTTTGGACCTAGGAACCCTCAAGGCATGAACTACTTCACCACTATAAAGTTCCTCATTCGAGTAATGTTACTCAGTAACATGCTCCCATCAGCAGTGTGTAACGGGCACAGTGTCACTGACTTGTGACTGCCGTCCGCGTGTTTGGTGACACGCGTTGAATCGGTACCGGCCTTCCGGAAGAATAGTGGGGTACTGCAATACCTCGAAATCTGACGGGTATTAATTCCCGTGTGAATTGGCTTCAGGCCGAAATACATGAATCAAATACAATGCAAGATTTCACAAGATTTGGAATACGTCACAAGACAGCAGCAAGCCGTATGGCTGGAATTCTGAAAGACAGACACGAATTTATTACATTCTACACGTTCGGGCAACTCAGATCTGTTCTGTCATCATTTAGTTCTTTTGTTTTTCACCTTTCCTCTGTATCTGTTTGAGCCATGTCGAAATCTGATATTCCAGCTGCAGTACCAAAGTCGCGATGTCCACCTAGTCCTACTCCTCCACCATCCTGGATCACACCTGTAAGTCGCCAAAGTCGTCCTACAGTTCTTGAATTTACAGGACAATGCGGACAATATCGAATTGAAGGATCCAACATTCAAGAGACACGGGACTTACTCCAGACTGTTCTTCATACGGAGTCTCAACATGTTCAACATGTTCAACACATGCAGTTTCAACAAATGTTGACTTTGTCACAAAATATGATGTTCTCCAATGCTCTTGGCATTCAACCCAGCTCATTTCGTGCACCAATTGTTGATCGTGATGATCGAATGGACGGATCGAACGTAGTTTCTGGATTGGGCTCTCATTCTGCACTGCCCTCAGACACTGTGGAACGTCAGAACCGTAGCTCTCAAGTTGCACTGCCCTTAGTCACTGATGATCGTCAAAATCAGATCACATCAAATGACCGAGTGGATCGAGTACGTCCCACTGTTACAGCTGATTTACCAAGCGATGGAACGGTCCGGGTGCCTCTGACTTCTGAATCAGATCAACGGGATCGAGTTCGGGCATCAATGTTTATAGACCAGCCGTCAGTCTCAGTTGCTCCCATTCCACGTTGGGGATTGTTCGTACATTGTTTACATGACCATCATGGACACAAGAAGACCTTCACTAGTGATCGAAGACTACCCGGACCTAGACCAAAGGTTACGACTCGCATTGGACGGCCTCCTTTGACTGTTGAAATTATTGAATTTTTACACCCTCAGAGTGATCAGATTTCTTTTTGGACGCTACCCACCACTGCCACATTTTGCTGTGATTGTATTACTTTAGAACAACCTGAGAAATCACCTTGGTGGTTCCTATATCAGTGCATGGGCCGCATTCGTGAAGAACTCTATCAAGATCCTTACCGTATCAAGAATGCATATGAAACTGGTGCACTCACTTTGGCAGTTGACAAATGGACGCCATCTTTGACATATTTTCAGCAACAATACTCTTTTCGAACTATTGACTCGATTGCGCTGTTAAAACAACAACTTATGACTGACCATATGCAGAACCTCAAAGATGAGTATTCCGCCAAGTTTGAAAAATTCTCTTCAATCATCCATTCCGCACTCGAAGTATTGATCTCTACTCTCCTTCTACATTCTAAAGTTTGGGCTTTCGTGGAGTGCATCGACTTACTCTTTGATCACCAGAATCAGTCTCTTGTGGCCATTGTCGCTCGCTTGGAACCAGTCGTTTTTACACAAGAACCAGAAATTCCTGCTGCAGAATACATATGTTACGCACACAACACGAATCCACAATCTGCTGCAGACAGTTTATTCCATGGGTATATCAGACCATCATCCACTGACCCACAAGACGAGACATGGATCCCGGCATTGACCTTTTTCTGTCGTGGCGTTACTGTCGCAAGACCTGTTATGACCAGATCAGAGATGCTCACAACCTTGAGAAAGGCACAGAAATATTCCAATTTTACCACTGATCGTCCTACATGTTTGCTCGGTATGTCTAAATCAAGACAACCACATGTGACCAACGTTCTCGGCGGTGTTATTGGAGAACATGCTTGTACACACTATTTTGACAGTGTACATGGACGTGACAAACGTTGGGGTCTTCGTTCTCATTTGAGTCCGCTTAGCCATTTAGCTTGTATCATCCCATCATCATGATCAATGATCATGGAAGTCACACAATTTTGTTGCGCTCCGTAGATCAAAAGCTGCGCTCTGTTGTATCACTTTTTGAGCGGTTTCATTTATCAAGCCATCTCTTCATGAGTCATTTCAGATTTCGTCCAAGTCACCTTTTTGTGAGTTACAGTCACATACGTTTGATGTTTTTCCCAGTGACGATTTCGAAATCAAGAGTATTTACATTTTGTTAAGTCTAATTCAGCTGCTGTTATTCTTGAGTACTACAATTTGACTTGCATCAAAATTGTCTGGTTCTGTTCAAAATTTTTTCACTACTGTTTTCCATGATTGGTATAATTCACAGTGGATCAAACCCGTCAGTAAGTCGTTCTTCAATCCGTTTGTGATCAGTATTTGGACAGATGCAGTCTCAACGCCGAGATTCTCGATCCAGATCTCGACATCGCAGTCGTGGACATCGTCGACATGAGTCTAAGGAATACCGTGATCGAAGACGACCGCTGTCCCGGACCCAAGACCTCAGTCGTGCACGATCACCAGACTTACCTGATTCGTGGCAATCCACACGAACCCATTATGACACAAAGACGGAGTATGGATTGACTTTTCCACGACATGTTGAGTCGACCAATTTTTCACGAAAGAACAATACAGCTGGCATTCCTATTTCTGATGTTAAGCTTGTCGACATTGTGTCCAACGGTCTTGAAAATTGGGCTTTGCGCCTTGTTGCCAATGGTAGGTATGTCGCATGTGAGATGTTTCGAAATCGCCTTGAAGCCACATTTTCTACCATGCTTTTTCGTGAACTCTACCGACAAAAAGACAATGTTGATTTTGCGAAGCTCATCCAGCATTTGTCTTCAGAACCAGGTGATTCTCAAGATTGGAAATACAAGCTTTCAGGAATTGAGGCGTTGATTCAACAGACTGTTGATTTGTTCAAAACTTTGGCACCCAAAGATTCCAATCAATCATTGTTAGAAGAACTGGAAAGAATGAAGAAAGAGAACGCAGCTCTTCGTGCCAACCAAAGTCAAGTTCCTACTCAGGAAGGATCACAGACTCAGAACACTGAGGAACCACCAGGCGGAACACTCCCATCCATGTTTCGTCAATCAGCAACAGAGGAACTCAGACGCCAAAAAAGTCAGTCGATGCCAAGTATGCCGGGAGCCCAAGATGACCGTTCTCCACTCTCACAATATCGACGTGGACAAAACGCACCCATCTTAGGCACACACACACCCAAACATACCATGACTGAACTCGACAAGTGGATCAAGAACAATGTTCCTAAGACGGAACAAGTCAATGTTGATGCCATGTTGAAGACCATTACTGACGAATACAATCAGTTTCCAGCCTCTGAAAGACCAAATTTAGAATCGATTCTTTCAGATTGGGGTCTCCCCAGTACAGTACTGGCCAAAACAAAGGCGGAATACAATTTGAAGGTTTTGGCCGCCGTTCAATTCCTTCGAAACTGACATTTTGGATTACAAACCAGTGAAGTAAGTCCTCCATCATCATGGGGACAGCCATTTCGCAAGTATTCCAAGCATATGCATGGTGCAGAGACAACGAAGCTTGCCTCACATTTCAGTCGCTGTGGTTTGCTAGCATCCAATTCATGATTTACACTTTGCAATTTTCTCCAGCTTTACCATGGCATGTACAGGAACGGATCATGTGGATACTTAGTGTTTGGACCATTTTTGCTTACATCATTCGACCTTTTTCAGCCAAAAATCGACGTCTTCTGACTATTTTGCGGCAGTGCGAACTTCCAGAAATTTTGTCATGGACATGGTGGAACAGGTCGAGCATCGTGTACTGTCGTTTACATTTTCGAAATGCTCAGTTTTACATTGGCTCCACTGAACAAACCATGTTTTCGAGAGAACAGAGTCGGTTACGAAAATACCGACAGTTAAAGAAAGACCAACTTGCTTACTACGAACCAGCTTTGAAGGCCTGGTCAGCACAACGCAATTATTTTCAATTTATTGGTTTTCCTTTACTCCAGACTGACGTTGACAAGCTTCTTGCAGTTGAAACAGCATGCCAAAGGACTTTTCGCCCCATTTACAATTGGCCTTGGATCAATCCTTTGATGAAACAACTTCGGATTGGTAAGCAACAATTCGGACCTTCAACTTTGAAGACCAGTACTCAAGGGATGAAATTTGTGAAACGATTTCGCAAACGCAGTCTGCAAACTGCTCAATGCATTCTTAGTCGTCGGATTACGGATACTACAAGTTTGTACATTTTCCTGTATTCCCTTGGTTCTGACACGCATGACAAGTTCATTTGTTCTCGCATTCTACGTTCGAAGTTGTCAAATGTGCAGTTGATTTTCTTGTTATGGCGCTTGAGCCACCATATGTCGGAACCTTTTCGGACCAGAGCACAATCTCAATTGCGTTATATTTTCAAATTCTATGCTACTGAATCGCCACCAGCGAATATACCCATGCAGTTACAGGTTTTGTCGGATACAATGGAACGTCGATTTCGACAATGGTTGCTGGGATTCACTCACCATCATCGCTGTAACTTTCCCATTTTTCACAAAGTTCGTGCACCGTTTGTGACAGTGAAAAATCGAACTTTAGCTCAATATTTGTACAATTTTCGTTCTTTTCTAAAGTTGTGGACACCTCAGTTTCGCCCTCAGTGTGCTTGTCAGTTGTTTCCTCTTCATGTTCAACACAATCCACGGAAAACAGATCATATTTCATCCTTCGCCTCGGAATGTTTTCCACTGGATCCTATTCTGACTGCACATTTGGAAGATGAAGTTACACCTACGTGGACACAATTTTTCCATCAAAACACCTTCCAATTTGAAAAATGGTTACGACGTTGGAAACTTCGCCGAGATCTGATCCAGTATTGGCAGGCTTTTCTACAAGACTGTTGGAATTTGCAACTTGATTCAGGTCAGTTGTACACTCAAAAACGTATTCGACAGGCTCGACAAAGGATCGACGGACTTATTGCTTCCCCAGCAGATCATTTTCCATCGTCTCTCACCTTACATTGTCCTGTCCAGTGGCACAATTTGCTGTGTAAGACATTTCAAGACACCTCTGTTTTTCATCTTTGTAGTGTTGATTCAGCCACTATTCTGAAGAATATTCAGTATGATCTTCCTGGATGGATCACTGACAGATATCCTTGGGCTTTCGATTTTCATTTATCATTAAGCAAGGCGTATATTCTTCCAAAACCTTCACGCTCGTTTATGAAAGCACGACCCATCGTTAATTACAGTCGATCTTGGCCAAAACAGATGGGTTATATTTTGTCTGTGGTGTTGCAAGATATTTTGAAAGTTGTTTATCCATCCTTACTTCGCTACAGTGATATCAACAAGGTGATGAACGAAATCAAATGCTTTTTCCAAATTGATCATGGTGCTGACCTTCTTCTCTTTCAGACTGATATTGCTGGTTTCTACAACCAAGTTGAACATGACCGCATTCTCGGATCTATTGAATTCGCCATTCATCAATATATTTTACAACATGGACAGACCTTCGATTCTGTACTTCAAGCACACGTATATCAACATGAACGCACCCTGCGAGTTTTTAGAGGTCAATGGCGACAACACACCAAGATGTATCGTGATATTCGCTTGGGCGACATTCTACCTATTTGTAGCTTTCTGTTGAATCACAGTTTTTTCACCGTCGGAATGTCTACATTTTTACAAAAACGTGGTGCCAGCATGGGTAGTCAATGGGCACCTATTTTCTGTGCAGCTGTCGCACTCATGCGAGAACATACTTTTCTGTCCTGTTTTCGTCAATTTACCAACAATTCCACTTTTCATCATCGTTACGTTGACAATCGAGTGATGCTACTTCCTGTGGGACACTGGAACTCAGAAATGCAGTTATTTTGGAATCTTTCATTCTATTCACCTCCCATTCTACTTGAACAAGTTGAAGGATCTGAATTGTTAGGATACAACGCTGACGTGTTACAGCGTACAACTACATATCTTCAACCTGTGGACAAAGCGTTTCGTTCAACAAGGAGTTCAAGTACGACTAAGGCACTCACGTCCGGAGCTCTGGCCAGAATTCGTCTCATTTTGCAGAATACATGGCCCAGTTCTCTACAAATACCTCAAATTCAAGATTTTCTGTCCATTTGGTCTCGACGACAACGTGATGTATTGTCTTCTACTTTGAGAAGTCAGATTATCAAATTGGTACGCTCACGTCATCCACAACTTGATCCTGATTCTCTTTTTCACTTTGACTAGATACCATGACAGGAAACGCAGACAAAACAGTTGCTGGATTTCGCATTGTCGTGTTTTGTCGTCATTCGCCATCACTTTCGTGAAGTCATTTGATGTTGGACATTTTCATCAATGGGCATTCTTTGACGTTTTTCATCTGAAGTTCGATAACGTCACACTGTTTTCTTCTTTTTCATTTACCTTTTCAGTTATGTTCATGTTGTGTTTTTCTCAACTCAGTTGTGTTCATCATACTTTTGCCGATTGCGAATCTTGACTTTGACAGTTCGAATCACACGTTTTTGAATTTTGAAGAGTATATTTAAGCTCAAACTCAAACCAATCTATCTCCTTCTTACGATGCCTTCGTTGCGTGAACTTAGCAATACTTTGGAACAGTGGTCCCTTCGGAAACGTCTCACCGATCGCTCCAGATCGCCAGTTCGGGAACCCTATATTTGTGATGGTCAGACACGTTCGAGTATCAAGAACGCTTCAGTTGAGTCTCGTTTCAAAAATGAAAGTGAACGATCCAGATCGCAAGTCCGGGAGCCCTATAGTTATGATGGTCAGACACGCTCGAGTATCAAGAACGTTTTGATCAAGCCACTTTCTGAAAATGCAAGTTCTACATCATATCGACGTCAAGATCGGTCTTTCACTGCAGCTGATGGTTCATCTGTTCAGTCCTCTTTCCCTTCAACCGATCGTTTTCAGAAGAGTCGCTCTCCAACGGGAACGCAGTCTGGACCCTTATTCTGTCCCAAGGAGACCATTTGATTTACAGTGAACCTTTCCCATATGTTGTACAAGAATTTCTAGGACATGTATATATTGCAAACTGATACTGCGATGAAAAACAGCGTTCACCAGCAGCTGCCTCCCCTGCCGGGGGGGCCATTGTGTGTGTGAAATCCGCTATCACTCATGCGGACCTGAGTTTCTGTTAACAAGTTGATTCAAACAATCCATCAGATGCAGGGGCGTGCAGCACCTTTGGCATACTGCACGCAACGAAGCTATTGCCATTGGTGGGAAGGGGAGACTGATCACCTCCCTGTACCTGCAGAAGTTGGTTTTGAACTGTTGAACAAGCTGTCCATTTTCATGCGTATATGTTGCTAATTTGAGATTATCTCAGAAATCAGAGTTTCCCACTGCTTTCCCTACTCGACTGACCAGGATTTTGGACCTAGGAACCCTCAAGGCATGAACTACTTCACCACTATAAAGTTCCTCATTCGAGTAATGTTACTCAGTAACATGCTCCCATCAGCAGTGTGTGTTGTCTTTAAACATTGTATTTTGTCAGCCGGTGAGCTGCCTCTACACACTTGTTTAGGGATTTTGTTGTTAAGATGTTTTAAGATGTTTTAAGCATTGCCGTCCCAAAGTGCACTTCTGCCCATTTCATGGCCATTTGGCTTGAAAAGCTCCTGAAAAGCTCCTGTTTGGCCTCGAGTGGCTCTTGCATCTAAGGCTCATCAACGAAGGGCTTTCCACCATTGAAAAACTTCGCCTGGCAGATTGAACATGATTGAACATGATTGAACATGATTACAACCTCTTGTTTCCAGGTAACACAACTGTCTTTTGTAACAAGCAATGTAGCTAATGTAGCTACGGATCTCAGAGGTCAATGCATATCAGATGTAAAGTGAATTAAACTGATATTGATATAGAATGATATATATCAGATATATATTTAGATCTATATATTGATATTGATATCAGATAAAACACAGGATACGTATCAGAATGACATAACATGATTCCAAATATGTATTCTGCATTTTCTACAGCTGATGCGCTTAGGGCCCCTTAGGGTCTACCGTGGACATGAGATCATCAGATCATCAAAAAGGATCAGAAGCTGAGCTTTTGGCAAAGTTGCCGATACCTCAGACTGCATTGAGCTGCTTGGCTGCGTGGCTGCTTGGCTCAAGGCATTTTACAAAGATGTCTCGGAAACCGAAAAACTCACCGCTCTGATGGTAGCTGAGCCACCAGAAAGGAACTCCACTCGTGCATAGCCTGAAATCGAGGAAATCTAGACAGGGGAGGGATGGGGAAATGCTGTCTACATCTGTCTGATACTGGTAGCATTCACAAGAAGATATGACTCACGTGACTTACGTGACTTGCGTGAGACGTTTGAGACGACTGTTGATACGCGCCTTTGCTGGAAAGATCATCCACTGCAAAAGACCATCCACCCTGGTCAACGCCATCCTGTCCTTCCTGCAAGCTGCGCAAGCCATCACGAATGCTTTGATGGATGAGGCGAAAACAATGCTTGCCGGGTTCGGAAGACAACTACTAAACTTTCACCCGAACAACACGGTTCTCGAAGTTATCATACAACCAAATGTGGCAAAATTGTCATGTTTGCAGGTTTGTTGGAGCAAGCTATCATGGCCCCCAGCCTTTGGATATGCCTCAATGACTGTCCTGGCAGATCCATGGAATGGAGTCTGGCTCTGCGAAACAGCATCTGTTGCGTCGCGCAGTGAGTGCAGTGTCCTGAGTTCCTTGATGGCAGCATCACCTTGGGACACATTGGGCCAGGTCCAGCTCTGCAACATGCGCAAAAAATGCCATTGAGGATCTGAGGTCATGGAAGATCAAGAGAAGTGAGGAAAAAATGGACAATATCATTTTTATATATATAGAGAGAGAGATCTTGATATCCATATAATATAATGCGTATATACATGTGTATATACATAGAGAATAGAGTCGAATAGAGATATAGATGTCTGCCGACCCCAGGCGGGGCAGGGCGCGATCTTTCAGTCCTTGGGACCTGGCGGCTGGTGCCAGTTGGCCACTTCCAAGGCTTCATGGCACTGGCTGTGGAATGGCAATTGTTTGCCCCGACCTGGCAGTTTGTAGAAAATTGTGAAAATATGTGGTGTGTTTTACCACCTATTCAAATATCACAAATACCACAAATATCATTTGAGGTATTCCATGGTATTCCCCGAAAAATCATACATTGCAAGCTTCCCAAGCCTGCCAAGCCCCCCACGAAATACATGCAGAGGGAACTGCGCAAGGCTCAACAGCTGCCACAGCTGGCAGAGGAGCAGCAACGGCGATCGCCAACCTTTCAAGATGCAACTCGCTGTGACAGAAAACATAAATATATGGATTATATATATGGATTATTATATATATATATTATACCTGTTACTTTTCATGTATTTTCTATCTATGTCTTCGTTTTCTGGCATACTTTCCAAATGGCAGAATTGCCTTATCTGTCTGAAGACACCATATGTATCATATGTATCTGTGCAGGCCAGCAGCATTTCTCTTCTCCCAACCTGGTCCAGCAACGAAAGCTGTCCACTTTAGCGGTCAAGCCCAAAGTCTTCAAAGTCTTAGCGACTGTGTTCCGAACACCATGAGTCTATGAGCAATCGCACGCCAAGAGGACGTAATACGCATGGCACTCATGCCATGAAAACGACTCACTCGGGAAAGACTGCATCAACCCTGGTAGTTATGATGTTTCTTCAATGGTACCTACCACTTGCCATAAATATAGACTATAGAGAAATAATTTAAGAAATAATGATCAATAGATCAATACATTGACAGATCTTGTGCCATCCTGGACGCTTTTTTTTTGTGTTGCCGCGCCTGTACGAAGGTTGGCATCCACAGACTCTTGGTGAAGAGTGCAGCTGCCACAAGGCAAAGGGCTGAGCCCAGTCCTGGCGAACCAATGATCAGATGATACCATATGATACCAGGATCATCCAGGATCCTTCAAAAATTTCAAAACGAAATAGCAAAAACTCGTCCTGATCTACCTCGAGCCATCAGCTCCTGGCTCTGCAGCAACACTTCCCAATTAAAGATCTGAAGTCGTCCTCTGGGCTCTGCAGCTCCAATCTGTGGAAAAATTGGCTTTCCCAAAAGAGTCGACCCCGGCCTGATGGCCTGATGGCCTGATGGCGAATGCCGAGCTCGAAGCGAAGTTTTCAGCCAAAAGCTGCGGACAAAGCAACTCCAAATTCATGGCTTTCCAGGTTCAAGGCATTGCAATCCTTCCATGTATCAAAGTTGCCATCACTCCCTTATGAAAATATGAAAAATAGTTAAATAGTCAAATATGAAAAATGCAGGGGAAAATCATTCTCTGAGGCTTTGACACTGTTTGGCAGCATCTTCGAAAAGTGTTCGTTGAGTTTCAATCTGCCAGGCTGAACTCTGGGGAAAGGGTTGCCAGTCAAAGCTCAGGAACTCAAAAGCAGTGCCCTGTGCAGTTTCTGTACATGTTTGATCATTTTTGTGTTTAAAATGCCGGGACTGCTTCGAAGTGGTAGCACGCCGTCTTGTAGCCATCGTCATGTTCAAAGGGTCCCACCCTGCCATTGTCACACGTGCCGAACAGGCCAGAAAGTCCAATACAATATCCGTCACATATGTTTTATAATGAAAGTTTCATATATGGTTCTTCATGATATCAATGATATCAATAGAGAAGGTAAAAGTTGGACCAACTGAACAGAAGTTCGACCACCCTGAGAATCGGACAAACAGCCCGCAAATGGGTCAGCTGACTGCTCCTCCGAGGAGAGCTCAGACCTGCGACGTTTTGTGACTCCTCAACCTGACGTCAACCTGACGTCACTCTCAAGCAGACTTCCAACACGTCAGCTGGCGCACCAGGGCCGCAGTCCTTTCTCCATGTTTCGAAGGGCTTCAGGAATCCTGGACATTCAAAAATCGTTGGTGGATGGTGATGGTGGGGTGGATGGTGGTTCCAGTGTGACTAGTGCAGTGGATATCTTGTGACGTCTCTGAGTTTCAGGCCCTCTGAGGCGGCAGCAGCGTTCCAACTCTGTGGAAATGGTGCTACTCCAATTCCTGACGTCGCAAGCTGAGACTACTGCTGTCATCTGCTGTCATCTGCTGTCATCTGCTGTCAGGCTGTCAGGAGTGTAATACTCTCATTCAACTACTTTCTACTCTCATTTCCATCCGGGTCTTTCAAGAAACACATCGATGTGAATCATTGTGAATCAAGATCAATCATTGGACTTCCGTTCTTGAAACGTCCATGTTTCGGCCCACAATGATATCTCCAACTTCTCCGAATGATTTTCCGTTGATTCTCCGTTTTCAATGATGTTCAAGTTATGGCAGCGATGGACAAATGAAATGTCTTCATGTTCAGCGAGGCACGTGAGCTGGTCTCGTAAGGTTTCCAACTCCTTGCAGCTTCGCTGAATATCAAGGGACGATTCGAAATTGGAACCTTGCAGCTGCAGATCGCGTCCTAAACTTCTGTAAAAACTGTAAAATCTGTATACTGTCACCACAAAACTATGGGAAAATATGGGAAAATGAATGGAAATGCATCCCTCATGAGCTCTGGCCAGTCCTTGTGCTGCTGCCGTGACAAGGCCCAAGAGGGAGCTGCACTCCAACGTCGAACGCCACACCTGTGCTTCATGGAGGTCTACAGCATCCACAAAGTAATGGGAATATGAAAGTAATGGGACTATGAAAGTCGACTGCTCTAGTTCTAAAGTCACTCTGTTTTCAATCTCCCGGATCCGCATAGACTTTGATAGGAGGTCGTGCATTCAAATTCTTGCACCGGAAACCATCGTGAAAGGCTCTAGCTATGTTGATCTTTGCTAATGAAAATATAGTACACAGCTCAGAACAAAGAATATAAAGAATGGAGATGGAACAGCTATGTGCTGCTCAGGACAAGCATCATCGAAATATCTGCTGAAAAAATATTGTCTGGGCTCCCTGCTGTGCCATGGTCAACTGCGAAGCTGCTCTCTGCGCTGCTGCAATCAAGGCCTTGCATCCACAAAGATCAAAGACCAACTCTCAAAACGATGAGAGGTCGAAGAACAGCACCAGCAGCTTTTGCTCAAAGCCGGCAGAGCCTCTTCATCCGATTCCTTGTCCTCTTCTTTAACTCCAAGCTGCTTGAACATCTCTCCCTCGATCATGTCATCCTGCATCTCTACTTGTCTGATTCATGGCACTTGTACTTGGCAAAAATTGCGGAGTTTGCTTCAGAACTTTGACAGCTCTAGCATGCAGGGTATACAATCAGGGCACCTCGCAATTGTTGTCACCTTCTTGATGGGGATCCCAACCTGGCGATGCCGGAGGCGGCTTCAGAGGTGTCACGAATCCTTGGCTGCTTCGGCCTGTGGAATCACCAAAGACGTCAAGAAAGAGAACCTGTCAGAACGCAAAACTGCAGAAGCCATGGCGAAAGTTTCTGCTTGACACTTTCTACAACTCCCATCACAAATCGTCCGCCTGGCGGAAGCGTCGTGGAAGCCTAACTTCGGAAATTTGGAAGTTCATGCAAAGTGAAAGACACACAACAAGACACTCAATCACTGGATCACTAATCTTTGCTTCTGTAACTCTGAGGCAGGGAGTATAGAGTAGTATAGAACTCGATTAAGTCAATTTGTCTCCAGATGTCTCATGTATTCCCACAATTCCCACGATGCCGCAGTATGCTGCAGTATGCTGCAGTATGCTGCAGTATGCTGCAGTATGCTGCTGCGAAGAAACTTGGCTTGGTCGTCACCATGCGGAGCCGCAACTCGCAGCCAAAGCTCCAACCAAAGCACCTCTCTCTTTTGGTTCACAACATGGTGCAGTAATGTACAGTATATCAATGTATATTGATGTATATTAATGGATATCATATATTCATATATCAGTTTACATGAAATATCAACACATATGACACAAAATCATGTAAATAGAATTAGTGGAAGATCCGAATGCTTGGCTTGACGCTTTGTCTGTTGAAGACATGAGCTTTGAAGCACATCTTGACACAGAGCGTGCCTGGCACAGGAAGCTCAATGGAGACAAGATGTACCTGCCACGTGCTGGATGCTAATGGGTCAAATGATCTGTAGGAAAAGGCAAAGAAGGGAATGACTGGAATGACAATGTGTTTGGATGTCTGAGAACAACAGATCCTGGAAGCTAAGTCCATTGGGACATCTTCCACCGGAAGAAAGGCTGTCATGGAGCACGTCTGAGCTGGATCTAGGACTCCTCCCTCCATTCCTTGGATATCGCAACTTCAGACGGCTTTGATCCATTTCTGCAAAGCGGAAGACAAACCGCAAGAAGACAAACCGGATTAAGCATCCCTTTAAAAAAAAACTGCCTTGAAACAAACAGAATGAAAAGGAAAAAAAAGAATACTCAGGAACTCGAAAAATAAAAACGTGAAGCCTTCAATTTAGAGCCTTCGAGAAAGATTACCATCTTTGTTCCCAAAAAGTCCTGCCAAGATTCTGTGTCCATGTGCAACACCCCACGCAGTGAGTAAGCAAGGCATGATACCAACCACCTGCAGTGGTCTCACCAGTAGCAATTCATTGATGGCTCAAAGGCTTGCTGCCCAAAAAGATTGAACAAAGCAAAAAGATGCAAAAAGTCCTGCCAAACTTAGACATTTTGAAGATGCAGTTTTTTTCCTCCTCCCTTCTGTGAGACAAGAACCAACATCCGTTTCCACAACCTCTTTCCATCCGTTTCTGCCTGGACAGCAAGGATCTCTCGTCGCCGCAACCCCGCCTCAGCCACACAGCTTACCTCTTCGAAAATGTCCCATTTGAGGCAGATGTATCAGATGTTGAGCCACTGGCCAAATCCAGCACTGCCAAAGCAATGGTTGTGCTCCTGACCCAAGCTCCGTTCATCTCCGTTCTATTTCCTCCCACAGCTCCAAGCAGAAAAACATGCAGAGTCCACTGGAAGAGTGTCACCAGAGCATAGCCCGTTGTGGGCGAATGGTTCTCAACCAAGGTGTGACCTCAACACTGCGCAGCAACTGTCGGATACTGTCGGTATTCACTGGTTGCTGAGAAAGGGACAGATACAGTAGTAGCTCAAACCCTGGAGGATCTGATTCACACCTTGGGGACGTCTGGATTTCAATCATGTTCATCTCATTTCATTCCGACAGAAAATTGCTGTCAGCTTGGTCCCAGGTTCCAAGACCGACTTGCCCCAAGCTGCTTGGGCACTGACCCAGGCCCATACACACTCGGCAGTATGCATCATAGCACTGCCATTTTGACCTGGCTTTTTTGACCAAGAATCCTACCTTCACTTTTTGGAAAGGCTGAAACATGCTGAAACACAAATTTCTTGAGATCTTGAGACTATTTGAGACTCTGCATCTAAGGGATTGGCTGAAGTTGCCGGAAAAGCTGCACATGGCCTCAGACAGAGCCGCGGCAATCATCGAAAGATGGGTGCCGGTCCAACACTGAAACAAGATCTCTCACCATACAGAGATACTGCTTGATCTTCTCAGTTCTCAGGATGCTATGCTCTGCACGTTCAGGTTGCGCCCCTTGAGAACATGTCAACAAATCCTCACTGCAGGAGAGTGAAAAGTGGTTTCGATAATCGCATTGGAGATGTTGAAAACTCGGCTGTCCTCACCACCTACCACGGTCTCATCTTGCTCTGGCAGCAGGTTTTGTCCTCCAGTTTGAAACAATATGAATCATTGCATTCAACTTCATTCAACTAAGAATTTCACAAAGAAAAAATGACACTATCATGTGACCGGTGCACAAATGCAAGCACCTGAATGTAGGAGGTTAGCGGTACTCGAGCCCTTCGCCTCTGCAAAGAAAAAGTGAAAGGCATGTAATGCTCCCAAAATCTCCCAAAACCAACACAGAGCCGCCTGATCTGCGGACCTGCGGTTCAAACACGCAGCCGAGGGGACTTCTGGGAAGGACATTGGTCCAAGGAAAGCAAAAGGACCCCACAGTTCCACAGTGATGTTCGAACGAAAAACCAGAAGAGTCTGTGGGAATCATTTGAGTCTCTGAGTATGGGGCTTCCCGAAGGTTGTGGCGGAGGCTCTCGCCCCGACCTCGTGGCGAACCTGTAGCGATTCGATGTGACGATGGACGGAGATCCCAAGATCTCCGATCGCTTGCGCCTGAGGAGACGAACTGCGCTCAGGTCTCCTGGAGTGCACCAAATGTCGAGGAAATTCCATGCCATAACCGTTAAAAGTGCAGGAACAAGTTGCTGAAATGTAGAGTGCAAAACAAGGGATGCGTCGTTTTTGAAGGCCAAAAAACAATTTGACGTAACTGATTTCTGGGTCCCTGACTTTGGAGCGAAAGAACTCGGAGCACTTGGCGCACTTGGCGCACTTGGCGCACTGACTGATACAGTCGGTATGTCGTGCTCAGGCCTTCAAGTCGCAACTGTCAGCAAGGGCTAAGGGTAGCCATGTGCAGCAATCTATGAGATTCTCTGGAGATTCCATGCGACATCTCCGAGTCCAGTGCTGCAAAGGTTTGGACTCTCCTTTGGAGTCCTCGTCTACCCCATGCACCTCTCAGGGATATTTTTTGACATGGCATCAACTGATCCGTGACCTTGTGCTCTGTGAGTTGGGGATAGCTTCAGGATCTTCAGGATGGGACTGCAGGAATCGCTATCTGAAACCCCACCTGCTGCCATTCTTGCTGATCCTGGGAGGTGGAATCCCATCCAAATCCATGTCAAATAATGTCAAATAGCCAATCTTAGCTGAAAAAAAACGCAACAACTTAAGCAAGGCATCGTCCTGGAAGGGCAAACGTAGCAAGTTTGCTACACCTTGCCGTTCATAGTCCTTCAGCGTGCTCCTGGAGGGAAACACTCAGGCAGAGGATAAACCTGTCTACCAAATATATTGGCTCCTCAGGCCAGCTATCTGTTTCATGCTGGGGATCGGCAGGCGGACAAATCTGGTAAGCCTCACATTCGGACTGTTGGCACTTGGCACTTGTCAATTCAGGCCAGACAAACAAAAAGCATATAGCTCTAACCAGCTGAGTTGTCCACAGACGTACACCGAAGCTGTGCGATGCAATCGAAGCCTCATCGTAGGCACAGTCAGAATGGTAAAAAGAACTGTATTCACTGTATTCCAGTTGTTGTTTCTGATCCTTCTCTCCATGCAGTTCCTAAGTCAAGAACGTGCATACTGAGCCAAACCGCCAGCAGCAAGTAGATGAACGCACACGCGTTGGACAGCAAGAACAGCGACAGTAAGAACGGTGGAGCTGATGCCTGCACTTTCAATGTGCAAGGTGTGAAAGGAAAAGACACCCATGCGAGGATAATTGTTTACACCAACCTTCCTTTTCTTCGGCAAGAAGTGAAAACGCAATATTCTAAAACCATTTCATTTTGTTTGCTAACTTCGCTAGAATCTAGAAAATTATCTGTGTGTGTTTGTGCGCGTGTCCCAACCTGCACTCGGCCTTCACAAAAGAGCACAATGCAAAATTCCAAGAAAAGCGCTCCCACCTGATGTCAGAAGTCATGAGGGCAGCACAATCGGAATCAACGTGTCCCAAAAAACCGGAAAAATCAAAAAGGATCCAAGTAGCAATGCAAGATAATAAACGTGCGAGCGAAGCAGGATGTAAATGCCTGTATGGAATAAAGGCAGATTGAGGAGCATTAAGCAACCAATAATTGCGGAAGGGCACCAAATGATAGACGTCCATCCTGTCAACGGTCAGCTCTACCAAATCTCGCACGTCCTGACAATGCAGCATTCAACATTGTCCTCCCTCACAAACACGGCAAAAGGAAACAAAAGCAACTGCATTGTGTCTACACGCAATGTCCTCTCTGAATAATTCAAAGCGTTTTACTTGCATCTCCAATCGCAACGCCTCACAGAAACATGGTCATTTTTTTTCAGTGAACAACATGCCAAAGCAACGAAATTTGGCTGGATAGCAATACGCCCAGATATCACAAAATTGAAAAAACATCATGTTGAAAAGGACCAGGCCTCTCGTTCAATCCGCTGGTCTTGATCAAACTTGAAATTTTCCCGATTGTAAGTGAAGAGTTCCTTGGTTGAAAACGTGTCATGGCAAAGGGGACATTGAAACAGATATCACCACCATGCAAAGCAACGTAATCAACATTCATTCAACATCAACACAACAAAACGACTTGTTGAATTATACATGGTTTTAAAAAAAAACCGCCCGAGTGAAAAAATCCACTGAATTCCGTTGGAAAAATCTACGAAATTCTACTTTTATGTTTTCCAGCAATTGGGGGAAAAAACACCATTGTTCAACGTATCGTTGAAATCTGATTTCCGTAAGGAAAATCGATGTTTGCAGGTTTGGGGCAAGAGACTTAAACAGATCGTTTTCTGCATTTTGCCTGTCCGAGGCCAGCGCTTTGGCCCCAAGGCCTGCTGCCATAAGAAGTTCCATGGCGAAACGCGGCAAGGATCCAGAGGATCCAGGGATCAAATTTCACCTGATGTTTTTTCGGATGGTCGCCTGATGTTTTCCTGTGCATTGGATACAGTCTATGGACAATGTCCGTGGCTTGCACAACGTCAAAACATCGAAACGTCGACGATCCAAACATTCATGTTCAGTTCAATTGGTCCATTAAGCGCTGTACATGGAATGAATAAAAGGTGCAACACCATGTGCGCATGTTGGGTGTGTCCATTTGACAACTCGCGTTTCTTGGCTACATGACAGTTGTTCATTGATATGTGAAATATAATCTGACTCTAAGACGGAAATGCAGCTGCAAACATGTTCCAAAAAATGATGTCAACCTACAGTCTCAGGAATGGCAACTTCTGTCGAATTTCAAATTTGCAATTCCCTGTCACCCGGCCATCACATGACACGTCCGTTTTTTGCTCGGCACCATGACGAGTCTGCCAAAAGAAAAAACAACAGTCGCCAGGAAATATTGTAATATTGTTTCCACTACCAATTCTTGTCAACAGTGTGTTCCGGGCGTCACGTTCCAACACTCACAATTTTTGATACCTTTTTCTGTTTTGGCATGAAAAGTTGGAGATCAACCCGCGCCGTTTTCAGGATGTGCGCGCAAAATTCTCACGGCGACGAACTTCTGCATGGCAGAACGCAAGACTGACCAACCCGGTTGAACTCCTGCTGCTTCTGTGAGGGGCACTTCTTCTTTGCAAAGAATCAAGAGTAAAGCACATACAATGTCATACAATACTCGAAAGCTTCAAATTGTCACAGCAAATCAACGCCTGGACCACGCTCCTTACAAAGTTCCAACTATTTTTACCGTATTGATTTGGAATTCAAGCGTCCTTTGAAGGTGCATCTCAAGGGCAAGCTGAAGAACAAATTTCATGTTTCTGCGAGGATCCGATTGTTTCGCATTTCCACACAACTGGAACACCAGGAATCCGAAACACAACTGCCAGACATGGATAGCCAAGTCGGCCCGCGACAGACTTGTAAAGAAGAGGTGGCTATCCCCTGCTACAAACAGCCTGCAGTGACTTGGACTTGAAAAGGTAGACCGCGACGTACTGATACCTTGTCTGAGAAACAGTGGCAACTGCTGATCCTCCTGTTAGGTTTTCGGTACACCGAGGGCTTGCAGAACACACAAGAAGTTAAGAAGTGGGGCAGCGATCTCCTGAATCGCCGAGCCGAAGATGAGCAAGGTGCTCGAACTATTGCTGGCTTTTATACAAGGGCTGAAGCGCTCACAGTTGAAACACAAACTCTTGAGATCGCATAGCTTGACAAATTGACAACTTAACTTGTCGTCTTGATACCACTTGTGGGAATCGTGAGCGGCAACCCGTCTGCTTGTTGCATTGTTGGTATTTCACAAGTCATGGCTCCCCAAATCTGCATTGCAGGCATCGCGGGTTGAAATTAAGTGAGGTCGTCTGAAAAACGAAATTATTGTGAGGTTGTTGTCCAGGTTGAGGTCGTTGAACACGCTTTGCCTGGCAGCACGCTTATGGGTCTCCTAGCTAATGACATAAAATGGATGGGCGGTTTTGAAGGTTGGTGCTTGTTGGGTGGACATTATATTTAATATATATATATATATATATAATACAATATAATACGATATAATATAATATAATATAATAAAATATAATATAATATAGTATAGTATAGTATAGTATAGTAATATATATATATTATGTATTACATATATATATATATACTATTTTGTATAGGTCCTAGTAGTACGCACGTAAACCCATCCGTGAATATCGTAATTATAGAACCTAGGTAGAGATCTCGTAAGAAGTTCATGCACTGTTGGAGGGAAAGAGTAAGAGACAGAAAGAGAGAGAGAGAGAGAGACATAGAGCAGCCCCGCATAAAGCAACCAAGGCCGGAAACCAGCGTAGCTGGAATCCCGGATTTCGACCACGACGGAGCCCAGCGCGGCCAAAACCTAGGTAGAAGGCAAGATCGCGCGTAGATCGCTCATCTCCACGTGTTTTTGCGTTTCCTCGGTGCGGCGGCCCCGTGGAAAGCCACCAAGGCCGGAACAGCGATTCCCGCTTCTGGCAATGGCAAAGCCCAGCGATCTGCGTAGCCGGAACAAATACCTATCCTTCATACTTAGAGCCACAGAGCTGCGGCGCATATCTTGGCAAATGCATCCCGGAAGCAAGAACAGAAAATTCACATACGTAAAACCATGCTAAGCATCAACAACCAGCGTGACCTGCTATATTGCCGGTGACTTGTTTTCCTTCAAAGGAAGAGGGCCAGCCCAAGCCTGTGAGGGGCGCCCGGGAGAATCGAGCCTTGGCGCGGTTGCTGGGCCGTCGATCAGAACTCCAGTCCCTGGGATAAGCCGAGCCATCGTAGCCGTCGGGTGGGGGGCGGCGCTCCGGGCTCCCTCTCGCTACTCCAAAGTGCACTGGCATCGCTTTGCCCGGCGCGCCGGGTCAAAAAGTCGAGTTCGGGCGTGGATCGCTCATCTACGCGCGTTTTTGCATTTCCCTGGTGCGGTGGCCCCGTGGAAAGCAAGCAAGGCCGGAAACCAGCGGCGGGAACAGCTATCCCTGTTTCTGGCAACGGCAAGGCCCAACGCTACACAGACCTGTTCCCATTTTGAAGACATAGGACCGCCTTTTTTCTTCATCCCCAAGCTTCTTTGGTGCAGTTTCCCATCGCACCCTCCCAAGATAGAAAAGAATTGGAAACCAGAAAGCCATGCCGAGGAAGCACATTGTAGTGTGCACGTGGTTCTCTTCACTGCCCTTTCAGCAACTCCAAGCACTTCAACTCTCTTTCCCACATCCTTTTCCTCTCTTCCGTCCCACCCAGCCGCGCCTCAAAGAGCTCGTTGTCAACAATGCGCGTTGCGAGCAAGCGGGATCGGGTACAGGCAGGCTTAGAGATACTTCATGTTTCGGAAATGCTGCCTCGTTAATTCGGGGGTTCCGTTGTGACGTCGGCTTAAATTGTACAGATCCATCTTAATTCAGGCACAGAAATTACTGGCAGACTCAGCAATCTAACTGGGAAAAAGAAATAACCTAGCGGGGTCGTCAAGACATGTCATCTTGAAACAGAAAGGCCAAGCCGCTAGTCCCGCTAGGCTAGCAAGCAATTGCATTCGCTTGTCACTGAAACCCACCTTGCAACACCTTGTGCAGAATCTCAGGTGATTTGCTGGGAAGATGCTACCGCGAAAAGACAAGTACCATGCTCAGGGGACGGAATCCCATTGCATGTTGGGTCTGTAGCATGGAATTACATGGAATTACCCAGCTGGTTGGTGATATCAACCCCTCTGAAAAATCAGTGTCACACTGGTTGCACAGCACCTCTGCTTTCCATCTGCTCTTTCTACTCCAGAGGCTTTCGCATTTCACTGCAAACAGGTTCCTGCGGCACACTCAGTGTAAATCGCTAATTTTGTTTTGTTGGCCCTTACGCCACCCCAAGCCTTGCCAACAGGGAAAGGTTTTGGATTTGGCTTGAAGACTCCAGAAATCATCTCTTTGCACCCGCAGAAGGACTTCGCACAAAATACAAAATGGTCACTCCACGGAAATTGTGCGCGCATTGCAACAGCGGCGTTGATTCAGCCAAAGGAATGGATTTGCACATGTACCTGCGGGGAACACACGCCTTAAAATTTAAACGGTTTCTCTTGCGAAACGTCAAGGCTAGTCAGCTAGTCCCTCCTCAAATCATATTTCTTGACTGTGTCTCTGATTCTAAGTTTAAAACAGGGACTGAGTCCTGAAACACGATTTCCGGCACAGAACTTGCGTTGGAACGCAAGCGCTTTCAATTGAGCAGTGTTGACTGCACACCATCTACTCTCCAGGCCATTTTCTTTCAAAGCAATCGCATGCAATTGCAACATATTGCAACCCCAAACGGGATTCCAGAAAACGCAGCACTGGTTGCAACCCTCAGCATGACATGTGTGTGTGGGACCCGGGCCGATGGCTGCATTTCTGTCTTGAGCATTGAACCCTTGCGCCATGCTGAACATCACAATCCCATTGAAATAAGTTAGCTAAAAAATTATCCCTCATCACTAGCATAGCAAACTTGTTGGATACATCTCCTTGACACGTCGGCCCAAGCAGATGTGATCGTTCATGGCATTGTCCACTCGCGTCATTTCCACCAGGACTGAAGACGCTGGCGATTTCTCTCCCAGCATCCTGCAAGAAAATGCTAAGCCGCTAGAGACAACGAACTCTCTACGATTTGGGTGGTCACCCAGCACAAGGCAAGCAACTCAGCATTTGAAGCCGTGTCATCGCCATGAACTGTGTGCACACAAGCAACTTGCCGCAACTTGAACCGAAAAATCTAGTCGAAGGCGAAGCAAACCGAACCCTGATTTGATGGGTAACCCCAAACCCCGAAGTTTAGACAATTCTGATAATGTGGTAAGCCACCATAAAAACCCTTTAAAACGGCGGCGATTTTGCCGATCTTCCACTGACTTCTCGAAAGTCATCAAGTGACGGCCTTGACCTGCATTCTGTGCACCAGCTTCAAAAATGGATGATTGCTACAAGGTTCTACAATGAAACACGATCATACAGTGACGTTTAACGCAAGTTGGGCCCAACAACTATGTATTTGCAGTTGCTAGTAGTGGTTCTTCAATTCCGTTGCAATGTGCCTTTTTTCGGTACAATTGCACCGTAAATCATTTTGGGAATTTCCTTCCCAATCTTTGGGAGAGAGTTTGGTGATAACATGTGAGAACTTCCCCAGATTTTCCCAAGATTTTGATCCCAGCTGGATCCAAACCAAACCCCGAGCTGAGTGTTTTACCCTGCGTCAGCCAGAGCTCAGTTCTTTGTGTCGCCATTGTCGGCCTCACAGTGTGGGAAACCATGAAACCCCACGAAAATCCCATAGTAATCCAATGGTTTTAAAAAAATGGTCTGTTATAAATCAATATAGTGTATTAC